CGAATCTAGTGTAATCTCAATATTGGCTTAAGGATGCACATTTTTTAGTTTTATTTTAGATGTAGAATTCACTATTGCTGGTATATTTTTCGAAATTTGTTGAGATGTATATTAGGTATAAATTCGGTTTTTTTTATTTCAACTCGTTTTTCTTCTATGGAATGAAAAACGCCGCTTCGCTCAGCACTACGACGCTTCGCTCGGCACTACGTCGCTTCGCTCAGTACTACGACGCTTCGCTCGGTACTAAAAAAATCTAGAAACCAATTTTCAAAAAAATTCGTTTTTTCTCCGAGTTTAATGAATTTGTAAAAAATTGGTCCGAAAGTCCGGAGAATTTTCGGGCCGGGCCGAATTTCCTTTCGGACTTTCGGACCGGGCCGAAAGTCCGGCCCGAAAATTCCGTGGGCCGAAATTCATGTAACCCGAACAGAATACAAAAAGCAGAAGGCATGTTACTTGAAAAACAGAAAATCTATTAAAGGATTGAATATTTGTCGACTATGTAATCTGAGTTTACGAGAGTCATGTTAACTTTTACATGTATGGATATCGTCAATGTAAAACTTGTTGATCTCATTTGAATATTAGATATTTTTCATCAAGGCATTTAATCGAATTTACAGAATTTCTTGAACAAAACCAGTGGTATCAAATTATTTTCTATTCAAAAAGTAATTTGCTTTCTTTTGAAGATAATGTCCAATAGTACTTTCGAGAATGATAATTTTGTTCATTTAAGGATTACGAAGTATAAAAAAAGGAGTATACTTTATAATATTTTATTTAATTACAATGTGAATACAGTTGATGAATTATTGTTTTAGACGCACCTTAAAGTTACACATTCTCAACCAATCTGCAAATTTTGTAGAGAAAAATTCAATTCAACGATAGAACATGACTAGTACATAATTACAAAAATACCAGTATTTTCTTTACTGAAAGAACTCGTTAGATAAGAAAGTTAAAAATTAATATAGTTTTAACTGAGTCGTATAAATCGGAGCTATCATTTTCTTATTCGACTGCTTAAAACAACGATTGTTATGGGAAAATATGATATTTTAATAGGATGAAATAGTTGTTGGTGAAAATTTTAAAAATTCATTTTGTTCGATTATCATTTTTATAACATGTATTAGACCTACTTGAATGAGCGAACCTATTTAAGTTTTTCGAACTCAATTCCCAGAATATTATGTGAATGATATTTATCAACAAATAGTGGTTGTAGTGATAGGCGAATTAGAGTTCACAAGTGCAAGAAATTTAGGGAACGATGAATATTCTTGCTGGTGAGATTCAAACATTAAATAGAGAATATTCTTCATTACTTCATTTAGATCGAAGTATTGGTAAGTAATCATTTAATTGTTTTCAATGTCAGTGATATTTAGCTGAGAATTAGAAGAGAACAATTTTTTCCTAGTTGACAAGATTCTTTCTCGTTTGTGTTCAAAGTAACAACTTGCTAATTCGCTGAGCATCACCACTTTGTGCCATGTTTTTTTTAGAATTTCTAGCATTGGAAATACGTAGAAATGGAAAATTCAAAATTACATCAAAACTACTTGATTGCCTTTAATCGCCGAAGAGGCACTCATTGGACACAATATCTTCATAATGTCACTCGATACGTTTTCTCTGATATGTGAATTAAATTATATTCGCGTAACACTTAATTTTGAGTAATAAACCGTAACTCTAATTTATCATAGAACAATTACAGACACGAACGTATTATGAGAAGAGTTGTAAAGAACAGTAAAGGCAAACATCAATTTATTTATCTACATTATATTCCTCACCAATTGACTTCAAGATGCGAGCTCACCTTTTCTCAAGTGGGCACGTAAATGTTCGACGTACACATATACCATTGCTTTTTTTTGTTTCAATCCGTAAACCACACGATACGTTAGCCCTTTCACTATCAAGTCACAATTCAGGATTGTCAATACATATTATCCAACAATTATTGATTAAACAAAAAGCACAGCAAATTCAACTAAGTATCATTATATGTTTTAATCAAGAATTTTCTATTATTTGATGCCTGTGATATGCTTGCAAATGTTGTCATATTTGATTGTTTCATGAAATTACCGATGCTAAGGACTAATTTTTCTTTCGTGAGAACTTGAATAAGAAATGATTATTAACAGCTAGTTAGCTTTGCTTCTCTCCTTGCATAAAAAGAAAAACAGACAATATCTTTGAATATGTGTTAAAGATTGGTAACATGGAGTACATTAAGGTTTGGTTGCTATACTCATAATAGTCCTAGGGTATTAATGAACAAATCTGAAAGTATTTCAACTTCATTGATTTCAAACTACGATAACAGATATATTTTATTTTTCAATAAGATTAGCTTCGGATGTGTTGTCGTGATCTGAGCAATATAAGCTGCGTTCGAGTAATATTCCAGTTTCTTAAAACAGTAAGCAAGACGAGCCTTTTTATCTGATTGTATTATCCATTTGCACAAAACGTTGACAATCGAGAACTGATTTATTTTCTCATGCTCGTTCGATTTAGGTAATTCGAAAATCTATGACTTTCTTTTTTCAGTGTCATAATTTTACATGGCATAGTAATATAAAAAGAAGGATACCGATTCATTCATGTGACATAAATGAATGAGACTAAGTTTGATTGTATTTGAAGTGATTACGTATCAAGTATTTAACGGTACTGAAATATATTCTTAAAGAACGATTTTGATTGAACGATTAATCAGCTGTGAAGATAGATAAATGCTTCTGGTTCGCATCACATTAATAATTTATTGAATCAACACATTTGTTCTTCTTCTTTCTCGCCTTCATTTATGTCTAATCCACAAAAATTGTTGGCCATACCTTGTGCATATCAAAGGGAACAATTTTGTCACGATCACAGGAAATAAAAACAAAAGCAATAATCAAGGTCTTTCATCCTAACAAGACTTAGTCGAAACAATAGAAAATGTCATAATGAACTACATGATTAATCGCTGAGGACATGATCATGTACAGTTATGAATATGAGTAATCTCAATTGTGAAGCTTTACGTTTCGTACCAAATAGCAAGATTAACAAGTGCTGAGTGTAGCAAGTTTGTTCAATTCTTAATTCTCTTTCTCTCTATAATTTTATGCAAATATCATGATTTGACATTGTTTCTTCTTGTCAATATGTTCGATTAGTACTTATTCAAAAATCAATAAGAATATCATGTTCTTTTCGCTAACTGTTTAATAGTAAATCATCAATTAACAATTAAAAACGAAAAAAAAAAACAAATGTTTTTTTGCTGTCTCAATAAATGTTGATAATAATAATAGCAATAATAATAATAATCATAATAGTGTGCATCCATATTGATTATAATCGAACAGATTCTCTTTGTCGTGTATCATTAAAATGTTGATCTTGTATACTTTGATCATGCATCATTTTTCGTACATTCTGTAAAACTTGTTTACTTTTAGCCGATGGTTTTCCATCCTGTTGCTTGCTTAATTGTGGTTGTGAACAAATGTTTTTCTTATCTTCTTGTCTAGTTTTTCGTAAACTAGTATTTGCCGGTAATGATGATGTATTTCGAACATGCTCATTACTTAAAAGGAAACTGTCGACACACGATTGATGTTTTAAGTCATGATTTTGAGTTTTTATAGTTGTATTAGGCATTGATTGTCGTCGTTGATTGGAATCGATTAAATCCTTACTTTTTCCACTACTATTCGAATCTGGATAGGTTGATGTTGACCAGTCGGATGATAATGATGATGTTGATGACATACTGCTAGTCGTATCATCATGATCGTTTTCAGGTATATTAATGTTGCTTGATGGTGCCGGTGATGGTTCTTTAGGTTTTTTTGTTCTAGTAAAAAATCTTCCTAACCGTGTACGAGAACGAGGCGAACTGTTTTCATTTTTTTTCTGTTTAATTGATGGTGATTTTTTCTTAGATTTCGTACGACTTTTCAACTTCGATTGCCGGTCAGATATGTTAGTTTCACAATCAAATTCTGTATCATCAGGTTTTACCGTTTTTGGAGCATTTTCCTGCGTTGTTTTGGATTTTCTAAACATCAAAAAGCAAATAACAATATATTAATATATTATTTTATATTACGTTTTTTTTTGTTGTTGATTACGTTCATTTATTGTCAGTATTGGTAAACGTTTAAAAATAGCTCCTTTTTGTGTTACTCGGATGCTTTCAACACGTCTGACAAATAATTTATTTACTTCATCTTGATGGTGTCTGGTTCCATTTAATTCGTGTTCACCGATCGGTAATGATTGACGTTTCTTTCTTGGTATACATATTATTGGTACACATCGACCGAGCAGTCGAACCATTTCACTACTCGATTGAACAATAAGTCAATAACTATTTAACGCATGCAAAAGAGAGAAAACGAAGAATTTATGTCATCTCTCTTCTTCTTCTTGTTCTTCTTTCTGAATAAGACTTATGTAACACAAATCGATGAACAAACACAAAGCTTACGGAGAGATGGGCTCTCTTGTTAAATGAACATAGTAAAAGACAAAAAGAATGTTGACCTCTTCAATTGACATTAGACACTGATTTTTTTCGTCCTCTTTGTAAAAGTAACATTTAACACAATATATTCTATATTCTCAATGATAGACGATAAGTGTGATCTTGTCGTGGATCTTGAAAAATTTTGAAAAGGTTTGACTACTTTCTCAATAGCACATATACAGACAGTTGTCTATTGACAATATTGTGAATAAGCGTAGACCTATTGAGTTTTGACTTTTTAAGTTTTGTTCTTATGTATTCAACGTATACAAAATGAGAACATTAAATGCGGGGAGGTTTATTCTGTTTTTTTTTCTATAGTGAAGAACTAAATAAATATAAATATCGCACAATAGAATTTTTATGAATCGAAATAAATCAATATTTGAAAATAAGCCTATTGTAGTTTTTGCGTGTCGCCATGAAAAATGAATGACGCACAGAAAAACAAAGTTTTCTTGCGATTGTGAAATAATGCATGATTGATAAAAACAAAAATATCTGCAGCACAGCTGTGACGAGGTAGTTTTATTTTGATTCACTATTAGCTTTTATTGTTGTTTTCATGATAATGTGCAATCCCTATGCAAATATACTTAGTAACATAGAAGTTCGAGAAGTGGCGAGAGCGAACGTTTTGCGTAGATGTTTATTTGCATGCGTTATTGCACAATAAACGTGCAATTGAATCGCTTGACGCTGTATATAAGGCAGGTTAGTTTTCATATTTCTTCACTGGCAACAATCGAGTCTTCACTGTATTCACGCAACAGTCACATGTTACTGGATGCAGTTTGGTTTTTGCCTTGGCGACGTGGAAAAAAATAATGCTTACTTCGTAGTTTCTCAGATTTTTTAGTCTGAGACTATCCGGCTTTTGGACGTGTCATACTGTTAAAGCAACTCTGCTATCGCTCTTCATCGTGAGAGTGCACTCTGAGTAGGTGTGACAATGTCTGATTGCCACCAATGTGGTATGCATCTAGTGTCGTTCGAACATACATATTTTAAATTGACGAACTAGATTGACGTACTCATTCGGTGGTAGTTAAGAAAAATAACGTCGATGTCCAATTGCCGGATAGTTACAACTGTCGATGATAAGCGTCACTTTTCTTCATATCGCCAGTGTGAAAACTATTTATCCATATACGAAAACAAAACGTGACTGTTGCATGAATACACAATTATCAACAAAGTAATGTATTTAAGATAATAAAGAACAGGCGAAAAAAAAATAGCATCTGACATAAGAAATAGAAGAACGAGCAAACATTGAATATCTGATTAATTATTTGATGAAGTAGTATTTTCAGTTACTACAGTGTTTTTCGTTTGATTTACTTGTGGTGGAATAACAGGATGTTTTGGCATCGATTGAAAATAGCTACTTTCTAGAGCTGATTTAGCTGTTATACGTTGATCTGGATCATAAGCAAGCATCTGTAATGTAAGTTCAAGAGCATCAGGTGATAAATTAAATAATAGTTGAGTCATATTTTGAGGTTTCCATTGAGGAAAAGTCTTTTTATGATCAGGCATTGATGAAAATCCAGGCCATGTTACATCATCTGGCGTACCTAAAAATTAAAACACAAAGCGTGTCAAGAAACTGATTTATTTGCATTGGAGAAGGATCTTTTTTCTGCTTTTCTTTAAATTTACGATCAATGAAAAACTGGTGTTGAGTATTTCATAGCTTATCATTCTTAACATCTTCAATATAAATTTTTATCTCCCTCAAAAAAATAGTAAGAAGAAGTCGAGAAAAAGAAATACTTGCCAAGAGTTCGAAATATTCGAAAAAGTTGATCAATTTCACATTCACCCGCAAATAACGCTCGATTATGTGTTATTTCAGCAAATATAGTGCCAATACTCCATAAATCAACACTTGTTGTATAAGTTTTTGCACCAAGTAAAATTTCGGGCGAACGATACCAAAGTGTAACAACCTTTAAAGAATATTATTATTAAATTAACAAAAAATTAAAGACCTGCTATCTACATACTTCATGTGTATACATTCTCATTGGCATTTGAAAATGTCTACCAAGCCCAAAATCAGCTAATTTCAGAGAACCATTCCAATCGATAAGAACTTAATTATTAAAACAGTTCTATCGATACCTTGCCTTTTTTATTTCTGAATTTTATACATACTATTTTGAGGTTTTAAATCTCGATGTAGCATAGAATTTGAATGTATATGATCAATACCTAATAACATTTGTCTAAGATAACTTTTTGATAAGTCATCTGATAATGGTTTTCGATATAATTTCATATATTCGTACAAATCCATTTCCATACATTCATAAAAAAGAAATAATTCACCGGTTGGCTGATGCACTTTTATATCATATAAACGTATTATATTTGCATGCTTTAATGAACGAAGTAAACTTATTTCGCGTAGAGCTGTGCTTGGAATACCTTCATCACCGAGACAAACACATTTTATAGCAACATGATGTTGTTGTCGAGTATCGAATGCTTTTCGAACAATACCGTAAGTACCTTTGCCCAGTTCACAACCAACATTATATCGATCGAATAGAGTAAACGTGCCATTATTCATCATTATCTAAAAACTGAATAGGCTCTTGTTTTTTTTATTTCACTCAAACTATAGATTTTCCTTTTAGAATTCCAAGAAAAAGTTTACTAAACGATAGAGAAAACAATGATAAGCGAATATTACAAACACGATATAAAGTTATGAATGATACTGGATCAAAATTAAAATTATAGCAGACAGTATCTTCAGTTGAATCAGCATAATTTATTGATAATCGTGGTGTACCTAAAATATAGAATAGACTTTCAAGAATCAATTTAGATCCTAGTGAACAGCGTATATCGGTTTTCTTAGCTCAAGATAGAGGAATTGTAAAACGCTTTCCAGGACAGGATTTTTTCTCAATATTTCAATTACCTCTTATGATTCCCGATCCAGTAGACCATAAATAAAATTCATAGATTGGTATTTGTAAAAGAAATTGATTCATAGATTGTATAAGTTTGACAGTTAATATTGTTATTGTCCAAATCTAAATTTAATAAAAATAACAAGTGTTTAGATCAAATCAAGATATTAGATGTTTACTGAAGTAAAAACTGCATAATACATAAATATGGACGGTAATAAGAAGAGAAAAATTGTAAATGATAAAGTAACAATAAACAATTGATCAATATCACAAAGATGAGAATCAAGTCGATTGTTTCTTAATGGATTTTGTTTTTTTCCACAAAATAAACGAAAAAGAATAATCAATAAACGAATTTGCCAATTGAATAATCTAAATAAACATACAAAAAGAAACAAAGAATGTGAATAATAATAAAAGAATGTATTTAGTTTACCTTGCAGCATAAATATAAAAGCAATAAAGATGTATCGTTAGTAAACGAATAAAATCACAGATAGCTCCTATTGCTAATGATATACCAAGTAGACATAGAATAAATAATATTTTATAGAAATAAGGTACGACTGTTACAACTAAAACTTCCAAATAACCAGACCAGAGATAAATATGATAGAAATAAAATCTTGCAAGAAAATCAACTAATGGTTGATTTAATTTCAAACCAGCGGGCGCATGCATAAGCCATTCAATTATAGATTTAATCGATGTTGTTAAATTCTATTATTTGAATAAAAAATCAAAGTTACAATGAAGAAATTATTTTTCTCTTAAGATTTAACCTCAGTTTGAATTAGTATTTCATTTGATATCAGTTGATATAGATCAAAATTTCGATACAGAATAAATGAACATAGAAATCCAAGAAGAATATTTGCTAATAAATAACCGATATTAGCGTGACGTCTAAATATAAATTAACAAAAAAGAATCTATCAATCGTTGCTTAAGAAACTATTGTCTTCAATTTTATCTTCATTCTAGTATAATGAAAATCAACAAGTTTTCACCTCAATTGAAATTTATTGTCTCTTGTTTGTTGTAGTTTTAAATACATTCCATAGGCACTTTGAGCTAAAACGCTATGTTTCAGTAGAAAATTACCAATCAAGGTCTAGAATAATAAATCGATCATTTATTGAAAAATAAAATTTCCTTTGGTAATTTATACCTGATGCAATGATGGATTAGGAGTTGCGTTGCTCCTATCATTGATTAGATTTTTTAAATGTTCAAGTATTGGACTTGGCAGATTATTTTCATGACATATAAAAACAATTTCAGAATTTTTTTCTAATTCATTTTTATTTAATAAAACAACATTTGCTGGTGAATCATTAATTAAAATACTATTTGTTTGCTTTTTTCGTTTTATCAATAAATGTTCTTCTAACAAACAACGATTTTTACATGAATCATGATCATATTTACAGAAAATTGCTTGTACTTTTTTACATGAACATTGATTAGAAGATGATATTAATAAATATTCATTATTCAAGCCGTTATTACACAAATATAAATCTTGACATTGAGTATCTAATAGAATTTCTTGTTCGATATAGAGAATCATCTAGAATCATATTTATAGATTATTTTGAAAAATTTCGTTAAAATATTTCCGCTTCGGTTGAAGATCATTCATTGCTATCTAGGTGTTATATCTTCTTACAGCATATCAAGAATTAAGCAAAGCGAACAGATTTATCTATTAATAAATGATGCTAAACTTTCCGATCACCAAATTATTCAAAGATTCTCAAATGTGACTTCAATCTCTTAGTGGCAACTTTCTATATTATTAATATTCATTATTGTTTGCAATTGAAAATTTACGTGTGATACTAAATTTTTAATCAAAGCTTTACTTCCATATAATTAGTTTTTACAATGAGTCATTTATCTGTAATAAAGAGAAACAATGATAAAGTTTAAGAGTTTCTTATACTCTTGATACATTTAGTTTGACTACACACATGCACACACTGATACATTTAAACATGAAAAAAAAGGAATAAATTGTTTATTTAATTTAATTTCATGGATTACGAATGCCAAGTGCTTGTTCTAGTTCTGCTCGTTTTTGTTGAACTTTATTATAAAAATATCGACTAACTGCTTCATATGACCATTGTTCAGTATAATAATCAGCGCGTCGTTCTTCTTCAGTATTTCCTGTTGTTGAATCGGTTATCATTTTGAGATCACGTGATTGTGATGCTAACCATTTACATATAAAGCCTTGAGGATCATCAGAAAATGACAAATAAAATTCGCGACTCTGTTTCAATTGATTTATACTATCGATATATTGTAAAATCTTGAAAAAGAAAAATAATTAAAAGTTTGTCAAAAATATAATTTTTACTTTTCCATCTAGTTCCTCTAATTCATGAGTGTTTTGAGGCGATAAAAATGTTCGCATAGAATCTCGTACAGGATCATCAACTTCAACATCTATATCATAGCACGCATGTTTCTTTGGATCAGTGCCCAGACTGTAAGAAGACGAAAATATTAAATATCTTTAATTTAATTAAAAGCAAATCGTTACCATAGTGTATGATTGATAATAATAGGCTCCGATGGTAGAATAAGTTTATTAAGTTTAGCAGGTAGATCAGAAAAGCGAATACGTGCACAATCAAATATCTAAATAAAGAAATGTTCTTCAAGACGTCAGAACGCTGAAGTATTGTATAGTGATCACTAGCTAGAAAAATACTCTCTGCCTCGAGCATTAAAAACTAACCGCTTGTAAATGTGTATCGCAATTAATAAATTCTCTTTCTTCGGAATCTTGTAATTTATTTGTTTTAATATATTGCCACATTGCGTGTATGATGGTTTGTCGAGTACCATTAGTTAATGAAAGTAACCGAGCAAGACGTGAATCAAGTCGAAATTGTGGCGGCTAGAATATAAAATAAATACATTGATGAATTCATTTTCACATCGTTTATAGATCTTACTGAATGATCAAGAACCATTAAAATGGTACACTTAACATTTTGTTCGCCTGGTCGACGAACTTGAAATCCATCAGTTTCTGCTGTTGCATTCGTACGATGCCACTAAAAAATTTTTACTTTTGTACATTTTTGTTTTCTAATGTTTTAATTAAAATCTACTTCAACAAGATGATTATCTGGTCCGTATAAGTCTTTATCCAATTCAATAACAAGACTTCGAAAAAATGATGAAAATTTACGTTTTGTTTTTCCTTGATCATATTTATTGGTGTTCGGCTAAATGAATAGAAAAAGAGAGACTTGATTCTCTATACATTTTTCATTACGTTTAACATACATCATCAAGAAGACGACCTTCAACACGCATTTCCCAATATTGCACTTGTTCATCGTCGATGCCAGCTGTGTCCGAATCAAAACGAACTGGATATTGATGACTAATAAATATACGTAATTTCTTTTTTATCTAAATAATAAAAACAAACAAGAATAAGAATATTAAGGAAAAATAAAGGTTTGACCTACTTTTTGAGGTCGTTTAAGTGTTTCCTGAATATCAAGTCGTTTTCTCATTAAAACAGAATCTAATTTTTGTTCAAGGCGTAATAATTCAATATATGCTTGTGATTCAGGTACAAGTGAGCGTATTTGTTTATGAATAACTTTTTCTGTTAAACGTTTACGTTTTTTTCTAAACGAGAACTTTGTTTATTAGAGAGAGAAGAAGCTTAGCATTTTTTTTTAATATTTACTGTCGTATAGGACCAACACTGGGTGGCATAGCATTTTGCATCATTTGTTGACTTGGACCCATCACATTTCCATAAGTCATTTGTGGTTGTTGTCCTGGTTGAACCATTGGTTGCTGACGAAGGTCATTTGAATAGGTCGATCGTTTATTTTTGTCATAGAGTACTGCACGATTAACAACACCATAAGGACTACCAATGGGTCGTGCCATCATTGCCGATTGAGGCGATTGTTGAAGCATCGGTGCTTGCATTGGTGATGAAGCAACCATTTGGCGCATTGGTGAAACTCCGACAGCAGTATTCGGTTGAGGTACAGAAGATGAATTCATCATCGCTGGTGGACGTTGCATCGGTGATTGCTGTTGCATTGAATTGGGATGCATATTTGCGTTTTTTTTTGACAAGGAGACGCTTGACTCTGGCTAACTAAACAAGACGACTACCATTGTTTATTCCTGAATTTGATTGGTTCATATTTTTCTTATTGCACGAGGTCATATTATAGAGGGCAGTAGATGTCAGTATTATGCCGATAATACAATGTTTAATAAAAAAAAGAACGAAAACTATGATTGGTGCCGTTTGCCTAACAATATTCCTTGGCAAATAGTTGATCAAGTACTTGATTGGCAAGTTTTACAAGAAACAGAGACTAACCGTAAGTTTGACGAGTATACAAGAATAATGAATATGATATTTTATTAGAATTCATAACAATAAACAAACATAATGTTAAACAATGAAATAAACCCATAAGAAAATTATGAATTGAACTCATTATCTTTCGCTATTTATGTAGTCTTGTCAGTGAAATCAAAGCAACTATTTCAAAACAAAGCAGGAGATCTTTTTAAAAGAGTGTTCCATGGAGCGTTAGTAGAAATACTCAGCATTCTAGTTGTCGACTTCAATGACGTCAAATTGTGCTTGCTCATGATGCTGTTCCTTGGTTGTTAGTAAATGTGCCTCTTGCTCAGGGGGCGTGGCGTCTGTCATTCCAGTAGCTGTGAGCCATCGGTGATGATTGGAGTGAAATGCATACTTCCCATTTTCCAATTGTTTCATTTCCCATAGACAATCACGCTGAATTTCTCGATCCGAACATCTGACAGCTCCGCCATGTTCAGCTGACAGAAATGTTCCATGTTTAACGATTCTAAGAGCAACCTTATGATGTGGTTGATTGATAATCATCCATTGTACATCATGATGGTTAATATCTTCATCATCGGTCACAAGATGCCTATCAGGATGAGCGGCAATGTAACGACCATGAAATGCTCGAATGTAATATTGAGGCTCATCTCTTGAATTTGATCGTTCTAAAAAGAATAAGCAGTTAATCCATTGATTGATTCATCGTAGAGAAATCATTCGTATTTGAATTGCTCTTATTACGAAAAGAAACAGCGTATTTGTTGCTTCCCATTCTACCATTTTCTATATATCGTCCTTGAATGTTTTATTTCGTATTTCAGCGTTTCTGCCAGAACACTAGGAGCCTTGAGAATCTTACAAAGAGAATTTTTTGAAAAAAGCTTTTCAGCGCAGCCCGTTGGGGCTAAAATGTGGAACTCACAGATTTCAGTCAGTTAGATACTGATCAAGTAGAAGTTTTATTTTTTCAGTATAGTGAGATCATATTTGTTCAAAAACAAGATATTAAAACCTTTTTAACATTTGAAATTTATTGGATCTATCAATAGGAAATATTACTAGAGAGAACGTATAAAAAACTTTCTGTTTAGAATATGTCGGTATGCTGAAGCGTTTAGTTGTTTCATTGAGAAATATTGTGAATGATAATAGCTTAAACAGTATTTAGGGCATAGCCATCAATATTGTTGAGAAATTTATATTTTTTCGTATTACCAGATGAGAAATTGATACATTTTTTCATAAACGAAAATTTGATACAAGCTTCCCAACGGATGAAAAAGTTGCTAATTGTAAATACACTGAAGTGGATTCAAGCTTTAGATTAAGGTATTTGTGTGAGAGAAAAAAAACAGATTAAAATCTTCATCTGTTTATTGTAGGTGGTAGAAGTAACGAGTGTAATAGTAGCATAAACTAGTTGCTAGCGCTCTGTAGTGGTAGCATACACTCATTGCTAACGCCTGTAATAATAAAAATATATAATACTGTCGTAACTATTGACTATAATAATAAAAACGACAGATTTTGATGATTAATTAGAAATTAAATTATAATTATAATGATTTCTAATTAGTGAAACTAGACTTTTATTACTGATGTGAGTAGTAGTGAACATAGGCAATAGACGTGTACCAAAAACGTTTCTAATCAGTGCATCTAAGTGTTAGTCTTTTTATATTTTATGTCTGTAATGGGGAGGGGGTACAGGGGAGCCGCAAAAACCTGACAATTCAGCTTATACTCACTATTTTCTTCGAAAATATATGTGAGCTCCACAAAAACCATCATGGAAAATTACTAGTAACAATGGAGTAGTATCGATCTATTGATTTCGTCACACCAGAATAGATTCTACAAGATCACTGAACTATAGGTAGTTTTTATATTAGGCCCGCCGTTTCTTTTATAAACAAGAATTTTTCACTTTGCATGCAATAGTACATTCCCAGGCCAAGCATTACGGCTACCAGAAACGGTCGTATACGGCCGTAAACGTTAACGTATACTGCCGTAACTTGAAGTTTTGGTATGCACCGTATTACGGCCGTAATTAATCGTGTCGTAAACTGTTACTAACGACCGTAGTGTGGTCGGATATTTCCGTATCCGATCGTTTATAGCACGATACAAAACGACCGTAATACGGTGCATACTAAACGGTCGTAAATTATGGTCAAACGGCCGTGTACGACACACGTTGATCAACCTGGGATTCTTCTTGAGTGTTGACAATGAACACACAAAATATGTAACATAACATCAGAATACTTACCGAACGCCATTGTCTTATTATTGCGACTGTGTTGCTTGTGAAGTTTAAATTGTGAGCTAATTTCTTTTTTATTTTTATTTTGCTGCTACGTCGAATACAACGTCGACACTCATGACTTGCGTTTCAGTAGACCGATTGATACCAATATTCTTTTTTTCTTCTCGATTCTTCAGAACTTTGTTCGAAAGCGTCAAAATTCCATCGCTAATAATGGAAAAAAGTAGAAAAAAAGATTACTATTTCAACGACTTACTTCTTTACCATACATATTTTGGGTAGAATACGCGCGCGTTCTGTACATCTTATAAAAGTGGGCTTTTTTTATAATTACGCACTGAATAAAATCGGCCGCACATTCACGTACAGTAGGAGGTGCTTGTTGTGACGCATTCTTGTGCAATAAATGACACACATTATTCGAAAAAAATCATTGAAATCAACTATGCAACATATTTTTCACTTTAATCATATCATTTCAATTTTCAAACCTCAAGAAGATCAAATTTTGAGTTCTTCTCGGTCTCGAGATAGTCAAATCTCGACGAATGAATAATCGACAAACAACACATAGAAACTAATTCGAATAAAAATATATAAGTTTTGCATGTTCAATCAAGTTTTCTGTATGAAGCTGTGCGCATAAAAACAAGACCATAGATGCATAGTTAGTAAACAGAGCGATATAAGTCTATATATGCAACCGACTTTCATGACTGAACTTGTGGCACATAAGTTCGACACATTTCATCTTGATGTGTGTAAACATCCAGAATATCGATTGAAGTTATATGAATGCTTTTTCTGTATTATAAATTACTGAATCCACTTGGAATGAACTTGCTTTAAAAGAGATTCATCAAGGTATTCTGTTTGAAATTGACTTATCTCAAACGAACCGTTTGTATCAATTGTCGAAAGACAACGGAAATTAGTTACGCTAATAAAAAGCTTTAGTTATATAGAAAACTAAATGATCCATCTTTAAAAAACAAAATATGGTCTGAGGACGAAAACTTAAGGGAAATAATTGAGAAATACTATGATCATCATTCCTTATGGTTCACCAGTTATATGATCAGAAATCCTGTAAATTTGTCACTCTTTCGTTGACTCAAAGGCTAAAAAGTTGTATGCGATCCTGGCGGCACCAAGACTTCTTTCATTCTTAATCAATGCTGGTCTTCAGTTAGTCGGATAGTATATGCCTACACACACCATTGAAATAATTCGAAGTGCTGTAGTTCATTGATTACTCGCTCACACATTGGAAGATGAAAAATTATCATGATCGGATGGCAGAAACTACAGATTTTTCAGATGATAATGCTAATAAAAAAAGAAGAGAACGCTTCATTTTGAAACTGGAAATGGAGAACATTTTCACCTAGCCCATGTTCGGAATTAAAGCTTCCATCTTATTGTATTTACATAGTCTATATAATATTTGCTTTGCAATAAATCATTGAATTTTTTATTAAAGAATTTAAGCATGCATGATGGTATTTTAAATTTAAAACTAAATGTTCTTAGTATTAACTACTTGAAAAATAAATAAGTATAACTTCTAAGTACCAATAGTGCATGAATCCGAACCACGCTTTGAAGCAACAAGACCGCTTGAGTCAATATTCAGTATTGCAGCAACTAGATTGCTTCCTTCGAATGTTATTGAAATCGGATCACGTGTTGCATAAGTGGGACCTGTACAAACTTGCAGACCTATTATCAATGATGTGCCATGTTGTGGTGTCAGATAGAAGTCAGTGTTAACACCGCATATCGTATTGAAAGAAGTATTACATACGCCATAACTTGTATACATGATACCGACATTCTTATCAAATACATGCGACGATATTTCCGTCGAGTAGTAGTTGCCAGTGTACGTATTACTAACCGATGGAGTGCTGTCACTACCAGCAGTTTTGTTCCATATAGGATAAACAGTTTCATTGTTATTCAAGTCAAATGTTGTATCTAGAAAGCCTATATAAACATGAAAACGAATAAACACATAGCTGATCTGCATCCCCACCCACGCCCACACCCACACCCACACCTTCGATTAGCAACATAGACTAGATTTGAATGATTACCAATTTATAAAATGAAAGCAACATACTTTTGTCGACAGATACCGCTAGATGCTGGAGAACTAGAACTTTAACCTAAATAAGAATTACAATAAAATTTAATTAATTTTAAGTTTAGTACTGTTTTTGAAATAAAATATATAATTCTACATGAAAAACTGATAATTCCCAATAATATCGCCATTGGCAACGGAAGTAGAACAGTAATCAGCTTTACATTTTGTCAAAAATTTTGTCATTCGAAAGTAATGGTAATTATGAGTACATGATTTATTAGCAATTTATTCATTAATATTTTCTACATTTCTAGCCGCATCGATCAAGTTCACGTGGTCGATGCCGATCAAGGTATTTGCTTATTATTTTAAAAGAAAACATAGTATATCAACGTTCTTGTTTGTCAAAGATCTCCACGTCGTGAACGTCGACGACATAATCGAGATCGTTCACCTATTCCGCCTCGACGCGATCGAAGTCGTAGTAGTGGACATGAAGCCCAAGATGAAATTGAGCGTCTGAATCCAACACCAAGCAATGTTCTGGGTGTTTTTGGACTCTCGTCACGTACAGAAGAACGAGATGTTCGACGAATTTTTTCAAAATTTGGACGAATCAATAATATTCATATCGTTTATGATCGTGGAGTAAATATTTTAATCTTTATGTTTTTATTATCAAAATTTCATATGAACTTTTCTAGACTGGTCGATCTCGTGGTTTTGGCTTTATCTATTATGATAGAATGGAAGATGCAAAAGCAGTAAGTTATACTATTTGAATTTATTTATTTATCCTCAATACGAATGATTGATTAAAAAGGCTAAACGAGAAACTCATGGAATGGATATTGATGGTCAAAAGATTCGTGTTGACTTTTCGTTGACTGATAAACCGCATGATCGAACACCAGGAATTTATATGGGAGTAGCGTGAGTGAAACTCTTAGTTCCTGATCATTTTTATTTATATCTGTTGTATTTATTGCAGTGAAACTCGAAATTCTCGAAACGATTATAGATCATCACGGCGACATCGTAGTCCATCACGCTCACCACGTAAATAACCATATTCAAATAATCATTTCTAATTGATGAAAAATTTTCTAGGTCGTCGATCTCGTTCATAAATGAAAATTAATCGTTGATTCTAAGTACGCTTCTAATTTTCTTATTAAGAAATCTAGTGGAGTCTAATACCTTCTTCTCGTTCATCTTTATCTTAATTAAACCTCTCTAGTAGTAGTAGTTGTTGATAATTAATCTATTTTATTAGTTAAAAATTTACTGTAGAACGGCTAGCATTGCTTTTGTTTTGTGTCTGTACGATAACTCCTACTGTATATAGGTAATCATAGAAAGTTGGTATTCCTGTGTCTATATGTCTGTCTATCTGAAATTTGAAATATGAAGAAATGATTCTAGTTCAATAAGAAAATAATTCGTATGAAAAATCATCGAACAACTATTCTATCGAAAAAGAAGATTGATGAAGGTGAAATCACAAGTATTTTAAACTTAGCAAAGTGAAGATGAAGAAGAAGAAGAAGAAGAAGAAGATGAATGAATGAATGAATGAATGAATGTTTCATTTTATTCTTTTAAAAATACATCAGGTGGTATGTATTTTATTACCCGATGGTAGTTCAATGTTGTTCAGAAAATAACTTATCGAAACTTAAACGAATTCATTATACTTTTTTTCTGCATAGGCTGACGACGTTGCTGTGCAATAGTTATATATATATATTCAAGACACATACTCTTTATTCAACTAACGAATAAATCCAGATAAAAGCTTTGATTGATAATTTAACAATTGCGTTTTGTTTGAAATAAAAAGGGAGTTCTGTTTGGTTTTTCTTATAATGTATGATTTATATTTAAAAATAAAATAATGAATAACACAATTTGACATTTCAATCAATGATAGATTCAAATATAGCTTACATATCGTGAAAGAAAATCTAGCAATGCAAGAAAGAACGAACCACCAGGTTGTTTGCATAGAAAAATTAATTAAACGAGCAAGCAATTGTGTTCCTATAAAAGGATAATAGTCATTACGAACATAGTATGTTAAAAAGGATTCGATGCAATAGATATATATGTGTACGTCACTATTTTTAAAATGTCATTACATATTGTTTGTTTGCCTAAAAGTGCATTTAAAATCATTTCAATTGAAGAATTCATTTCGAGTAGTGTCATTTATAGAAGTTTCATTTTACTTTTCATACACACAACAACGAGTGTCAAATAAATAACGTATACAAATATGAAATTTCGTTTTCTCTGGTAGACTTATTTTTGAGTAGGACTGACATTTCAAAATCTAGGCATTTTTCGATTAGTAACATAAGTTTTCGATTCACTTAAAAATTGATTCAGAGACAAAAAGATTGCGATATTAATGTTATTCAAAACGAATTAACGACATAATATGTCATTCCTAAATTAGAGCAAAACGGCTATAAAATAATACATGAGTGCCTTATGTTACATCGTCCTACGTCATTACATTTTGCAAAAACAATGTTAACATCAGTAGTCATCCTGTAAGAAAAATTCCAATCGACATTACATGCTTTCTTTTTTTTTGAATTTAATTTATGCTATGAAAATTCAGTATGTATCTCAATGCAATATGAAATTTTAGTTATCTTGAAGAATGTTGGGTTGTTTTTAATATACGAACATCAAATTAACTGATAGCAAAAAAAATGAACTGTATACATTAAACAAATGAACGATGAACACGACAGGTAAAGCTAGTTATATATGATGAAAACTTGGTTAATATTTCTTTTTTCGAACGATATTGATAGATAGAATCAAAGAAAATGTTCGTATGAATTTTAGAAAAAAATTAATGATCAAGTTCTTCCCTGTCGAAAATATATTCTCCTAAACCAGGACCAACACGGCGTAAGTTAGTAATATAACCAGCGTATTCTTGGAGTGATTTAACCTTTTAAAACAAAGCAAAAAATTAAATTCTAGAAAAATAATATTAAATATTTAATTACCTGTTCTTCAATAAATTCTCCTTCAAGATAATCAGTCAAATGTGGATCACTAAATGAATCAACGAATAATCAAAACGATTATACAAAAAAAACATATAATAATCTTACTTGTGTTTACAAGAAAATGAATGTAATTCAAGTAATGCTTGGTAAACATCTTTTTCCAATTGTAATGCTGTTTCATGTGCTTCAAGACTTGAACCCCAGCTTTGTTGGACAGGTTTCTATTGAATAATTATTATATATTTATAAGACAATATTATGAGTAGAAATTTTCAACATACTTTAATATCCAAAAGAACAATTGTACCACCACGTTTATTTTGATATTCCATGAATTTATTAGCATGTTCACGTTCTTCTTCAGCCATTTTTTTGAACAGCTTACTATGACCTAAACATTATATTCTTTTAGATAGAATTGATTAATATAAAAAAACAAAATTTACCTTTTAAAGCAACATCAGGTCGTTCGAAATGATGTGCCATTGCTGTATAAACGTAACTTGCATATAATTCTAAATTAATTTGTCGATTGATTAAACCTTCATTATCTTCATGATAATTACTGAAAAAAAAACAGACAAGAGTAAAATATTATTTTAATAATAATAAATCAATTTATACTATCGAACGAGATTTTCTCGTGATTGATTGGCTGCTACTGGAGCTTTTTGACGATCTACTTGTTTTTCTGTTGACATAATTAAAGTTGGAGTCCTTGTATTTTAGATTTGAAAAAAAATTGTTGAGATTTAATGATGATTGATAAACACGACTTGTAACGAACAGTCACTGCTGCTGCAAAACAAATCGACTAAATGCTAAATTCGACGTATATCTAGGTTTATATAGAAAGAGAAAAGTTAAGAGAAAAAGAAAGAAATAAACAGTTTTTTTTCTCCTTCAAATTTGTCCCTCATCGCGGCCTACAAGCATGACTTCCCGAAAGAACGAGAAAGCCCATGATTACGTGTCGATTCTGCGCAGTTAGTAAACACAACATAGAACGAAAGAAAAAAAATGCATTCTCTAGGAGCAACGTAGGAACGAATCAAGAAGCAGAATGTTGAACGTAGAGTCTGATGCACCATCATCATAGCATGGCGAAATATTAAAACAAAATAGAACAAAAGAAAAAAAAATCGAGAATTAATCTTTTCTCATAGTGTAAACTGTGTATCGAAGTGAAAGAATAGTATGAGACTTGATTGGTAGATTTTTTCAATGAGAGACTTGTAAATTCATGTCAAGAAAAGTTCATTTGATTGAAATTTTTGATCCCATATGATCAATCCTGATTGCAATTTTGCATTAAATACCAGAGAGATCAGAATATTTTTATGATTATAATTGAAACGTCATGGTAAAAGTTTTAGTCCAATAGAAGAAGACTTCGCAAAAATATTCAATCAATAAGAATCAAAGAGAGCTCTCGACAATTCAAGATTTTCTGTGAGATTTTATAAAGGTTCTAGTTTGAAAGGTGATGTCGGAGAAAAATTCAATGGTAATGAATACTCGGCTTGAGTTATGAAAATTCAGGGATCTTCATTTCAAGTCTCGAAGCATCTTCTCATATACTTATCTTAATTTTGTTGACAAGACAATTTATTGGAATTTCTCATAGTAACAATATCGTTTCGCAAGATAAAAATTTTATGATCGATAAGAATATAAAATTATATTTGTTCAACACTTCAATTGTTTGATATCAAGTTTTGAACAATGTCTACGTCGTTCGATATCATTGCAATTAGGTGCATAACATCTATCGGGAAAACACTTCGATTTTTAGAAAATAACAATACGACTGTAATAACTCATCAAAAGAAATATTCCATTAAATAGAAAAATATTATAATCATCAATAATAATAAGATACTACAAAGTCTTTCTAATATTTTTAACAGCTAGTCTTCGATACTAGCGTTTATATCAGAGAATAAAAATTATTTCAAGACTTACGTCTGAAACGAAAATAAAAACACAAACTAACTGCGTTTATATTAAGTGTTACATGTGATACTGTTATGTCTACAATCGACTTGAAAATATAAAAAATTGGATGGTTGTAAAATACGAAACTTTTATCTGACTGGTTAATAATTTTTAACAGAAGTGAGCCTATTGACTTTGGTTGACACGTTCGGTTCACTTCTGTGAACCGAGTTATTTTGCTCTGTCGGCATACTCCCATGCCCTAGAAATCACCAGAAAATCGCCGATTAATCGCGATATATCGAAACGATAATCGTGAGCTAAAACGCGATTAATCGCCGATTTTTAACGATAGTTTTAGTGATTATTACGATAAATCGCGATATATCTCTAATTCTTTTTAACATTAACCATAGCTTTATCGCTGATTTATCTGATATTATCGTGATTTCTGAGATTTGTTTTTATTAACTGGATCTATTGTTCCGACTAAGTTTTATTTACACAAGAATCTACTATTTTGATTACGTATAATATCAAAAAGAGTAATAAAATCAAGAAAAAAAAGCAAAGATAATTACAGTTACTCATACTATTTTCATATATTCTTGTCATGAAGTTAGAAAAAAAAGAACAAAGTTAGCATAGCACCAACTAAGATATATAACAAAAAGTCAATTTACAAATTATGGAAAGCACTTAAAATTTCAACGACTGACGTATGATGGAGTTCAATATAAGTCAATTGTACTCGATGTAAAAGATCCGAGTGTAAAAAGATAAATCAGGATAACAAGTCTATGTACATAAAATATAATGTCAAACAAAACAATTAAAAGTAAATTAAATAATAACAATGTAATTATAAGTCTAATGAATATTTTATTCATCATTAAGGTTCTCTGTTGAATGCTTGATTGTCGAAAGTTTGTTGCTTTGACAAGATCGGTTATATATATTCATGGGCTTTCGGTACTATATAATGCGAAGACTATTTTCATCTAGAAGGAAAAAACGTAGAAACGTGTTTTAGAATTTTCCGAGAAAGAAACTACTTGATGTAGTAGTATTTCGTAGTTTAGCTTTTGAATTTCTTCGCTTAGACTTGATGCATTCTAGCATCGGCATCCAAACTGTTGCCAATTCATCATTTGTTAAACCAAATTTTACTTGGACAGCATCTAGAATAAGAACAGAACTGTTTATGTAATAAATTGGAAATGGTTTACCTCGAATAGTTTTAATTCGATCATCTGTATCGATGGAACGTGGATCAAGATCAATAAGTTCTTTTCCGTCCTTGAATATTCGATCTACAGCTTTTAATACAAATTTATTTGAATTCATTCTGTCTGTTGGAATTTGAAGCAGTTCAATTTGTTCGCCAGTAGTGGACTTGCAAGTCTAAGAAAAAAAGGTTAGAGAGAATGTTAATAATAGCTACTTACGATAGTGCTCGAATCAATAGTAGATGCTGATGGTCCATGTCCTGTCTCATCGATTAATACAATTGGAATCTACAAAAAAAACAAGAACTAAAAATTTGATTCGATGGCAGCTCTCTTTACTTTGTGATTTCGCATAGCTTTGGCTATTTTATTTTGATTGTTTAAAACCAAATTCAACGTTTTCTGATGTTGGTCATATGAACGAGTAAGATCAGCTATTTGTTTGCGAAGTTGACCCAACTTATAATTCATTGCATTTATTGATGAAGATGATGATTGATCAACTCCAAGTTTCCCTTCATTTACAGTTGGTGATGAAGCATCATTAACTCGAAGTCGTTTTTCAGGTATTTGTCGAGATACTCTTGATGAGGTATGCTTCCTGGATTTTGAAGTAGGTATACGATTGAGAGTCGAATTAAAAATATGACCATCGATGGTTTTACCAGCTTTTTGTTATTCATCACAACTTGATTCATCATCATCGCCTTTATCAGATGATATTCTGGAAAACTCGCCTTAAATAGAAAAAATAAAATCTGTGCAAATCTATATTACTTTTATAAATGGATAATCTTACCAGCTTTCTTTGGTTCGTCAAATAAACAAGTATTCGATGTTATATATGTTCGATATACATCAAGATCTAAAGCAAAGAGAATAAATTTCGACTCAGTCAACTAACTGGAATAATCTACCAAAAGTATGTTGTTCAGTTAATTGTTTATCAAACAAATCTAAAAAATTGTATAGTAAATATATAGACAATTATATAATCAAATGATGTGCTTCGCAATCATTGACCATCGTACCAAAGGAATCAAAGATAAACTGCTAATAACTATTTCTAGTAATTACTCTACACTAATGATGCAATGCTGACTTCTCAAATGGTCAAAAACAAAAATATAACTCATTGTCAGATGATACAGTAAATCCTGGTCAATAAAAATATAAGAGTAAGCTGACTGATAGTCCGATATTCGATTAAATGTTCTTTGCTATAGTGACTTAAAATCTATCAAGATTTTATCAAAAGGCACTGCATTCCCTAATGATAAAGTCTACAGCTGTTTCATGTTGTATCTATTATCATTACTATTTGAATCAGTCAGTGAACTTTCATTAGTCTTCAACGCTGATGTTCTCTGCAAATTTGAAGCTAAATAATGAGCTTAAAAAAACAAGAGATTCTTTATTCCAACTTACTTGGTTTATCATTATTTTTTCTGGTCAATGATTTTTTTCTTTTAAACCATTCCTCTGTGTCGGATACTACGTCAGAATTCATTTTGTACGTAGATAGTTCTTCTGCTTCTTGAGCAAATTGTACCATTTCAATAAGAGTACCTATACCATAGAAAGCAAGTATTTGACGAAAAAGTTGTACAATTAATAACTTGCCGGTTCGCTCGACAGTAATACGATAAGTTTTATTTTGTTCTCGAATAGATCCTTTGCCAAAGCTATCAACATTAATTAGTCTTCTAATAGATACAACGCTGAAACTATTCGGTTCGTCCATGTAACTGATAAAAGCAAATTCTGCATATTTTTTTCCTCGTGCTTATGTTGTGTACGATTTTGCGTATGCATTTTGTGTCATCTAGAATATACAAATAATATATAGATACATTAAAATACTCTATAAGATATGTCGTAAAAATACGACACAAAAACATAAATGTAAACAAAAGAAATTAGTTTAATCATGTTCGTAATCTACTCGTACTTCAGAAAGAAATACATGATCGTTACTGAGGAATATTTAACTATAGCAAATAGTGATAAATAGAGTATAATGCTGATAGTAATCAACGTGACATTTTTCAATATACATAGTACTCAATTATTCGTCGTGAAATATATTCTACTCTTGTTTTATTGTATCAGCAATTTTACGAACAAGTTGAAAACCAGTCACTTTATTCCAAAAAATGAAATTTTGTTTTCGGAATGCTCTAAACAATTGAACATTGAAAATTAGGTGCCATGAAATATGATAACGTCATATGAGTGAGCCTAATGACACATAATAAGAAAATGAATAGATTCGAATCTCTTTGCTGACAAGATGAAATTTTTTTTGAATTATTACACTCTATTTGAAGTCATATCCTATACAGTACACTTATGATAAAAAAATCATTTTAAAAAATAGATAATATTTTTTGCTTGAAAACATAATTTCTACTGGTATATGATTTTTTGTAGTCTTATTCTAATCACAGACACGTGTTGCGCTTGACACATCAATAATCTCGAAAAAAAAAGAAAATACTGATTAATCTTGATTAATCATTCTGATTTTTCTGCGATTACGATTAATCGAATTTCTTTTTAATATCACGATAAAATCTGATTTTATCTCCGATTTTTCAACATATTCCGATTAATCGCGATTTTACATTCATTTTTCTATAAATCACCAAAATCGCGGCGATTTTCACGACATGGGCTATTAATAAGCAATATATACAGTGTTTTTAATTCAAGAGTGTACCCAGCAAAACAAAATGTACGGTACCCTAATAAAATAGGATTTACACCCTATTTTAGGCCCTGAAAAAAAATAGGGTGTATATACTGTACACGATGATTTTCGTTTTTACACGATGTTTTTTACAAAAAATTTTGTGCTTTCATGATTAAAAGAAAGAAAAATTTTCCATTAAACGTAATTTTCAAGTCTCCTCCAATAGAAAAAAATAGGTAGAGACGCTATAACATCGTCCATGTTCACATAACTGAGTATATAGTTTCGCTTCTGCACAGTCCGATATGAACATGGTGATAATGAAATCATTTGTGGAAAGCGATAAAAGAAAAGAAAAACAGTAGAGAAGAATCTATCTTAAAGTAAATTTGCTTTAGTTTAAATTTAAAAATTTCGTGCGCTCACTAACGTGAGGAATAAAATGACAGTATCTTTTTAATAGAATTAAGTTGTTTTTATCTGTAGAACTCAACATTTTAACTTCTTGTACACTTTGTACATTTTGATCTCCGAAATAAAATGTACAGTTACACGATACATGGAAAAGTAGAGTGTATGTCTACATCCTATTTTAGATTTCTATTAAAAACGTTGAGGAATAGAGGGCAAGAAGAGAAGGAAACAAACCCAGGTCGAACATTACGGTGCCCTGATACGATCGTAAACGACCGTAATACGGTGCATACCAAACGGCCGTGTACGACACAAGTTGATCGACCTGGGAAGAAGCAATTTTTTTATTATTAACTTATTTATTCAGATATATTTCGTTCAATTTCAAATTGTAACAAAATAAGGCTGAAATAGATTTTTTTCTATCATTTTTAGGTCAATGTTGGAACAAAAATGTTCTGCTCCTACTTATCTTGCTCTAGTGATGTTAAACTCAATAATTGGATTTTTGGCATGTTATTCGATGGAAATGTCAGAGAGAGAGCTAATACAAAATTAGATAAACTTGTGTTGAATATGAACATGTTAAATTCTAATAAAACAAAAATATACTTTTATGTTCAAAATTATTAGAATTTTATCCAGAATTTCATGATTTTTATAATCTAGAAATTTGTCAAAGTCAAGAATATTCAATGACATTAGGAAAATTTAGTATCTTATTGTCCACGTTATACAACACTTATCTGCCATATGCTCTTTATGGACTTCCAGCTTTTCCTGTCATCCTCATGATACTCACGTGTCTCGTTCTATCGTATACCACCCAGGCCCAAGAAAACGGTGCGTAAATGGCCGTAAAAGACGTAAAAACGATATAAAACGTTGAAAAACTGCGCCGTTTTCCGTCAGTTCGGAAAACGCCGAATACACTGTTAAAAGCGATGGCCGTTTTCTAGCGGAAAAAAATGGTCCGTAAAGCGAGCTGACGGATTACGGCGAAATAAGGTGAAAATTAGCGCATTATTATACCATTTTATAGCCGTTTCAGGCCTGCTAAGATGATCGTTTCAGCGATCGGAATGATTGTCCTGGGCAGTCTAATAAAAGATGAATGGATGATTAAGTTATTTGAATTGGCGTCAGTCATGGCAGGTTTTATAATGATAATTGGACAATGTATGCTTGCTTATTTCGGCGACTGGTTTAAATATCAATACAATCTAGCAAAAAATAACTTATTCAATAATCGCAGACGTACTGATCGTATTTATGACAATTTGCTTCCTATTCGACATCAAAGAAATGATTGATTCTTTTTTTCATTTATCCATATTATACTTTTTTTAAATATGAAGTTTATTACTGATGTTTTTCCTGTTACAGATTCATATCATCATGAACATCGTTCAAATCGTCTTATCCAATCAAGTTTATTTGTATGTTTACAATTATTTAAAAATAAATCTAAAGGTTAAGGTTTGCGTACACCGTATGATTTATCATTTAGAACATTTATTTGTTGATATATTGAACAATTTTTAACACAAAGTCAAGGACGTAAACGTGTTCAAACTACTTATGATAAATATCAAACGAGCCTTGACATCTGGACCAATGGAACAAGCTCATAATGACATTAACGGTGAGAGCAAAGAAAACGATGATGATGAGCCATGTCTTATTAATAGAAATTTGTTTAGTAGTTTTGTGAACCAAATATATTTATTATATTAGTTGGTCTTTATTTTCCATAGATTGCTCTATTTATTCGAACACATGCGAAAGCTGGTCAAGGTATGTTTCTCTCTGTATTCTTCAAAAATTATCGACTATAACGAGACAATGATATGTGAGAATATATCCCTGTGGCCAAAATAAGTGGTACACCTAGTTTTTGACATTTACTGCTCTAGAAAACCAGCTGATAACAAGATGAAATAAGAAAGAAAACAGTCCATCTTGTACAGAAAAAAAATACTGTTTTCATATGACTGAAATTTGATTGTTCAGTCGATTGTGAAAAAAAAACGTGAATCTATAAAAAATACAGTCTCATGTAAAATGTAGAGCTTTACCCGCTGCATTTAGCACTATAATTTTTTTTTACATACCGATATGAAAAATGTTTAGAACTCTTCCTCCATCTCTTAGATGGCAATACGATAGTCTAAGAGAAAAGTTTTAATCAGATTAGTTTTCTAATCTTTTTTTTAATACTAAGAGGTACCGATTTGCATCAGTTGGTGAGTGAAAACATAGTAGATGCTAAGTCTTTCTCATAAGTAAAAAAACAAACAAACGGCTTTGATCTTATATATCAGGACTAGTTGGAGGATTGATTGTCTTCTTCATACATGTCTTTTTGCATTCGTTGTCAAAACAACAACAGCAACAACAACAATAAGAATAACAATAAGAAAAAAATAGTAACAATAATTAACAAAAATCTATTTCTTTTATGAGTATTTACTATAAATTTGATCAACAGAGCTCTTATTCATATGAGCCATTCCGCGTAAGCCACGACCGATCCTGCTCACTCGATGGAAAATGATTTGACTCGTTTCTGCATACGTTTGTAAGGGCAAGAGTTTGATGAATTTTGGCGAAAGCCGTTTCAAAAAATATTGTTCTGTTCCCGAGATATTCGATTTTTTCTGAGAACACCTTCCTAAAAAATGACATTTTTTACAACTTTTTCTGATATCAATATCTCTTTAAAAGTTCTTTCATTTAAGTTGAAATATTTGGTGTCAGCCTACCGCTAGTCGATGTATATTTCCCAGAAGAAACAAATTAAAATCCTGAATCGTGAAAGAGTTGACCGCAACAACAGAATTCATGAAAAATTTCTCACTTTTTGCGATTCTGTGCTTGTTTGTACCTATCATCTTGAACGAATCATATAAGAGAGCTGAAATTTAGGCTGTAATGAGATCTTGATTAGTGCATACTCTGACAGAAATGTCAGCTTCGTAGCTAAAGAGCTATCTAGAGCAAAATCAGGTCTGTAGAAGTTCTCTCTTCATGGTTTCAAACTACACACATAGTACTACAAAGTCCTGCAAAAATTAGGATGGGACCATGTATATTGCTGAGCAGAGCCTTCTCTGAAAATGAGGAAAAAACTGCATATTGTAAGCTAAATTATATCCGATTTGTTCCCGAATAAACAGTAAAGGTACGTAATAGAAAGGAACTTACTATCTACTATATATGAGCACACAATCCTCTACTCACTGAGGTAGCAAGATCCTTTGTAAGTGAGAAAAAAATATTTCGATAAAAAACCATGGAGCCGAGTACAGCTTTACTATCGAAATCCCTGTACCCCCTCCATGGTTTTTTATCGAAATATTTTTTTCTCACTTTCAAAGGATCTTGCTACCTCAGTGAGTAGAGGATTGTGTGCTCATATATAGTAGATAGTAAGTTCCTTTCTATTACGTACCTTTGTTGTTTATTCGGGAACAAATCGGATATAATTTAGCTTACAATATGCAGTTTTTTCCTCATTTTCAGATAAGGCTCTGCACAGCAATATACATTGTCCCATCCTAATTTTTGCAGTACTTTGTAGTAATATGTGTGTACTTTCAAGTCATAATGATAGAACTTCTATAGGCCTGATTTTGCTCGGGATAGCTCACTCTTAAAATCGTGATTTTGATCAAAGTTATTTTTTTGGCGAGGATCTCCTGAGCCATAGGAACTAGTTGGAGAGCTGAGTTCTTTTTATCAAAGTTAGTACTTATCAAGATCTCTCAGTGGACAAAGTTTCAGCTTTCTCATAGAAACTGTTCAATCTTTATGTACAAACACAAAATCGCAAAAAATGAAAAAAATTTCCTGTATTTCTTTGCTCCGACCAACTCATAAATGACTCATCAATTTGAGTTTGTTTCTTTTAAGAAAAACAGATAAAACTAAGATAGACTTACAGTAGAAAATTCAACCGAAACAGATATTCTCATGAATAGATATGAATGTTACAAAAAATCACAAAAAGTGTCATTTTTTAGGAAGGTGCTCTCAGAAAAAATGGAATATCCCGAGAACGGAACAATATTTTTTGAAACGGCTTTCGCCAAAATTCATTAAACTCCTGCCCTTATAAACTTGTAAAGAAACGAGTCAAATTGGTTTCCATCGATTGAGCAGCTCTTTTAAGAATCGGTCGTGGCTTAACCGGAATGACTCATATATATACTATCAAACCATTCATGTCACAGTTTGTATCAATTACATAAAAATTATCAAAAGAAAATAAATCTTCATTCATAAATAAATTAAACAAAAATACTAGCTGGAAGTATATGATAAATTGTTATAACAATGATAGCTAACCATGCCCATAGGAGTACACAAAAAACCCAATATCTATTTTGAAAAAATGATTGATTGGGGAAATTAATTGGCCCACGAAGTTTTAACTGTGCTTGACGTCGTGCATTATAAACTAACAATGCTGGTATAACATATTGTACAGCAACACCTGCATATGAACCGGTAAAACCAACAAGAAAATTAATATTTTCGGTTAATATACTAACAGTACAAGGTATCAATAGAACACATACAACAAGAACAGAACGTTGCTTTCGTTGAACATTCAAACATGATTTTAAAACTGTCTCCAGATTATTTCTAAGCGTAATACCAATTATGGGAAAACTTGAACTTAATGTAAACACAGGAAACAATGCTATGTAATATGCTAAAACTTTAGGTACATTAACAGCTGATTGATTACATCGTGTTGTCGGACGAAAATTTAATGTATAAAGATCTTCAAATTTTGCAAATGTAAAGACGGCTGTTAATGATAATAATAAATAAAATAATGTTATACATATATAATCATAGGCGAATAAATAGGAAAGTTTATTTTTTGAACGTATCGGTGATATGATACTTGGTATTGAATGATGACACATCTTAAAGGTTTGATAGAAAATTAAACAAAATAAAATAAATTATAAATGAAAATAGGATACATACAAAGCTGTATACACAAATACCAAAAAGTGGCGGAAGACTACGAAAATGGAATATAACTGGACGAATCGGATCAGGATGTTGACTACTCGATCGCTTGGCAAGATGAATAATACAAAGTATTATCATCGAGAGAAATGCTAAAAATAATAATCAATAAAAAAAATTGTCAGATCTATTCTTTCTAATAAAAAAATCATATATGAAAATTTATTGTGTCTGAGAAGATTCTAGAATAACAAAAATTTTGTATTACCTGACCATCGGCAAAGAGTTGTAACCATCTGAAGAAATTTCGTTTTTTGTGCATTACCAAAAACGAATAAACCCAAAGTCCAAAAGAATACAACCTTAACAGTTTAGCATTGAAAAACATATATTCCCAGTTTTATCTCTATTATCTTACCACAAATATTTGATAAACATGATGTCGTGTTAATTTTGAACTTTCCCAGCATAAATCATTACTTGTGATACTTGTATTACAATTAACAGGTTCATATGTACTGAAAGCATAAAAGGAAAAAAATAAAAAATAAACTATTAGTTTTAGCCAACGAACCAAATAACATCACGAATGGATTTTGGTACAGCTGATCCATAAATTGCCAAATCTCCAAAGAGATACAATGATATACAAAAGTAAAAGACCACCAAGCCCACTACAAAGGAAATTCAACACTTAAAAGGAATCAATATAGATAATAAACTTACATTTATTGAGAAACATATCGGCCATTTCACCCTAACGGATATTTAAACAAAAAATCAATTAACTAATTTATTATAAATGAAAGAATACTCTACATAGATTTCATTTTGTATGTGTCTCATTATCGAGAAACTCTAGCTGTGACAAAAACGAATAGGCATCGATACTTTGATTTTTCATGAGAGATTGTGAAAGGCAGTAAGTTTGTTCTACACCTCTCTACCGAAAAAATTCAATGTATTTTATTCTAATTGACTGAATATTAAATTTTCTCCCAGCCATGAAAAGCTAATCAATATCACACCTTCTCTCACTGACCATTTCAATTTTTTCGATAATATCAAAATCATGACGTTCTTCATTTCCCGTTGAAACATAAATATCTAAATGAAATATAAACAACAATCAATGATAATGCTCATATATAATATTTACCGTCGCTATTAATTGCTGCCGGTAACAATGGTGCGCGATCTGATTCGTCGGCAGTTTCTTCGTCGTCGTTTACTGTTGGCACAATTGTACCCAGACGCTAAATCGAAATTCTTATGTTCACATCGAATTGAAATAGTCACGATTAACATACTCTATGTACTATTTTGCTTCGCATATAATTTGCAATGGCCATTGCTTCGATCATATACGTTGCTGAGATATAACTACAAAACGTAAATTGGATTCACTGATAAAAATTGTATAGAAAAATATTTCACCTGAAAAATCCAAGGATTAATAATAGTAAAGTACTTAGAACATAGCCACCTTCATGAAAAGCTTTTGGAAGAGCTAATGCACCAGTGCCAACAATAATATTAAATATATAAATCATGCCAGTCTAAAAATAATTTTTTTTTTGTTTTTAAATGTTAAGAGAAAAACGAAATTACTCAACATACACTTTGTGAAAATGTTGCTTCACCAGACTTCGTCTGTGCAGAGCCTCTGGATGGAAGCATTTTGTTTTTTGTTCTCTAGAATTGAATAAAAAAAAGAAATTCTTTCTTGACGAACAAAAAGAAAACTTTCGTTCTAGCACCAAACATAACAAAGGAAAAAAGATAATAATTTGTACAAAAAAGCACAGAGAAACAGTTTATGATCATCGTCGAATAAAGATTACTGTTAAAAGACCTAAACATAAAAATTGCACTGATAAAAACAAACTGAAAAAATAAATTTACCAAGAATGTAACTTGCTACAATTTTTGAATTTGTTGTCATGTGTAAATAAGATGGTGAACGCATTGTTGTACTATTTTCATTGCCAGCTAGTGTTGGCAAAATAAGTATAACAGCGCATATTGCACTGAGAATCATCAAAACCACAAGAGCTATTGGATCTCCTAAAGATAAACAAAATATTTAATTTGTTTTTGTTTGATTTAAACTATTTACGTGTTTCCTGTTGCAAAATATTCGTTGCTGTTCGAATTCGACTGGGCGAATTATTACTATCATCATCAAAATTATGTTCCGATGGTTTATGGGGTAGTATAGTGCAAGCGATATCTCGTTTGCCTAGAGCATCTTGTGATTTTTGACGATCATAATATTGTATACGAATTTTTTGAACAACATTTTGGTTTGATGATATATCAAGAAGACGTACAATTCTAATAAGTAAACTAAATAATTTTTATCTTATGTTGTTGTTTTTTTGCTTTTACATATCAACAGAATGTTGTGGATGAATGTCTCCTTGCGGTTCGACAATAGAATATGTTCGTGGAGCTGTGCATAAAACTAGTAAAAACACAAGTAAGATAACGTTTTTAATCTTTGATATCAAATAAAAATATGAGAATAACCTTTGTAACGAACAGAAAACTCGTACGGGTTGTAAAGTGTTAGTACTTGAGAACGACTGGTGGAATCATCTAGGGACAGCGACAATGAATTCGTGCTTGAAAAAAGAATGATATATTTTATTTTACCGAGATAAAATAGAAGAGAATCTGATGAACAAAAGAAAGGTAATTGAGAACTTTTGTTAGGCAAACGTGTTAATAAGGACATTAACACATTTGTACTATAAAATTTAAAACAACGACAACACAACACATGGGTTTAACCGTACAAAAATGAAATACATGGGTTGAGTACTACGATATAGTATGACTCATTCAAAGCAGCTGACGACACTATATCGTATAGAATGACAAAAAAGAAAGAGACAAGTAAAATATTCTCGTAGTGTAAATCTTTTGCATGATTTAATTTAAAAACCCAATGCGGCTATTTCATTCGATAATTTTTAATATTATTATTCGTAATGTAATGAGTGATTAATTGCAAATAGGGACATCTATCAAGGCTTTATCGACGGTCTAAAACAGGGAAGCATTAGAATAGTAAAAGGAAACTAAATAACCTTTTGAGTTTAATCAAACATATATCTTTTCTGAACTAATCTTTATAATTTTCTTGAAAAATATTGATACAATATTCAATCTCAAATGTTTGCCTCGCCAAATTAAAGATTATATTTTCGATTATAGCGAGAAGTAATTTTACAGCCTCGTAAAGAAGCCTCGAAGAGGTGACAGCATTGTTTGTAAATCAAAATATTGTAGGACTTCTAGTTTAAAAGCCATGGAATGACCTTATCAATCACTTGTAATTGAGTTCAAACAAACTTCATTGAGTTAGCGTGTGACTGATAATAGAAGCGAAATTTATTTAGAATCTAATAAATGAAAGACTAAATATTTCTGTATAAGATGACATACTCATAATTAATTTATTATGTGAAAAAAAAAGACACTATTTTGACAAAATAGAATGTGTCACTTAAGACAATTTTCTCCATTCAACCATAATTATGATATCTCCTAATTGTCAAAGAGCATAACACTGTCTTAATCTATAAGTCCTAGAAAATGTTTATAACTATTTAACATTTTATTTGGTCTGATGATGAAGTAGAATAATTTTTTGCTAGATTTTTATTTTATAGCTAATCAAAAAACAAAATGTCAATAAGTGGAGTTTTTGTTTTTCAATCAAAACATCTCATCAATTACATGAAGAGTTATCTGAATTACATATTGAAATAAAAAGTATAATTCACTGTTGGTACACACACACACACAAATTAAATTCAGAGTTCTGTAAATGATTGCATGTTGTTGTTAATTTTAAACGACAAAGTAACCTGTAGCCGTTTTTCTGTAAGTACGAGTTCCAATAGTGATTGTACCACTACCTGAAAAGTTTACTACACCTTGCTCGATTGTATGAATTGAGCCGCCTGTATTGGTAGCAATATTTATCAGATTTGTCTTTAAAGCATTTTCATTCAATTGGCAAACGAAGACCTTGACTGGTTTTTTTACATTTCTCAATAAAATCATATCACGTGGTGTTGCTTGATTATCAACTACATGAATAATATTCGAACAATTTGGACATTGTTGAATACCGAATAGTAATGCTTCTATAGTCATTTTCAGGCAAATCACCACCATTACCATTCTTCATTGCTGTTTTCATAGTATTTAATGCTAGATTAAAATTGGAAGTATCAATACCATAAAGACCTCCTGTGGAACCTATGGATTTATTTGCTGTGATTTTATCATTTCCATCATTAAAGAAGACATAATACTTGATTCTATCAGTTTGCTGATTTGTTGATGTCATCCATTTGTAAACAGCAACTGGACAAGGTAACATTGAACCAGTGACATCAACGACAGCAAGAATATTGGTCCAAGTGTTTCTATTAAGTACATTTTCTACTGTACGCTCATAAGTTACGTTTGAGCCGTTAACGATGTTGTCAACGAGATCAGAAGTAGCAGTTGATGTTGTCTTGTTTTCACAACTGGCATCCAAATAGGATGATGTGCATATACAGTAGAAGCTGTCTCCTGAACGTTGACATGTTCACTAGAAAATATAAAAATTAAATATTTAATCGATATAATAAATTCATCATGTAGTATATCATCACGATCATAATTACTTACATTATTCAAACATCACATTCCATTTGAACAAGGATTTGGTGTAGTCGTAGCTGTCAATGGTCTTTCTATTGTTGTTGATGATCTTCCTGTCATTGTTGACGGTGTTTCTGTTGGTGGTGATGATCTTTCTGGCGCTGTTGAGCTTTCTGTTGATGATGGTGACTGCGATCTTTCTGTAGGCGTTGTCGAGCTTTCTACAGGTGTTGGTGGTCGTTCCGTCGTCATTATTGCTAAAAGTAGAAATCGGATAACACACTAGTATACCACATCGTGTATTGTTGACACATATTATATTCGGTGCTGAACATGTTTGATTGCAGCTTTGGACACGGAGTTAAAGTCGAACACGATATTACTGTACTAGCGCACATACTATCACCGTGTACTGTCATTAATAAGCATTCACAATCTGCATTTAATGAACATGAGAATGGTTTGACATCACATTTTAGTAATAGACCTCAATCACAATCAGCTGATGATCATGATGAAATAGAGACATCGTTTCCTAAGTATGATAATATATAAAATATTCTCTCCAATTTATTTTTCAATGTTTACCTGTACAATGATCGGTCGAGTATCTACAGCTACCAAAACAACAGTTGCAAGTTATTTAAAATAGGATAGAAACTTACAAGACGAATATCAATTTTAATCGCATATTCAAGATTTCGAATTATAATAATGTCATTTTGTATAAGACGTTGACTCTTTTTTTTATATAGTACTTGATTTCGTTTATTTGTATGATTCGTAATGTTTGATAGCATCATGAAAAAGTGTTATTCTAAGGGTTTAATGTTTCCTAACGACGAGAGCAATGATAGTCTTAATTCAAAAATTTTTTTTCTCCAGATCTAGTATAATAATGTGTTTGCATCCATAAAAATTTATCGGAAAAACAGCATTTAAAAATACTCAAAACAGAAGCTAGAAAAAATTATGCTGACGTATTTTGGCTCTAAAATAAATAGAATCTAAACGAGATCGATGACGTGAGAGAAAAATTAAACAGATCATTGTAGAATCTGATTTATGCAACGCCATCTCAGTTACTTCAGAATGAATATTCAAGAGAAAATATCAAGATATAGAAAGCCTTCTATTAATCGGCTTGTCCACGTAACGCGCTACTTTCCTGATCAGGTTTAAAAATTTTGTTTTTTCGATATAGACAGATCTAAGCCTATTTTCTGGTATAGGTTTTTACGCTGATTGTGAATCTGAACTTTTTTTCGTAAAAAGAATTGAGTTTTTCAGTTTTCAAAAATTGTATTTTCAATTTTCTAACCAAGAAATTTAAAGTAAAATGCAGAGTAATATACCATTCGATCCAGAGTTTGATTCTCTACAAAATGACCTATTCATTTTTTACTCTCATTCTTCAGGACAACTTATAAGTTCTTGTACAGTTTCTAACTTACTATACAATTATTGAGCTCGTATTTTGATGTAGCAACTTGATTCTTTTACAGAAGGATATATGTACGACAGTGATCAATATATATAAACAATAAATCTTTTTAAGCATATTAAGTGCTTCAAATTTGATCGACAAAAAAAAACGTGTCATAGAGTTACGTTTGTTTTTTGCATTTTTAATCTGAGCGAAAATAGTTTAGGGAAAAATATTTTTTACTGCTTGAAAGCCCATTCAATTCGCTACAAAACTGGTACCATAAGCATTTCATTTGAAGAAATGATTCGTCAAAAAATTGGAGCTTTATAAGCAGCCTTAGAAAAAAGGATCCTTTTTTGTCGCAGTGTTACACGATGATAAAGCCTTTCTAGAAGCGCGAGAGTTCAGTCAAACCTGGTCATTCTTTCAACATAAATAGAGTATGATAAGTTGCGTCGAATGATGTTTGAACGACCTTGTTAGCTCTTATGCCTTTGGAGATAATTCCAAAACAATTTGTCAAAATGTCACAGCGTTACGTTTGGACAAGTCGTTTAAGAAATATGCCACTTATTTGAAATTTTTATTTGAAAGAAAATATAACTGAAAAACAAAGTTAGACAACTGAAATGCTTGTTATGTGAGAAAAAATACAGATGCTATTGGCAGTAATTGAAAATATTATATAAAGATAGACCTTCACAAAGTAATAAATATTATAACGAAAAGCAAACTATCAAAATAGAATATTAACAAGGTATTTAATATACTAGAATGTTCTTTCTTGTAAGATATTTTCATATTGATATTATTGTTATTGCTTTACTATTGAGTGCAGTCGTTTATTCTTCAGCCTACGATGTTGGTGTTGATTATCATGCTACTGAAGCTGATTTTATCGATAGTGTCTTTATAACACAATATCATACTCCAAATGTACGATCAACAGTTCTGACTCAACTTCAAGGTATTACTGATAGAGGTGCAACTTTTGTTTCTTTACGAATTTGGCTTGTTGCACAACCGAATGGATCGGCCGATCCAAATTGGCAAGCTACATTTCCATTAAGTGATCAAGAAAAGACAAATCTGCATCAATACGCTAATGATGTAGCATCTATTCAGAGCGCCATTGATGGTCATCGATTGCGTTTAGATGTTTGCCTTCTATGGTTAGGTGCTGCAGATTATACAATTGGTAATTTAACTGTTGGCTTTGGATATTTTCATTTAAATGCTAGCGAATTTACATTACGTGTCGAAAAGACCGTCGATAGTGTTTTACAAGCGCTTGCAAATGTTAAACGACCGGATGGTGTTCTACTGGTTCAAACTGTTTATCTCGAAGGTGAAGTAATGATTGGCGCAAAAGCAAACCAAGATTGGTTTCTTGCTACTCATTATCCACGTTTTATAGAAGTTGTCACAAATGCCAATTTTACTCCATCGGTCTATTTTCTAGTGGATGGACTTGAAAAACATGTTCTTCAAGCTGATTATATCGATGCACAATTTCCAGCTTTGAATGGACATCGATCGATGTATTGGGTCTATCGTAGTCTGAATTTTATGAAGAATGAAAAGTTACCATTACCATCACGTATTGATTTCTCTTGTTACATCGATCGGCAAACAGCTACTTATGAAAGTTTAATCAGCCATATTATTGATGATGCATCAGCATCGTTGTCTGTTCTTGGTGCTCCTGATTTCTATGGTGTTGCTGAAACATATTATTTCGTTGATGATACACAAAGAAACGAATATGGGCAAGCTTTTGCCATCGAAGCTTTACTTAATCCACGTCTCGATCGACTTAGTTTTTGGACAACACCTGATGCTGGAGGACAAGGAGTCAATGTAGCTTATCCATTTGCTATTGAAGATTTTCTTTTACCTTCTTCGTATTGATTTTCAATCATTTTATTAATCCATCGTTAATTTATCGACATTTGAAACAATAATAAACAACTATCAGAAATATTCATTGAATAGAAAATAGAAAGCATAACAATCAGTTTAATACCGAACAGTCAAAGTTTATTTTTAAACTCTTTACAGGTAAATCTACTCACAATAAATGATAGTTTCTTACGTTTTACAGTCGGTAATAAGAATAAACTTAAGACATGTACGTTCTCACTTAGAATGAAACATTGCATGGCATAGAATTGAGAGAGTTTTTTAGATGGATCATTCAATGACTAGCCTTCCAATGCTGTATATATGATAATTCAATTACATAGAGTTTTTGGAAGAAAAGAAACTGGATTTCAACTGGTGCCATCTATCTCCTATGTCCGATTGGTTAAGCGATGATTATTATTTATGTTTATTATGTGGATATGCTGAGACCCGATGACTCTTCCATATGCTCTTGAAAGCTTATTGACTCATTCTATTTCAGTCTATCACACGTATTCAAATGAGCGACATGCAGACAACTAAACAACTTAGTGGCGATATGCTCTCTCCTGGATCTCAACATACAGAAATACCGCTTGGTGCTTCTGAAGACAATAGTGCCAGTTCTGCGAACAATAATGATTTGTAGTCATAGTACCATTGTTTATTCTGTTAACTTATCTTTGTTTTTCGAAATCAATAGATCACCTTGGAATTTGTCGAATATTCAAAAACTAAATGTTGGCGAATTATACAGCGAACAAACTAAAAGTTTACGTCCTTGGACAGAATTTTTTCATACCAATCAGTTTAAAAAACCTGCTAGCATTAAAGCTGGTATGTCAATTTTTAAAAATATAGACAGAAAATCATATTTTCGAGTTTAGCTGGTCGTCGACTTCTTTTAAATGTTGAACATTTTCGAACAAATTACATAATAGTTGCTGTTATTTTATCAATCTATTGCGTGTAAGATAATTTTTATTAGAACATAAAACGGAGATTTATTTCATTTTAATTAGAATTACATCACCAGCTTTACTATTTGTTTTACTAGCAATGGGTGCTGGCTGTTATTTAGTTACTTTAAAAAATCGTGACAGCCAATTATCCATTATGGGTAAGTCATTTGACAGATCAAAACGAATTATTTTCTAATTAACTTACTTTTTTCTCATTTCAAGGTCATCAGATTCCAACAAGTCAACAGTATATAGCGGTAATGTGTCTTTGTGTTCCATTGCTTCTCATGGTCGGCGCAGGTTCAGCAATATTTTGGATTCTTGGTAATTCAAATAAATTAAAATTTTTAATTTACACATTTGTTCTTATTTTCAGGCGCTTCAGTATTTGTTATATTACTTCATGCACTCTTTCATCAAACACCAAATCAAGAAGCCTTTGGCGTACAAATGGAGGAAGCTTAAACGAATAAGAACTTCTGATTCCCATTTTTCTCTCACTCTCTCTCTTATTACAATGTGATATTTTATCGGGAATTTTCGATATAATTTTAAATGCACTAAATATGATGATATTTTCCAAAGCACTCTTAACAAAGACTATGTCAATTTTTTCTTCTTCGCTTGACAATACTAATAAAGAATATATATATACGTATATGAATTGTTTTAGATGGCGCCATCATCAGAATACATTATTGAATTTAAAATAGATGTTTTTAAGACATTAAAACTTGCCGGTATAACAACAGGTGTATTAACAGCGATAGGCCTTGGCGCTTATTATATTCATCGGACTTTGCAAAGCTCCAAACGTGTTGTTCTTCACGATGAAGTACGAAATATTCTTCGCCCATTTCAATTATCTGAAGAGCAAATTCGCCGTGTTATGGCAAATTTAAATAGTGAAATGACAAATGGTTTAAAATCTGACGGAGCAGCAAATGAATTAGCTATGTTTCCAACTTATGTACATCATGGACCGAGTGGACAAGAATCTGGAGAATATTTAGTTGTTGATTTAGGTGGTTCAAATTTTCGAGTCTCTCATGTTGTTATTGAAGCAAGAAATCGAATGCATTTAAATAATAAAATATTTCTTATTCCGCATTCATTATTATTAGGTGAAGGAGAAAAATTATTTGATTATATTGCTGAATGTTTACAAAGATTTATTGATGATAATAAATTATCTTTACTTAAATCACCTGATTATAAATTCGATTTAGGTAACAACTTTATTTTGATTTTTATAATACTAAATTTACATTTTGAGAATTCTCATTTATTTGTATGTGTGCGATGATGATTGCATGTAAAACTAAAACTAAGACATAAAAACATTCACTTTTGTTAATGTATTGCTTGAATTAGTGTAAGCCATGAAAACACATCAGGAAATCGTAAATTTCGAGTGAATGGGATCGTTTAGAATGTATGCTAGCAGTACTTTCAATGCAGGAGATAATATTTTGATAATAATGATATGGGGGTCTATCGAAAACAAACAGGTTTAGTAGCGAATTTTTAGTTCTGTCATATATTGAGTGAAAGTTTAAATTTCACATAGCCATCCTTATACAGTTTATGCTCAATTATCTATTGGACCGTACATAAAATTTAATTAAAATCTTTGAAAAAACTGATTATGATTATTTTTGTCTCCTTTTAGCTTTTACATTCAGTTTTCCTTGTCATCAAACAAGTTTACGAGAAGCTACATTAGTGTCATGGACAAAAGGATTTAGTTGTACCAGTGTTGTTGGCAATGATGTTGTCCTTATGTTACAAGCAGCTATTAATCGACGAAAAGTAAGGGCAATTAGATAAACAATCAATAATGCTATTATCCGTGTTTCGTCTAGGGTCTCAACATAGAAGTTGTTGCTTTAGTCAACGATACGGTTGGTACATTAATGGCATGTAGTTCAACTTATCGTGATTGCAGAGCAGGTGTTATTCTTGGCACAGGTAAATAGATTATTAAAATTAAAAACTTTTTCAGGCATCATATTTCTTTTAGGAACAAATGCCTGTTATTTTGAACATCTTGATAATGTACCTAAATGGATAAGTCCACGAGATACTGCAACAAAAAATGTTATTATTAGTACAGAATGGGGCGCACTTGGAAAGGTTTGTAGTCGATTTAAGTTAATATAAATATATGTATTGATTGTTTTATTTATTTATTTAGAATGGTTCTCTTGATTTTATTCGAACAGATATTGATCGTGAGCTTGATGAATCGAGTTTAACACCGCAACAACAAATTTTTGAAAAAATGATTTCTGGTAAAAACCGAAACATTGTGAAAAAAAGAAAATGTTTTAAGAAATATTAAGTTTAGCTCTTTATCTCGGCGAAATTGTTCGTTTAATCATTGTGGATTTGGTTCAACGTTCAATTCTGTTTCCCGGTCGCATGCAAAAATCACCAAGCATTCGACCTGATTATAATATTTTTCTTATTTTAAGAGGTAAAAATAGAACGAATAGTAAACTAAAAAAACAACTATCAAATAATGCTTTTTTCTTGGCTCATAGGAAGCTTCTACGCGAAACATGTTGCAGACATTGAAAGTGACACAAGTAAAAAATAAATTTCATGATTTATAAATATATAAATATAATTTCTATTCTAGCTGAAGACTTATCAATTACTGCTAATATTCTAACTTCAATTGGTATTCATGAACCATCGTACGATGATTGTTATATTATTCGAGAAGTATGCAAAACAGTATCACTTCGAGCAGCTAAATTAGCAGCCGCAGGTAAAAGAAAGCACTCATCGTATTATTATTTTTTCATGTTCACAAGAATAGTTGATTCTCGAAATCTTCATATTCGGTTAGTCGATGATACTGAAAAATAATATTTTCTAGCTATTGCGGTTCTTATCAATCGGCTCAATATGCCTTCCGTAACAGTGGCTGTTGACGGCACACTTTTCCGTCATCATCAAAAATTCAAGAAAAATCTTATTCGAACAATTGATCGTCTTGTACCAAGAACAGTAAGCTTTAAACGAAAACAAAACAACTTATTGTATACTCTACTTAATCTTTATTTTCCAGCATCGTTTGGTTCTTTCGGAAGATGGTTCATCCAAAGGTTCAGCTTTAGTAGCTGCTGTCGATCGACGTTTAAAAACAGCATCAACTACATTAGAAAAAACCTTTCCATCATAATTATCATAAAGATTTATAACCAATATTGCCGATCCATATTTCCCGCACGATTCTTTGTTTTTATATGCTAAAATATATTCATTTTTTCGTTGTCTATTGTCTTTTTTGCCTAGTCATTTTTAGAATATAAATTTTCTTTGTTAAATACCTCCTATCCTAGTCTTGCATCCGGTTGGATATTTTTTTCTCCTCTTATAGATCTTATTTATAGGTTTGATTTTTACCTTAATTCCTTCCTAAATCTTTATTTTTATGTTTACGCTTTTCTTTTAATTTAATCAATGAACAACAATTTTTTTTCTTCTTTAGATTTATTTTCATATGAATATATGGATGGCGTTTATTTGCCTAATGGTCGTCAACTTGCATTAATTGATCGTGAGTGGATTCTTGACGAATTACCTCATTTAGGCAATCCTGACGATAATTCTGACGCCAATTATTTACTTGCATCGGCAGCAGCCGCTAATTGTAGTACTCGCATAGCAACAGGTAGTTCACTGGGCCGAACGACATCAACGATTGGAACCGGTAGTGGTTCATCACACGGAACAACTCATACCGTTAGTGCAACTAACAGAACTATTGATAGTACAGGAGCTGTTGGTAGTACAGGAGTAAATCATCACGCAACAGAAATTAACCACAACAATAGCGTATCGTATAATCCAGACGAATTTGAAAGTGATTTGACATTGCTGTCGGAAATTGTTGACGAAACACAAAATAAGTGGTCTGATTTTGGTCTTAATCAATTGCTTACATCCTATGCGCGTTCCAATCAACCAACATTCAAATAAACTTATCATTTTTATTTCTTCATTATTGTATTAAAGTAAACTCACTTAATTAAATTGATTTTGTTGAAAAACCGATTATGTTTCCTTTGCAACGTTTAATATTTCGTATGAAACGTTATTTTCTTCGATTTAGTATTGCATGTCATAAGCGACATAAATTTAATCGTTTATTTCGACTTTGTCTTATTCTTATTGTTGGCCTTCTGATTTTAAATATAGTTAATGGTGTACTTTTTTCAACAATATTATTTCTTCAAGAAAGTTCGGATGAGCCCGATTACGATCTTGACACACGTCCATATTATAAAACAATCGAAATGGAAAAACGTTTTGATATATCAGGAAATTATTTAATTGTACAAAATTTTATGCGATATCAAAGTAATCTAACAAAAAATGCTCACTTACTGGCACTTAATTTACATACCAATATTGAAAATCTTCATCTTTTACTAAATCATACTAAAGTTTGGGATGGACCAATATCATTAAGTCTATATGTCAAAGGTATACGAGCTAGTGATGATATTGATTATGCATCGATATGGCTCCGATGCAATCGCAGATTATTCAAGGTACTAAATATTCATCTTGTAATGTCAGCAACAGCATATGAACGTAAGTTACTTTATATATTTTCGCTTCCTATAGAAAAGTAGCCAACAGATCATCACCCTTTCTGTTGCTACAATGGGAAATTCTTAAAATTGAACATTTTCACTTTAAAAATTTCCTTGAGATTTTTTTAATAGCATCAAAATGAAAACCCTCAATACGTAATTTTTATTTTATTTAGGTTCAATATCGAATCAACATCATTCTCATAGTATTAAATATGCCGTCCGTTGTCAACAACTAACCTATATTAATCATACTGAAGAAACTGATTCAACTCCATATCCATCAAATCTTCTTCGTAATATAGCTCGTTTGGGCACAACACCATCCACTGTTCAATATATTCTAACACTTGATATCAATATATTTCCTGTTTCGGACTTATTTCATCATCTTGTTTCATTCTATACTCAAATAAAACTGATCGAAGAATTTAATCGCACACTTTATGTTATTCCAGCGTTTGAAATTCATATCGATACCGTAAAACGTGGAACGCCATTACCACAAAACAAGCGTGAATTAATTTTACTATGGAACGATAATCAATTACAGCCATTACAAGCCGATGTTTGTCCTACATGCCAATTTCTAACAAATTATCAAGCATGGAAACAAGAAGCGAGTGAAGATAAAATAGTTCCACTCTTTCGACCTCATTATTCACAACCGTGGCAACCCTATTATATCGGACCCAAAGATGTGCCAACGTTTGATGCACGTTTCAAATCTCATGCGCATGCTAGAATAAGTCAAGTAAGAATCATATTGAATTTAGTATGTGTATTTACTTATTTTTATTTATTCTAGTGTTGTGAAAGTTTTATGGCTGGTTATGATTATGTTGTATTAAATAATGTTTATCTATATCGATTAGGATTTCTTGATAAATCTCAATTACCAGCAACAGAATTCATGGACGATGATACATCAGTTTTACTTTTCGATCAATTTCTTGAAGATCTAGCAAAACATTATTTAAATACAACGAGAAAATGTTGATAAAATTGTTTTTGTTCTGTTATTTTCCTTTTTTTTTTAAATACAATTAAAAATCGATTTTCAAAATAAAATATTATTATCAATTGTAGATATGGAAAGAGAGGAAATAATTAATTCGATAGATACACATTTAATTAGTGCACCTCCATCTCGAACAATTGAAAATCGTTTAAAGCATTTTTTGGGTTTTCCAAAATCTATAAATAGTGAATATATTAATGATGATGAACAATGTTCTTGGTGTATGTTGAAATATATATGTAGAGTATATATAGAAAACAATAAGGGTTTTTTTCTATTATAGCTTCGAATACACTTCTATGTGCAACTGTCTTTCTTGAAGATGCAGTTAATTATCAATGTATAACGCATAAAATAACAGAAAAATATTTATTAATCCACCGATGGTGTTCAAGTCCGATGATAAAAAAGTAATAGATACGATGATTGATAATTAAAGAAAGATATTTTGTTATAGAATCCATCAGATAATGTTAATAATTAATCTTTGCTTGGCATTTTTTGAACGACCATCTTCGTTTAGCGAAACATCAGATGTTCGTGATAAACCTGATCGAATTAATTTTCCATTTTTTATTTTAATGGTTGTTGAAGGTGTAACACTTGTTTGGTTTAGCATTTATATTTTTACGAAAGTAAGAAATTAAAATTTTATATTTTCTGATTCTCCTGATTGAAATTAGATTGCGTGTGTTGGTATAAAACAGATTCAACGGCGATTTTGGATAATTATTTTTTTAATTGTTGTCATCTATTCATTATGTGAATGGTTTGTAATGTTAGTCTTTCTTAATCAACTATATCACGGTGTACGTATGCGCTAATTAAAATAATTTTTATTATCTTTGATTGGTCACAAATATTTTTAGATTCGTCTACGCCGTATTTTTCGTCCTGTATTTATGATTGAATCATCGCCATTGATGAAAAAAGCATTTCAAGCTTTAAGTGCAAATGCTTTAACTATTATTGCGTATGTAAATTAGGAAAAACAATTCTTCATGATAGTATAGTTTTACTTTCTGTATAGTTCTATTTCTTTGGCGCTTATTCATATTCTTTTCTTTGCTGCTATGGCTATGTTTCTATTTCCACGATCCGATGTATATGATCATAATAAAAAAGTAATTTTACATAAAATGATTTCTATTTTGCTTAGAATCGACCAGATAGTCAAGGCAGTACTTATTTTTCTACTTTGCATGATGCAGTTCTTCACTTACTTGTGCTTCATTCAACAGCGAATAATCCTGATGTAATGATGCCTGGTAAAAAAAAAAAAGAATTCATCTTTATTGAACAGCGAAAATTTTCAATTGGTTTCTATTTATAGCTTATTCGGATTATCGTTTGAATGCATTGTTCTTCATAATTTTCGTTATTATTGGTAAAATGTAGGCACATTGGTGATAGCAAATGGAAGTTGTTTTGTTTGTTGTTTATTTTATTCAGGAATTTATTGGATACAAAATATCGTAACAGCAGTAGTTTACCGTGCCTTTCGAGGTTATTTTTTAAGTTCAATTGTTAACTCTCAATTGCGACGACGAATAGCTGTTCGAGCTTCGTTCGAAATATTGAAACAACGTACGACACATGGAGGTTTGATTGAAACAAGGTAGCTATAATCAATAGGAAACTCGTGTGGTGTTTTTTTTGAGGAAGAGAGAGTGATTGAATTGAATTCTTTTTTAGAGATACTGTACCAATATCAGTTGTTCAAACTGTATTAAATTGTGCATCGATGAATAAATGGCATACCAAATGGATTAGTGAAGTAAGACAATATAGAAATGAATTCAATCTGACGCGTTTTCTATTTAGCGATTATCTGAATTAATGCTTGAGAATGAGACAATTAATCTTGATCAATATTCTAATACAATGAAATTATTAGATTTAAATCCTAAATTATCACCAGTAAGAAAGCGAAACAGAGTAAAAGAATTAATTGGAAAACTTAATTTTTATTTGAGGAACTTCACATTCAAACATTAGGTGGCAATATGCTCGATCGTTGTAAAGCTATTTGTCGTTCGAAATACTTTGATTTAATTGGTACAATATTTGCTATATTAAGTGTTCTTTTTGTTACAGTAAAAATTCTATTATTTTTCTTAGGATATGTTTAAACTAGTTTCTTATTTTCAATAGATTGAAGTTAGTAATCGTCCTGTAAATACGGATTACATGGATTTAGTTGCATTTACATTACCGATGGCAATAGCTAATTGTTGCTTTTTATTTTATTTCGCTCTCGAAATAATTCTTAAAGCATGGGCATTTGGGCCACTTAATTTTTTTCGTTCATCAACTATGTGTATATTAGAAGCGACCGTCGCATTTACATGTTTCGTAAGCGAAAACATGAATGAATCAATGAATGATTTATTTATAATTTATTTCTTTGAAATAGATATTACAAGTTATATTTTTGGTAATACATGGCACACCGATTGTTTCAATGATGTAAGAACAAAAAACATACGATTAGATTTTTGTAATTACGTTTTTAATTTATTTGATAGTTATCTTGAAATGGTAAAGAAACAAAAACCGATTTTCTCACTTTGGGCTGCAATAAAAGTGTGCAATATGCTATTCATCTATCGATTAGTTCGTTTCTTACCGGCATCAAAAAATATTCGAATTATTGTTGGAACAATTTTTGATGAATTTCGAAATGGTGGAGCTTTCTTTGGCCTTCTATTCGTAGGTTTTTCTTAGTTCTAATAATAATAATATGCAACGCAAGAGTAATGGTACAAAAATTTCTTTCTATGTCTCTTCAATCAACTGTAACTGCAGAGAGTAACATTTGAAGAAAAGATCTACACTCGCTTTAAAAGAAATAATCACAATGATAAAGGCAAAGACTATACGTTCAAATGCATTACATGAACCGATATTACAATCGTATTGCTCGGTGTGTTGTGAAAGGAAAAAAACAATCGTAATAAGCAATAACTTTCTGTCGGTGACAAGTGTGTTTGTTCAACCGAAGTAGCGAATTGCTTTCACTGTTCGAATAGTAAATGATTTCTATTTGTTACATATAGCTACATAAGTAGATTTACACGAGAATAGAGAACGATACACATGCAGAAAATTTTCTACGACCTTGTCATTTAAAAGAAAAAGAATGTTGAAAAGTTAATATCAGAAGCCACAGTCCACGAATAGTTCCTTTTATTCCTGCCTTGTTTCATTGTCGAATAATTGACAAGCATTAATAATATAAGATTTCAAAGGCAAGGAAAATTTTTTCTTTGAATATCTTTTAATTGAAGAGAAATAAATTTTGAATTTTTGTACCTTAGCTTTTATATTAATAGAGAGATAATATTTTAGAGTTTTTATTATGCATATTCAATTCTTGGAATGGAATTATTCGGCGGTGTCATGGATGATTTTTACATACGTTATAATAAATCCAATATAACGTGAATACGTGATTAATTTTCATTTTTACTTGATCAATTATATATTTGTAGAATTTGTGGTACTTATGAACAGCTTGAATATTGGCCAAATGGATTCGATGATTTCTATGTAAGTTGAAACACATCAAAATATAAACTTCTCTACCTTTAGTTTATAGTCATCGATAATAACGTTGTATAATGTAATGGTTGTAAATCAATGGGATATTTTCGTTGACGGATTTCGCAATGCAACAAACTCCTAGTAAAGACTTTCATCTCCCAGTGCTGTGCTTTTTATTTTTTTCTCAATAGTTGGAGCGAATTATATTTTATATTTTGGTATTTATTTGTAACAAATATTGGACTCAATGTTTGTCTTGCATTGAGTGGCGATGTAAGTGTCTCATTGCTTTTTATTTTTATAATTATTATTTTATTTTCATTAAGATTCATGATGCTAAAAAACAACGAGCTGATCAAAACGAAGAATTAATCGTATCGAATATGTATGACATTTATCGGTATGTACTCCGTAAGAAGAAAAAAATCGAGATTTAAAATTAACGAAATTCTATTTAATTAGATCTCAAATAAAAGAACCATCTTCAGAAGAAATTACAGACCAATTAAACAAACATCCATATATCAATTTTTGTCAGCGTTCTGCTGAAGGCATTAATCTATCTTAAATAACTTTTTTTCCGTACCCGAAGATGTGGTGATGAAATGACGAAAATATGTGTACTCTTTCATTACAAGAATATTTTCTCTAGTAGAAATCGTCCTTCGTATAGTCGACAGAGGTCACAGAATGCGAAAAAAAATCATGTACCCAATCTCCACGCAAAACAACATGTATCTACTATATATACGCGCTTCTTTACGCATTTTAGAAAAATTTTCTTATGTCTTCCCTTCATCGCCAGTATTTGAATAGGTACACCACATTTATGTTTTATGTAGCTTATTTTTGTATGATTTTCTATGTATGAATATGAAAACCATCGATATGAAATTTCTTTGTCTTCTAGATGGCTTATTACTTAACTCGTTCGTTGTTATCATTACGCGCTCTTAATCCATTAGGAGGATCAATACGTGCATTTTCTAATATGTACACGGCTACTTGTACAGCAACAGGCGGTCGTGATGGTCAAGTTGTATGTGATGATGATCGATCACACTTAGATGTAAAATTAACAAAACCAAAACAAATGGGTGGCTCAGGAGTTGCGGGAACAAATCCCGAAGAACTATTTGCTGCTGGTTACAGTGCTTGTTTTCTAGCTGCAATGGGCTTAGCAGCACAAAAACTTAAAACACCATTACCAAAATCATCGAGCGTTAGCGCAGCTGTTACTATTGGCAAACATGATAATGGTAATTTTGGTTTCAAAGTCGATCTAACAGTGAAAATCCCAAACGCAAAACAAGAAGATGCTGATGCAATTACAAAAGCTGCGCATTATATATGTCCTTATTCTCGTAAGTTGTTTTACCTTAACTATAGAAATTCATCTAATGTTTGATAATTCTAGATGCTACACGTAATAATGTTGAGGTTAATATTAAAACTACAATATAAAATGAACTCCAAAAAGCCGAATTCACTTTTCATTGTTAGATTTTATTTTTACTTTTCAGTCTCCGTTTTTTATTATTTAAATAAACATATATGTATTTTCAGTGAACTATCACAGTTAACGTTTTAATGCTGAATAGTTTTTGCAATCCAATCTGCATAATAAGATATTTTCGTATATACACCAAGGCCAGCACAACTAAAACCCCATGATATTAAACCAACTAAATGCCAACTACCATTTCGTAATAAAATCATGGGACCTCCTGAATCACCCTACGAATACAAACAAAGAAAATTCGATTTCTCAAATGAAACTTTTCATTAATAAAACTAACTTGACATGCATCACATGTTGAATTTTTACATAGGCCAGCACAGAGAGTTGTGACGACATTAATGTCTTTTAATCCACATTGATCAGTTGATTGAATAGGTACTTCGACTTCACGTAAATATCGAAAATTACCTGTACCATGAGTTTCTCCCCATCCTGTAACAATTGTTCGATCGTTAATATGAACAAAATCTTTTATGGATGGTAAACATATTGCTCGAACATACGGACTGAATACAAGGGGTTTGGACAATTCAAGTAATGCGATATCATGCACCCATCGCGTTGATTTTCCATTGTACGCAGGATACTATATGTACATAGAACAAAAAAGAACTAAATGCAGTTTTATGAATCTATCCACTGAATTATATACAACAACAATTTGCTTGATCGTTCTTGTCACTCGTGAATGTTCAACACGATATCGATCATGTATACCAAATTCAGTCATTAAATTTTGTGGATTCGATCTACAATAATTTACGAGTTTCGTTTTCTCTTAGACAAAACATAATAATACCCATTAACACAATGTGCTGCAGTTACGATCCATTTGGCATTGAGAACGGTTGCTAAATATGAAAAAGAATCAGCTGCCAAAAACAAAAGAAGGAAAATTTATTTATCAAGGTTTAACCTCCACAAAATTTGCCACGATCATTAAGAAGCACTTGCCATGGATGACTATGTGGTACAACTTGACGACCACCAACAATGCGACTAGAAACTACACGTGCATATCTATGGCCGTCTGTCGATGTTATACCACAAGCTATGATTGAATTTAGCATAAATTATAAAAATTTCATGAGTTTTATTTACCAGCATAGTTTTCCGTAGACAAGATAGATGGATTAACTAAATGTGATGGTGTACTCATTGGTTCTAGAAATAGAGCATCGTTCGCAATGTAAAGAACAAAAACAAAACTCACGTTCTACTTGAATCAGTCGATAGCTCATCAAAAATTTTACCTCAAGACTCGGATCAGTAAGACGAACTTCGACCATTAATGTTTTCCCTACTCCAGCTATACGCATTTTATGACGGTCACCACATATTTCAATTTTTTCATTTTCTAATCCTGGTGTCCATAAATTAACAGAACCACGACGACAGCCCGTTGCTATAAATTCTTCAACAGGCACGGGAATAAACACATAATCAAATTCGACAACGATACGCTATAGAAAATTAAAGAACATTACATCAATATAAAAGAAGAAATAGAATTTGATAACCTGTTGAGGTGAACCAACTACTAACCACTGGCAATGAATAACTGATTCCGTATTCACCGTTGTTGCTGTTTTATTAAAAACAAGCACACCGGTATCATTCATAAAACTGCGTAACAACGGACAATTAGTTAGTACCACAGTTGGTATAGAATTCATTAAAAGAATTAAAATCCAAAGAAATTTTTTGCCTGTATTTTCGAAGATAGAAGCATTGAAATTTTTTACATCGATCATCATTCTTTTGTTTCTTTGTTAATAATCGAGATCTATTCGTGTTATTTTTGTTCTTATTATCATTTTTAGCTTTCAACTAACAATGAGAATAATCAATACGTTTTTTTTCTCTCTTCCTCTTCAATGCAAAAAGGTATCTTTATTTTAACCTTCAAAATATAACGAAGAATAAATGTGATCGACGTACACATAAAAGAAGGTCTCATCATTGTTTGAAGTACGCTGATAGAATTTCTTATTTTGAAAACCTTGATTCAAGTAAATAAGATTTTTCTTTTTGTTTGTTTATGTTATTAAATCATTCGTTTTGACGCGACATTTAAACAAATGAAAAACATTTTATGTTGTTGAGCTACTCTTCTTGTTTTACAAACTAAGTGAAAATTTAACAAAAGAAACATTTTTCTTTTATTGTCATAATAATTGTTAGAAGTTTTTCTTTTCCCTGACACGTTTGCGTGACTTCATTTCGACAGTTAATTTTATCCGGCTTCTTTCTCTTGTTCTCTGTATTTAGTTGAGTATACACGCGTAATAAATTGAGAATAAAAGTATTTATGCAAATGATCACATTATAGAAAAGAGGTCAGTTGTATTATTTATTACCATCCTTGAATTATGTATGTTTCATCGTCTCGAATATATTCATTTACTGAGACTTTATCAGTATAAAATAGAACGAAAAAACAACAACGATGTCACGACCATGTATACACACACAAAATATGAGAAACAACAGAATTTTTTTTCTATTTTATCAAATGTCAAGTTCTGAGATAAGCGCTGAATAGTGGCACGTTTTATGCGGGAGGATGAATGATGAAAATCAGAGGAGGTGTGAGTAATAATAATAATAATAATATTGTTAACATAGAATTCCATGGAATCTATGTATCAGCATGCAATAGCTTCAAAATGCCGATATATATATATATATATGCATAGAATATGAGTTTTATATAACTATTTTTTTTCTCTCCCTCTCTCTTGCTTATTCATATGCTTGCTCTTACATTCTGGATACATTATGATTATGAACATGTGTGTGTGTCGATAAACTCAGTAGTAAGTAGATGTGCATGTGCTCAATTGGTTTGCCTGTAGGCTCCTTTTTTTGTTCTTTCCTTTGGCTTTTTCGTCAGTTGTACAGGAGTAACAAGAACGTATATAAGACAATTGTCCAGTACCATTGGCCGGTCATTGACTCACGCTGGCGTCTTTCTTTTTCTCTTTGCTGTCGATGATAAAAAAAAAAGAAAAAAAGAAACTAATCTATATGCGTGCTATTGCAATCTCTTTACTTCTTGCGTAGTAATCGTGGTAATGTATGGGAGAAAAAGAGAGCAACATAGAGAGAGAGAGAGAGAAAACGAACGGAAGGACGACGACCAAAACAAGCGATAGTGGTGGTATGTACAGAGTAAGTTACTTGCAGGCTACCTCCTCTTTTATCGACACAACAATGATTATGAGCTGATCGCTAAGGTTCAGTCTTTCTTTCCGTTCTTGTTCTTGTTCTTCTTTTTCTTTTTCTTTTTCTGCTTGTTGAGAGAACGATGATAGATGGTGATGATGATGATGATTCCAAGTCAAACACAATTTGACTCTTCCCTTTCCCGTTGCCTTTTATCGTGTATCTATCGAGACTAAGCGCATTTATAAAAGCATTGAACGAATTATTCGTAAGCTGATTGAGTTTCTTATTTCTATTATAAGTTGTTTTTTTTTCTTCTCTGGCTTTGGATACATGCATATATAAATATATACATACAAATGATTATATAATCGAAAGAAGAAAATCTCATTATTAGAGAGTTAGAAATATTTTAAGAATATAAACAAAATTCTTTATCATAAAAGAAGAAAGGTATGCAAGTTATCAACGTATTTGTTATATTTTTTTGTATAAATAAAATCTTTGATAACACATATACATATATATATATATATATATATATATATATATTTGTGAAATGTATGTATGCTGTCTTTTTTAAATATCTTCTGCACTCTAGTGATGTCGCTGTGATTCCAATGGACCATTGGCTAATTTAGTTTATTTATTTTTCTAAAAAAAAGGAGAAAAACGTTCTTTATATATTCTTTCTAGATGCATAATAAATAAATTAAATATTATTGTTATTATTATTATTTTTTCTTCGTCGGTTATTCATTGAAAAATTAAGATAACAAATAATGTCAAGTTTTCTTCCATCATCATCATCGTCGTCACCGCACACTAATACTAATAGTGGTCTAAGCACATTGCAACGTTCAACAGTAAACAATGCTGCAGCTGATGCACTACGAAAAAAAATGCAACAACTACGTGATGAACTTGAACAGGTCAAAGATGATTTGGAACGTTCACGTAAAGATTTAGATAAAGAACGACGCGGTCGTGAAACTGTAAGCTGAAATATTCTACGTTTTAAAAATAGGAGATTTCTTTTTTTGATAAAAATCTAAATATTTTAGGCTGATGCTGAAGTTAGTCAATTAACAAGAAAACTTCATACATTTGAAGAACAACTTGAACGTACAGAACAACGTTTAGCACAAACAACAAACAAACTTGACGAAGCATCACATTCAGCTGATGAACGAGAACGGTTTGTCTACAAAAAATTAAATATTCAATTAGAAAATTTTCTTTTCTTACATTTAGATCAAGAAAAATGCTTGAAAATCAATTAAATCTTGGTAGTGATCGTACAGAACTACTTGAAGTACAATTAAAAGAAGCTCGTACACTAGCTGCAGAATCCGATAAAAAATACGATGAAGTTTGTTGTTTGATTTCGATTGATTTGTTTTATACATTGATACTGTTTAGGTAGCAAGAAAATTAATAATTCATGAAAATGAACTTGAAAAAGTTGAAGAACGTGCTAAACGATCTGAAGCGTAATTAACATTTCTGTTCGTTCTATATATTGAAGATTTCTATTTTTTAGGAAATGTGTTGATTTAGAACAAGAAATGAAAAACCTTCATCATCAATTAAAATCCTACTTGGCTCGTATTGACGAGGTAATTGACTGTAATTTTAATCTAAAACTAATTTCAGTTCTTCGCTTTCCAAAGGCTCAAAATAAAGAACAAACATATGAAGATCAATTTCATCGTCTTTCGCAACAATTAACAGATGTAAGTCAATAGATTTTTAGTGTTTAAGACGATCGTTTTTATGCTAAATGGTATAAATCAAAAATTAGGCTGAACGACGATTAGATCTTGTTTTTAATCAACGATATGACCTACAAAAATTAGTAGAATTTATTGCAGGTAGTTTATATGAGATATGATATTTGTCTATCCCAGTATGATTTATTTCTTCATTCTTTTTTGTGTATACATGTTTGTTATTTCCTACCTGCATGATTTTGATTGCTGTGTTTGCATGTCTAGGCTGAAACGCGCGCCGAATATTCTACCAAACAAGTACAACGACTACAGCGTGAAGTGGATACACTTGAAGGTTTGTAATCAGAAAAACTACAACAAAGAAGAAAGATGACATTTCATCGCTTATTTTATATTTATTTAATAGAATTGTTATTTTTAAAGCTTTGAATGTTGACTTGCTTTTTTTGCATATAATTTATTTTTCAACGTATAGACTTGAAGAGATTTATGCATGGTTTTATGAGTTAAATGATATCAATCATATGTACATAGAACAATGAGAATTCGTAAACAAGGAAATGGCCCATGAGACGGAGAAACACGGACAAAAAGAATTAACTTATGCACACGAGCATTCGTTAGGGGACATTTTGAAAATTATCAAGTTCATTTGGGAATTTAAACAATATAGGAAAATAAGCTTTTTCTCTGTAAGACTTCTATAATTTGTTAATTAACACAAGCTATCAAATTATTAAAATAATTACTTTTTTTTTGAGTGAAAATTATTTCTCTTATTTCGTAATTGAGGAAGATTGTTATTTGATATGGCTTCTTTTTTGTTACACAAATGAATTTCTGAATAGCAACCAACACAAAAAAATGAATCGGGCTTGTTCTTTATTCAGCTACGAGGGAACATTCTAGTGGACGATACTACATCTCCTAAAGACTAGAACAAGACGGATCTTTTTTTCTTTTCTTTTGTTTGGTTCTGGCGTCGACGGAAATGAGACCGGAACCATTATAGTAATATCTTTAAGAGCACAGAAATTATGAAAATATGGCATTCGACGTAAGATGAACATGATGATAGATAGTATCGATCTGTGACCAGTCTTGGGTAACAAATTCTCTATGATATTTGTTTTTCCAAGTAACATATGATTTTCTAGAATCAATAGAACAAATAGATGTACATGATTGATAATCGAGAAGATGCTTTTCGTAATCTTTTATTAAAAAAAAAATAATATTTCATTTGTATTTGCAGAAGAATTACAAACTGAACGTGATCGCTGCAAAACTCTTCAAAATGAAATGGAACGTTGTTTCTCCGATTTACAACTACTTTAAAACAGATCTCAGGATGAACATTACATTGTATCTTTTATTTGTTCATTATCTGTCGTAAATTTATTGGCTACGAAACATTTTTTTTTTCTTATATTATTATTAGCACACGATCCCAGTTTGTCTAATTGTCAATATATCATCATTTTTATTTGTGTGTGTGTGTGTGTGTGTGTTTCATTTCGTTTTATTTCTTTCTCAGTCTCTTTTGTTCAAAATAAAGTAATCATATTCATGCATTGTACTTGTCTATTCTTCGATAATTTCTCTGTAGTCATCTTAGTTTAATTGTTAAAGATCAAAACGTTCGAATGAGAAATTTTTATTACTATTATCATCACCATCATCATAGTCGTCTTTTTCTTTTGTTTCTTCTATTTTATCTTGTATTCGTAACAGTAAAAAAAACTAAAACAGAAGATTTTCATCATGGGATAAAAAAAAACACTTTTTTATTTAAAAAGTCTGTAATAATATATCTATTCATTCTTCAGATGTTCATGCAATCGTGGGATGAATTTGCTAAGCAAGCTGAACGATTATATCTCAATGATCCAATAAACTGTCGTCTTTGCTTGAAGTATCGAAATGAGATGCTTATATTACGTTTAACTGATAATCATACATGTCTTCAATATAAAACCATATATGCTCAAGATGTGAAAAGGGCCGAAAAATTCATGTCAAGTCTTTTACGTCATATGGCATCGAAAGAAGCATAAAAAACAAATAATGTTGTTGTTATTTCTTTATTGTTAACCATGAAAATAAAGGGATCTGAAGTAACCAAAAGAAAATTGAAAAAAATGTGATATAAGAATTAAAAAATTGAACAAAATATCATAAAACTTCACTTAAATTTTTTCAAGTATTCATCGAGACATCAAAGACTACAAAAACTATTTTTTACGATGTGTGCTGTTATCAATTCGCACCTATTTTTTCCAATGTTCTTTTCTCTCTCTCTCTCTCTCTCTCTGTCTTTAATATGAACATATTTACCGAATGATTGAGGACAAGATATTAATAGCTATATATATCCATGAATCTTATTTTCTTTTCTCTTTCATCCTTTCGAATTTTATTGATTATTACATGAGAAGAATGAACATGGTAATTAACAAGCAATCGACTAATGATACATAGAGAGAGAGACGAAAAGACTTCTCATCATAAATAATATGATCAATAACACCGACATTGTAATAATTCTTTAGAAAAGAATTCATCGGAAGTATTCATTCGATTTTCAAATAGTGAATAAATTTTGTTTTCGATAATTCAAAAAAAACCACAAGACAAAACGAAAAGAAAAAATCAATGTTTTTTTTACAATGTCCATTGAATTAAGAAGAAGAAAAGAAAAATCATTGTTCGACTAGAATGTGCGATAAGAATTACGAATGAAATTCAGTTCATGTGCTTGCTGTATTTGTTGTTGATTCATTCACTACATTGGGTAGAAAACTTGCTAAACCCATCGCTGGTAAAGCAAAATTAATTGTTGGTTTTACAGGCGAATCATGATGATGACGATGATTTTGTTTTGGTGATGAACTAGATGATGCTGGTGATGATGCTGATGAACAGGATGCTGTCGTATCTGTTGATCCATTAAGTACTTGTGATGATGGCATTGATCGAATTTTTGCAGTGGCTAAACGAGCAGCCGCTGTTGCTAGTGGATTTATTGGTGGTACGACTGGATTCATATTTGATTGTGATGGAACAAAACCCGAAGCAGCAGCTGCGTACATGTACGAAAAATATGAAAATGGATCAGAAGGATAACCTGGCCAAGCAAATGCTAGTTTTTGTCGTTTATCTTTCATTCGGCGATTTTGAAACCAAACCTAAAACGAAGTTTTCGTTCATTAACGAATACAGAAACATACATGAAATCTTACTTTAATAGTTGATTCAGGTAATTGTAATTCAGCTGCTAGTTCACAACGTCGTGGTCGACTCACATAATTTTCTCGAAGAAATTCTTTTTCAAGCCGTGCTAATTGTTCACGTGAAAATGCTGTTCGATATCGACGAATATTATCATCATTTGAGTTTGTTGAATTCATATTATTTTTATGATTGAGTAAATGACCATTTGTAATTGTAGAATCATCTAAATAGAGTGTTTCGCTTTTCAATTTGAATACATTTATTTTGTTCCGTCTTATTCTTACCATTATCATCCGATAAACACTCATCAGAAAACGTGCCGGAATTAGATCCTAATAGATAGGAATTATGAGTACCTAACATGATTGTTATGATTTCTTCAAATGAAATCTTCGTTAATCCATCTAACAGACAATTTCTCTCTCCTCTTTTTCTTTTTTTTTCCCTCGCCTTCTCTATATCATTATCACGCTCGTTCTCTTGACGATTATTCGTTCTTTTATATTAATAATTGTATGCGAATAGGAATAAAACATATTCTATTGGTTGACAGGAGAGAAGACGAACAACGAGAAGAAGAGGAAAAATAATTATAAACAATGACTGGTTAACTATTCGTTTTCGAAATGATCATGTTAATGACGACGAGAAAGAGAGCAAATAATTGCTAATATCATTAAATATAGAATGAACGTGAGGTGTGAACAATGAGAAGCATAATTAACAGTTTATTTCTTCGTGAAAATCGGACTAATGTAAATAGATATTGTCGTCTCGTCAAACGGATAAGACTTTGCATGAACAATTGAGATGAGCTGAGACATATCACAAATAAAAATGAAAAATATACCAAGTCAGACATAAATGTCGTTGATTAGTTCTTCTTTTTGTTTTTTAAATATTAGATACAACTAATTGGCTAGAATACTAATCTCCGCCCTCTCCTAATAAACGTTTGTCTCCTTTCGCTTCAAATTTAAAAAGAAAGAAAAAGAAAAGAACATTTGTATCGGACACATTTGATAGTTATATACGTTCATTTAACATTTTTAAGGGTCAATAAACATACATTTTCTATGGCCATCACACCATGGCCGCTGGCTACAAAATGGTATGTCGTTAATCAATGATAGATAATCACATGTTTTCACCTGACCTCCGCCTTACGATCGATTAAAACAAATCGTTTTTTTTCTCTGTTTTTCATTTCGAAATAATAGAAAAATTATTTGGTCTTGCTATTTTTTTTTTCTATCTCTATATCTTATTAAAGTCTTCATTTTGTTGGTGATTGAAAGCACAGGTGTCTGTTATTTTGCCTATTCAGATTTGATTTCATATGCCATTTATTAGTAGATTACTGTTATCAGAAGATCAAAGCCGACGACTCTTTCTACCTACGGTATATACGTCGTTGCATCAAGACAAAGAGACTTCAGGGATTATTTTTTTAATTTAGTTTGCGTGTGACAGACGCCGGCGCACGTTGGCTAGTGTCTTCATTTTCTTGACACTTTACTATCATGCAAAGAAACGATTCACATACTGATATAGGAAGTCCTATTTTCTATAGATTATTCATAAATAAATTTGATTTCATAATCAAACAAATATTGCTTCGCCATGAATTCTTTTTCGCTCTCTCTACTACGTTCTTTCTCTTGCTAAATGTTCGATGATCGAATAGAACATAAAAATAAAAAATTCTACATATGAGTGACTTCAATCATTTTTATCACTTATGTGTAACAGTTATAAAAAATAAACACAGCAGTAGCATCAATTCACTTTGACATGTCAATGTTTACTTATTTTGTTTTTTTGTATTCACATCTTCTATTTTACCGCTAATGATCTGATCGATATTATCATTGAGAAATAAATTTCAACACGAAACAAACCGACAAGAAAGATTCAATTGAAAGATAAGGACATTTTGTTTTTCAGAAAGAAGAAAACTAGGATAAAATGATCAAATGATGAAGTGGTGAATAACATCGATACAGGAATCCTACGAAGAAAGAGATCTACGTTTTAGCTATATGTATATATACAGAGTTTAAGGACATCTATGCAACACAGATGGGCCTAGAAATGTTTTTGGATGGTATGATCGTATGGACATTGCTCTACAACTATAATTCTGGCTTGGCTCTATATTTTTATTGTAAATTGATCATTATGGATATAAAGTACAACATAAATATTGTCTTTCTATGACGCCATAGAAATAGAAAACTTTCGATTAGTGTCTATTATTAAAGAACATGTTATTTGTCGTCTTCCGTTACTGACCAAGTCTCATCTAACATACTGACATCTGTTTGAGACTCGTTCTCCCATAATAGCATCTCATCACATCTTGGTGTGTTCTACATTGAGATGTTCTACTTCTAAGACACACAAGAAAAAGGTCAAGTGAGAAACTTACGATTGTCAATGATGCCATTGTCGTATGTGAAAGAAATCTCGTCACAATCCTGATGATTTTGCTTGTAGATACCCATAGTATTTTGAAACCAAAGAAAAATGATGATTTTATGATTTAATTTGTATGTATATATATATGTATAAATGTTAGATGATTTTTATGGTGGAATAAATGATTATGATCGAAATCGATTTATATATTTCTTTTTTTGCTTTCTTTGCTTTTCGATTCGTTCTCTTGTTTTTAAACCATTATAAAAAAAACCAATCATTAGGTGCGATGATTCTCTAATAACTATTTTTCGCACGATTGAATCTTGCAAATAACTAGACGAAAAACGGCGATTGTTTTTTTTTTCATTATCTGATTGAAAAATTTTCATGTCATTTGTGCAAATTGATCTCAATTAACGCTCTATGTATTTCATGCTCTTTCTGGATCATTTCATATTTGTTTGAAATGGTAATTTTTTTCTTGTTGTTGTTGTTGTGTCCGTTCATTTTACAACTTTCTTCTTCTTCTTCTTCTTTTTATTATTTCTAACATGCGCATCAAACTCTCAAGAGTCATCATACAAATGAAAACAATAATAACAACTAAACAATAAAGACTTTCTATGATTAACACGTTTAGTCAAGAGTCGTTACACATTTCAATCAAAGGATTCACACGCGCAATGATACTGTGTTATGTTATGTTGTTACTGCTCGATTGCATCTCACGAAAACGAGATCAAACAGAGTAAAAAAAGAGTTGTGACACAGTCCTTGACTACGCATATATATTCGCTTGATATAATCATTTTATGGGTTGACTTACGTCAAAGGAAGATATTCTTTATTATTGGCCTAGTTTCTTGTCAAGCATACAAATAAAAAAATACGACGAAGTCAACATTTTGCTTGAAAATGATCCGTTAAATTGATTATAGATATTGGTCTTTCTTGCTTATTCAATCTTTGTGATAGACATCAAAAGTTGACTCCATCGTATAATTATTTATTTTGTGTTCAAACGATGACACAGATCATAAATCACGCTGTTCATCTTCATTAGATACATAAAATGAAATTAATTTTTACTTGCATTGTCATGGTTCTTGTTTGGTTTGTCTTTTGAACATTGCACCGCCCACGAAATAAGCACAAATGAAATTTATCTATCAGATAAGAGTGAAAAGGGCGGTGCCATCGATTGATTTTTTTTCTTTTGCTCGTGTTTCGTTTACCTGCAAATTGTTTTTATATTTTTTTGGTTAGAATCATGTGCACGTCACGGTTTCGCGTGCGTGAATAGATAAAGATACTATCCACGCGCACTTTGTATGACTTTGATCTAATAAGTAAAAGATGCATGACCGTATGTGGTAGCTTAAATAGATGATGAAAATTAGACAAGTTTATTCTTTCATTATCAGGTGATGACCTTTGTAGGAAGTATGTAATTGTTTTACTATTGAATAAGAAAAAAAAGCAAATTGATCTTTAAATGAAGCGTAGAGTATCTTTGTCTGAATTCGAGCGACCTTTTTCGTAAAAGTTTCAAATCGTTTATAAAAACTTCATCTAGTCTGATGACAGAGAATGAAATGTCTCATATATAGTTTGATGCAATTATGTTATGCATTTGTGTTTTGCCAAAATTATCCGAATGTTCTATAGCCAGAGTTGAGAGACAGTCGAACTTCGATTAGAATTTAGCAATAAGTAAAATTTGTGAACTTTTTCAGTTTACATAGGTCAACCAAAAAGTTCTTGGACTTTCAAATATGTATTTCATAGAGGAGACCATTTTACTGATATTTTTACAGTAAATGTTCGGAATAGTCCCCCGTGATGTTCGATACAAAGTTACATCCCTTTCAACTCACTTCTAGAATGCGTTTTAGTAGTCTCCAGTAGGTATCGAATTGAGCTCCTTGACTATTGCCTCAGTTAAACTTGTTGCATCTGAATATATACTAAGATTATGTTTCAGGCAATTGAACAGCCAATGGTCTGAAAGAGCAAAGCAATGCGATCATGTTGGATGAACCACAATTTAGACTCTTTCTTTCCTTTGTGAGACAAATCAGACTGAGAACAATATCTTACTTATGTTATTCTGAATTTTTCTGATGCAACGTTTTATTAATGATTTTTTTCTTATGTAATTGTTGACTTAAATTCTCCAGTATTCAGCAAGATAGTAGTAATATAATCAATACTAGTATATGAATCATCATTCGCAAGATTTTTAACAGCATAAATAATTTTTTGAGTAATAGCGGTTATTGGACGATCACTTTGAAGATTATCTTTCAACAACTCTCGCTGATTTAAAAACCGCTGAATATGCCAAGTAACTGTACACTATGACATGACATCTTGTCCATAAACAGTAGTTAATTCATCATGAATTTTATTAGCAGTTAAATGCGATAAAAAAATAGTTTTTATATACATGTGCAGGCACACTTTTATCCATATGAAATCACTGATGTTCAAAATATCTGTGGAAATTTTGCTATCATAGGTATCTGTGAAACTTTGTATTGGTTCTTCAATACATAACAAATGTCCCGACTAGAATAGATCAATATGACAAACAAAATAAGTAATGAGGGTGTAAATTTAGACTGCTGTTACGGGAACGTTTTGACTCCCCTATGTAAAAGACACGGTAGAGTCACTTATCAAAATGCCAATGAGTTTTATGTTTAAGAGCTTTGATCAGGCTTTTTTTTCCGTTTCCGTTTTTCGTCGAAAGTGGCAGAATCATACTGATGACCTTGTGTATAAATAAAAGTCTGGACTAAGCACTATTTTTCATTCGTCATTTCTTTTACGCATCCGCAGCCTTGAATAGATTTCTATTGATTCCTTTTCCAATAACACTTTTCAAATTAACGGGATAGATGGTTTGGGAATTGTCTTGTTGCTAGAAAAGTACCACTGAAAGCTATTCAGTCAATGTAATGTTAATCTTTACAATGGCATTGAATATTCAAGTTATCTATAAGAAAGTACTGTTACTGCAATTCAGTTAATTAGTCATCAAGCTGTATCGATATCTTTTTCGTTACTTAAATAATGTTATCTTTGAACGTATAAGCTTTGTTGTGTAATCAACTTCAAAAGTAATAGATGCTCATTCGACATTATCATTTATCTTCGCTCGTAAATATTATTCAATATGCCTTATCAGAGTTGACTGTTTATTATTGATGAAGTCATGCAGTTGATCTACTCTTGCTTTACAATAAGATTCAGTTTAATGAATGAACTCCTAACTAATCGTCCTAGTTATATACTTTTTTTCCATCAAACTATTTCACTTTTAGACTGTTAGTACATTAGTGTTTTTATTCTATTAGGTAGAAAGATGATATTTTCGGATAGGAAATCTAATAGCCACTTGTTCGACCGCGATGTATTTAATTGTGTTGAACGGCAGTATAACTGTCACGTGGCGCCATCTCATAATGCATTAAATAGAGTTTTCAATTTCTTTAATAGCTCTTCGTCTAGTTTTGTTTTTTAAGATTTTTATTATAAAATTTGAAAAATTGAAATAACAGCATCTGATTAGTAAACAAAGCGTCATTATATTCCATCTGACAAACAAATGCATCCGTATCCGTACGCTAATTGTTGATAAAAGCATAGTAGACTAGCGAATAGACAAAAAGAACTTATCGTCATCTCTGATACATTTCTTTTCTTGTTCTAGAATTTTATTAGTCAAATCTTTTTCATTTTTATCAATGAGTCGTCGTGGGACCAAACGTCCACGTTTTAGTGTGGGTGGTCAACCTGTATTTGAAAATGAAGATTCATCGAATCATTCTGGCCATGCTTCAATCGATTACGATGATAATTCATTATCTCAACAACCTGAAACATCAACAAATAGTTCCGATCAACATCATTTTGTTCAACATCAATTCGTTCCTGACAGATCAAAATCTCTGCAACGACCAGCAATAAAATCTTCCAATGATGACAATGCAAATCTAAATGTTTGTCTTGATCATCTTCTACGTTTACTTACACGTAAAGATAAGGAAGGTTTCTTTCAATATCCGGTCACTGATCAGGTAAAAAAAGAACTTCCTATTTTTTCTCTTTTGAAAAGATTTGAACTAATATATTTTTTTTCTAGCTTGCACCAGGTTATTCTCAAGTAATTACTCGTCCAATGGATTTTTTTACTATGAGAAAAAAAATCAATCAAGATGAATATTTAAATATTCTCGAATTTCGTACTGATTTTGAGCTTTTATGTGAAAATGCTATGAAATACAATCGTCCTGAAACTGTGTATCATCAAGCAGCAAAAAAACTTTCAGCAACAGGAAATAAATTAATGAATAAAGATAAATTATTAAATCTTCGTCGTACGGTCGAATGTTTTTCTCGACTTACAGAACGTGAATTTGGTTTTCATATTGATTCAATAAATCCTACAAACAATGAGCAATTAGTTAATTCAAACGAACAAATGGATGTGTCATTGAATGATGCTGATAGTGTTCAACGTAAATCAAAAATAGTAGTAAAACTACCAAGATACTATGAGAAATTATCAACATTACTTGGCGATGAAGAAGATGATGAAGAATTATCACCCGAAGAGATTCTTTCTCAAGCACAACATGCTGGACAATGTGCGAGAGAAAAATTAAGCTTACGTCGTCCGATGTCTGCATATAAACTTCTCTATCAACGAACTAATGGTACAACATCACTTCGATTCATTAATCAAGATGATTTATCTCAGCATCCATCTCAAACACGAACAATTACTATCGGAGAATTGAGTAATATGCCATCAAGTGCTGGGGGTCCATCTGCTAATGCATATCATCCGCATCCAGTTCCAATTGTTAATGAAAGTGAAAAACGTAGTCATTTATTACCACGATATTTTCTTGATTATGGACCATTTTCATCGCATGCACCACAATATGATTCATCGTTTACGTCCATATCAAAGAATGAACTTGATTTATTAATACATACATATGGAAGTGAATTTTCTGCTCAATATGCCGTGTCTATGATTGATTATGTCAAAGATACAGGTGATTTAGCTTTATCATATGTCGATCGATTTTTATCAGCAGCAACAAATGGAAAACATGAAAGTTCAATTACCAAACAATCACGCAATAGTAAGATTGAGTTTTTAATCGCTTTGTTTTTGACGCAGAATGCTTTTGTTAATATCTAACGGGCAGAATCTACTATAATCGTTGTTCGAATATTAAGAAACTAATTATCTTGATATCTAGCTGATACTGATTGAACACATTTTTTCACTTGTGCGCGACATCCGCTGAAGTAGTTGTAGTTTTTTCTGGTGCGTATTTAGTAAGTTAGTTGGTGTCAGAAAGGAACGTTTACAGAATCGCTGATTCGCTTTAAGTTATAAAGAATTTGAAATTGAGAATTTTTATCAGAAAATATCTAATATTCACAGGCAAAACAAAATCGATCTAAGGAACTGTCAGAAGAGATTCTATTGCATTAACTAGTTTCATGTAAATCATTAATTTCATTGTCTCGAAAGAGCAAAATTGTTATTCGCCCGGAATTTCTCATAGTGCCGACAAGTAAAAATAAGAAAGCCCAGTTATTATCTCATTATTGTTTTTCGAAGGACATGCTACTTGATTATCCAGGCGAAGTCATTAGCATTGACTTTTCACATCTGTCCTCATAAGAAACTTGGTACAACAATTTCAAGTGCCTATTTTGTTTTTATTATAATTTAGCTCCATCAACTGAACAACAATCTAATGATTCGAATCATATTGCAACATTAGATTCAATAAAATTGGAATCGAACAATCATTTGAATGGTAACATTCAACATCAATTAGACTTGAAATTGGATGAAAATGCTAAACTACTTATTCAATTGCGTCAAGCTCAATACGATCGTTTATGTCAACCATCGAACAAAATCCATCAAATAATATCATCATCTCAACAACAACAATCATCAAGCGAACCTCTCAATGAATATGATATTGCTGAAAAAGTTCTTTGTAATCTCAGCGATATGACACATATATCATCGCAAGGACCTGAACATGTTATATCGTCTGAAGCAATTCGTCACAATCTTGGTATTATAATTCAAAACGACGCGTCACATGTGGATGAGCTGTAAACAAAATAACGTGTTTTTATTTAATTTGTACAAACGGATTGACTTTGTTTTTGTGTTTTGTTGTTGTTAATATTGTCCAATAGAAATTAGGGACAGTGATTGTGTACTAAATGTGTGTCATTTTTCAGATAAATATGAAGTCAGACATAGGGCGTACAATTCAAGATCAATTATCCCAGCAGGACGTACGTTTTACACCATTTCGTTCAGTAAATGATTTTATTCTCGATGCAACATGGAATGCACCGAATTTTTCTGATCTTCCACGTTTGAATAAACGTATTGTTAACAATTTAATTTATTATCAAACGAATTACTTTGCTTTTGGCATTGCTCTATTTCTTCTAGTTGGGTAAGCCGAAAAATCCTTTTTAAAAAGTATTGCCATATTTGTTTTATTTATATATTTTTTTTCAGAATCAGCTATCCAATTGATTTCCTTTTCGGTTTAGTTGTGGTTTTGGCTGTATTAATGGGTTTTGTTTATTTATCGTCATCACCTGGATTTGGCAATAATTCATTGGCTGCTGCAGAACAATTTATTCGTTCAGCTAAAGAAGATCGACCGTTAATTGTTCTTGTTGGCATACTTGGTATTTCTTATTTAATATTAAGTTTTCTTGGAAAATTAATGATTTTCTTATTTGGAATTGTTTTACCTATTCAATGTTTGTAGTATTTTTTTTTGTTTTATGAGCAGTTTTATTATTTCATTTTTTTTTGTTTTAGTGATTATTCTTCATGCTACATTTCGAACAAGAAATTTAGCAAATAAAGTGGTAAATAAATTTGATCGACTTGGTGTTCAAGCAACACCTATGGGCATATTCCTTAGTGCACTTGGATTACGAAGTTCATCATTATTGGAATAAATAACGAAAGAAAAAATAATTAAATGAGATTCGCTCATTGTTTTTTTATTAGTTTCGATTTTCTCTTGTTATCCTTATATACAGTTATATATAATTGCGGTGATCTTGTTCTTTATTACTCTACTTAGTGCTTCAGATTATTTTTCCTTACTATAATAAACATATGAAAACTTAGGTACAAACGTTGACCGTTTATTGGTGATTGAGTAGAGATCAGCGGAGTCGTACTTTTTGATTCCTAAACCCGACCCGATTCCGAAAAAATTTTCTTTTCAATTCCGCTTCCAACTCCGACTCCGAAGAAATTTTTTTTTCGATTCCGATTCCAACTCCGACTCCGACGGTAAATTTTTCCGGAATCCGATCCCGACTCCGGAAAAACCCGACCTTTTTTTTGCAGCTTAGTGACATCTAATTCATATCAAATGTTTGATATTCTGAAAGGATATATGAGTAAACGAATTACTAAGGAACGAATATCATCAATGCTATCGATAACAACAGTATCTTCTGAAGAATCAACCTGCACAGCTCCTAAACAATTATGTATCGATGTCGACGATACTTTCAATGATTATAATAAAGAGAATATTCTTGATTAGTCTATTTTTTTATACTAGTGGTTAATGTCAATATTTTTCTTGTGCCATTTTTTTTTGCTTAAGATTTATTTATTAAGTTAAAATTAGCATGTCTTTGTTTATTATACAATATACTCATGAATAAACTTCTATCTAAGTGAAAGTCAGATGATGCGATTTTTGTTGTAGTATAGCTCAAAAATTAAGTCACAAAAAATTTATTTCATCTTCTACTACTTTAGCTTCGTTACAGTAGAAATCGAGTTTCGGAGTCCAGCGCCATTTTTTACTCCGACTCCGACTCCGGAAAATATTTTTTCACGATTCCGATTCCAAGTCCGACTTCTAATTTTTTTTTCTTTTCATTCCGATTCCCACTCCGACTCCGTCGGAGTCGGAGTAGGAATCGGGTTTCGGACTCCTGTGCAGTACACTATGATTGAGACATGAATTTATCTTTCCAAGAAAACTGTGATAACTCGACTGTAACATAAATTACAGAGTTTGATGTAATCCATGCCGAAATTTGTGCTTTTCTATTGCTCGAAAAGATTTTTTTCAAGTAGATCTTGATTCATTTTCTGTCATCGTTTGAATGAATAGGGTGTTAAAAGTAATAGAAATATTACTGCGTGCCAATATCTAGTTTTAATTTTTAAAAACAAAAGAAAGTATTAGTTAAATCAGATGAGAGAAATTTCAATGCCTTTGATTGACAAACCATAGTAGTAAACAAATTTTTGGTATTTTGTTCATTTAAAAATGAAGAGAAAAACAATTCGAAATTGTATAATCTTTCGTGATTTAGATACCATTTTTTTAAAGGTCGGAATAGTTGACGCAAACTAACACCATCTGTCTCACTGAAATTAGAAGTGATATTGCTCATTCAATGTTGACACGGTCAAAATACTTTTCAGAGACTCAAAATTGATAAATCTGTCATGCAAAAACAAGTTAATTGGCTTGAACTTCCTTCGAAAAGTCATCTGGATGTCAAAAGAGAAAAATATTTCTTATTTTTTCCTATGATACAAACTTAGATTCCATTTTTTGTCAAACAAAAGAGTTTCTATGGAGAGTCTTAGCCTTCAGTTTAATCCCTATGTCGCCTTTTTCACATGCAGACATGTATGATGTTTCTTTTTGATTGCTTTGAAATAAAATTCTATTTGATTCTGCAGTAGAAATCATCTGTTTATGATTTATCGGCTAAGTTAGCCACAGTTATCCATGTTAAAATAATGATCTATTCGACTATGGTGAAATATCAGTCATCGTTTTTCTCTTTTTTTTTTTTTTATTAAAACCAGCGATGCAAAATACGTTCTAAGATAGTCAATCGAACATTAGAGTTCATTGTCTTGGAGAAATTCTTAATTTGCATAGAACATCTCACTTTGCTTCCTTTTTGAAAAACAAACGGGTGTTTTTAGAAATTCATACGTCAGCGTCAAACAGTAAGACTTAAAGTTGGATACTATGGTAAGTTTCGCTGAATTAAAATTTGGTTTTGTTTCTAGGGCAAAGACGATTTTGATTACTATATTTATCGATTTCCACCTCGTTAATGTTTTCCATACAACTAAATATAGTATTCACGGAAATTTATGATTGAGAGAATGCACAGTTGCACGGTGTGATCAAACAGGATACTTTAGAATATGCGCAGTTGTATTCATTACATACACTATTGCGTTAATCAAGCGAATCTCATACTGTGCTTAGCCTAGAGAGAAATCGATTATACTAATATAATTGAAAGATATTTATGGGCCACTTATTCACTAAGTTTTCACCTCTTGAATATTTCCAACAGAGAATAGCAAAAGAAAAAAAAATGAAAAGCTTGCATGTGTAGAACTTATTTTTCTTTTTGATGAAACTAGAGCCGATTTACCATTTATGAAATTCAGACGACAGAAAAGAATCATCTAGATAGAGGTATCGTGAAAAACTATTGAACAGATTTATTACATGAAATTTATATTCATTCTTTCATAAATAAATTTCAACAATGGATACTTATGTGAACTACCATTAAAAAAGTCACTTTTTTCTGCGTGTCGGTGTGGTATATCCTTAATATTTGCGCTGTTGCCGACAGCAATTTCTTTTTACTTCTTTTGATCACGTGGAAAACATTTTAGTCAATCCACGTTTTTATTTTCATTTGTTGATAATAAATATTTGCTTGATTGTACACAAAACAGACCACACGTAGGCTTCACTTCTGTTACAACAAAGAACTAACTTAAAAAATATCAAAAGCAAAATATTTTAGATTCAAAGTTTTCTTTTATATTGTGATGTGCAGTGAAAGAATCATCCATCAAACATTGTAAAAACATTACCATTTAAAGTCACTTAAAATTGTTTCAAACAATGTTACTCACCGATCAAACTTGTTTGCTAAACTGAATGACTCAACGTTTAATGGCTACATATATAGATAGACTGAATAAACAACACGATGAACCATCTAGGCCAGCAAGTGCTATCGGTAATTGCTCTTATGTTAGGTCAGAAAGATGACAAGAGCAGTTTAACCTCTTTTTTTTATCTTAAGTAACTGAAACATTCTGTGTGCATAGATGTCAGCAGCTGTCTGTTGGTTAGCAACTCTTTTTAGAGGTGTTAACCATGTTCACTACGGGTTTCGACATCTGTCATGTCGTAACAATGCATTTATACTCTTTTATAATACTAAACGAAACAAACAAGAGAAAACTGACTATGTGACTTATGAGAAAAGAAGAAGAAAAACGTACATGAATAAGAATCACATTTCATGATGTATCATGTGGGATTTTTTTTTCGTTTTTTTAACAGCGACAAAAGCTTCAAAGGTCTTATTTCTTTATAGCGAAATTATCTTCAGCCCTTATTCAAGGTTATATCATAACGATTATTTTTTTCCTTTTGTTTTTCTTTCGTTTCCAGAACAAATAGGATTGTAGGCGTTTAAAAGAAAAAGGAAAAAAAAGAACACTAATGTTGTTTTTTGTCGCCAAACATACAGATTTTATTATACAAAAGAAATTTTTCTTTTAGATCATTCATGTTGATCATTATCAATGGCGCTTACTTCATCATTTCATACAATGTCCAATGGTTCCGGTTCTTCATCATCAAATCCATTCCTATTGCCTAAAGCGGACATAACCGTTGCCGATAGTCAATTAATTGATATTCTTCTACATGATCCTAGTAATGATCATAAAATTCAAATAGTTAATCGTTGGTGTAAAAATTCTCGCCGCAATCGTCTATCAACTATTCTTGATGTTGCACAAAAGCGCGAAGTTTTATCATCTCTAGCAAATACTCTTCAACAAACATCCCATATTGAATATCAACAGAATTGTCTGACATTATTATCGGAACTTCAAACAAATCTTTATCAGTATGATCAACGTATTTATCTACCAGGTAAGTTTTAAGCTAGAATAATTCGAAAGATAAAAACATGGCTTGAGCTTATTTTTAGGAATCATTCAATGTTTTTCATCGGCAAACAACGATGTTCAAGCGTTAGCAAGCCAATTACTAATAAAACAACTTCGTACAACTCAAGATATTCCCACATTTTTATATCTTTATTCTCAAGATGGTTTAAAATCTTCAAGTGTGCGCATACGCGTCAAATCTATTCAATTATTGAATGATTTATTAACAAATACACATCAAAATGAAAATTTATCACCTATTCTAGAAATTCTTCTTCAATGTTTACAAGAAAATGCATTTCGTTCAGCATATCATGATATTCTTATTAATTCAATTCAACATATGAAACGTATATTAGGCGTAGATTTGTTTAATAATTATCTTGAAACTTATTCATCAACATTAAAACGAACCTATTATGCATATATACCACTGAAAGATGATGATCTAAAAATAACCAATATTGATACTGCTCTAGAAGATGATGATGAAACACCACGAGCATCAGTACAAGCAACACACATGAAGGATTTAAAAGGTAAAAGTTCATATTTTCAAACAGATATCATAAATCGATACGACGCTCATAATAATTGTCAATAAAGAATCCAAAAGAGGCAAAATCTAGTTTTTTAAGTATGCTTAATTAAAAATTTCTTCTGGTGCGACAAAATGATAGAACAACTAAATCTTAAGAAAAAGGAGCGATGTCTTCGAGCCATTCACGGCCTTTCCTTATTCTACAGCATCGATTTAGAGAAAAACATGCAGGTTCTCTTTTTTGTTGTTCGATAGGAAATAGAAGCAAAATTTATTTTTGAGCGTGTCCTAAAAAAATGTAGGCTGTTCAGTTGACAAGTGACATGTAGGAACATTTCATTTCCTAGAAAATGAATTATTCTATTATTCTATTTAATTAAAAGATAATTAAACTGTTTTCGAGTTCTAACCGCTGAGTTATCCATGCCAGCACAAGGCTGAAATGCGCGAGTAGTTGTCAACTCAACGACTCGCGAATAGCAAATGTTATTAAGTTTACAATAGTTGAGGTTCAAGAATTCCGTATATCTTATCTAATACCTTTCAAGAAGAAAATTATTTAAAAACTCATCTCTTTATTCTAAAATAATCTATAAAAAGAGTGTTTTATTCAAGGGGGAAAAAGCGATTTATGAGTTTCATGATTTTTCTGAGTTCAGCTGATTTAAGATGAGTTTGAGAAAACGAAAAATTTGCTAAACTAACTAAAAACTATTCCAAATCATAAATTATTATTGAAAATCATTCAAAGGCACCGAAACTCACGCAAACTCATTCCAATACAGTTAATTTCTATTGATTGTAAGTTGAGTTTTACTGTGATTTAAATCAGCTTTTTCCCCCTTGGTTTTATTTCTATGTAATTTTGAGTTATAGCTGAAAGTTATGATCTAAAAGACAGTTCAAATGATGTTCTTCGTACATTAGACACTAAATCTCATATCAATTCAGTCTTTTTTTTTCTAATGTTCATCAAATTTCTTTGAAATGTAGGACACTCAGTTCTGGCAACTCTTTAATTTACAAAAGCACTGAGAATTTGATATCCTTCATGCAAATTACTATCTTAGAAAATCCATACTTTGACGTAATTTTAAACGCTTTTCTTTATCTATTATGCAGAAAATAATAGTGCCCGTTTACTTGGAAATAATCATGTGGATAGTTCAAATAATCTATTTCTTACACGGAAACCTCCGGTACCATCACAAATGCCTGTTGCAACAGCAATAACACCGAATGACAATTCTGAATTTGATTCCATTGTTGAGTTAATGCGTTCAAAATGGTTATCAGCTAATGATGCAAATCGGTTACATTATTTCGATCTGTTTAAACAGGCGTGTGAAAAATGTTTACAATCTATACGTGCACAATATTCATCAACGCCACATAATCCGCAGTTTCATCAAGCGCTACATTCATTTTTAACAATTATACTTGATCTATTATCATATATAACATCATCGAATCTTGAATTAGCAATTAAAATAAAACTTGTTCTATGCACATGTCTTGGTTGGCTTATAAAACATGCGCAAGTTAATTATTGTAAAAGAAATTATAAAACAATTTGTACAATATTCAAAAATATTCTTCTTAATGGACAGTCAAACAATCGACAACTAGCAGTAAGTTTTTATATTTCGATTTGATCACATTGAAGAATTGAAGTATCTATTTGAGTGAGTTAGAGAATAATTATTATTTTTAATAGAAATTGTATCGAACAATTAATTGTTGCAAGGTTAGGACTTTTAAGTATGTTCGCCAAGGACATGAAAACCACTCAAACGATCACGTGTCATTTTCAAATCAATGAAATAATCTTGTTTATTTTGACGTATTTAAATAAGAAGATAAACACAATAACATTCAGTTTATTTTTGAGTTACTCTTTAGATTATTAATCTTCTTTTTTGCTTTTTCGTTTTATAAATAGAAATTAAGTGTGAGTTTAATATTATTACTGGAGAATTTTGTTCAACCTCAACTTATTCTCAATGAATTAATCGAGGAGAATTTTGAACGTTTCAATTATCGTATTCAACTTGAAATGCTTGCTATCGTTACGGCAACATTATTAAAATATCGTCAACATAATTATGATAATTTAGCTAAAACTGCTAAAAATCTTCTACCTATGTTAATATCAAATCGTCGTGAATTACGCCATGGAGCTATTGAATGTTTTACTGTAATTTTTAGTTATTTTAATACATACAAACCAATAACATTGGCAACATTTGAAGCAAATCCACCAATAAAACTTGTTTTTTCATTCGTTGAAAATCTATCTACCGATGCATCAAATGCATTACGTTTTCGTTTGCAACGTAATTCACTTCCATCATTAACTGACGAAGGAAATATAACACCTGGTTTAGTATGTGATATTTCAACAGTTAATGATCCTGATGCAAAATTTATACAAGTTGTAAATATTCAACCACCAACACCCCAGCCAACAGCAGCAACAGCAACGTTTGTGGAGCCTCCATCTTCATCAGCGGCAATAAAACAAACTTCAATAAGTAATAAACTACTTCAATTAGCAATGCCGTTAGCTGAAACGATTACAAAAACAAATACAAATGATGCTGTAAGTTTTTGTTTAGTTTTCTCAATATTTTTTAATAGATTCTTTTTGCTTCCGAGCTAAGTACACTTTTACTCCAAACAATAGTCAATACGAATAAAACTAAATAAAGAAACCCATTAGCAGTAGAATTTTCCTAAATACTGTTCTTACACAGTACACTGTAGCTGTTTTTTTTTCTTAGTTGTCTCAAGTGTTTAAATGTTTATCTAGAATTTCTGATGAAAATAATCAAATCAGTTTTCTTCGTTTGACTTTAAGCTTTATTCTTTCATAAGTAGATCTTCGAGATCCTATCTAAACACTTCGATTGTATATTTTCTATTCGATAAAAGAAAGATTTGTCAATCGCCCATGTAAATATTGATTTAAATTCTAACTATTTTAGCAGTAAAAATTCATGTATGGGATAAGAGTATGTAAATTTATTCATATTTATCAATGTTCTATTCTATTCATTGCATTTTCCTTTAATTCATATTCTAAGTGTTTTTTAAATGGCTGCCCTTAATATATAGAAGAAAAAATGAAGCAACCACAGAAAGACAAGCATCCTTATCAGTAACTGAAAGTAGAAGGAAATAAAGAGCGACGACAACAATGATCGACATTGGTGTATGTGAAAACACATGAGAAACGTTGATTGAAACCTTTGCTGTATTGCTGTTGTTGAAATGGGAGGAGAAACACACACGCATGCGTACTATTAAATGAATGAGTACGCACCATTTGAAGAACAAAAAAAAAAGAGTGAAAGAAAAAATTAACAACCATTATCATCACCTTGCGACTTCTTTCATGTCTTGACGTGACAACTACTGCGACTAAGAAAGTTCATTGACAGCGTTTGCTAAAAGATGTTCATGCTCGACGATAATGATCTCTTTAGCTGGTTTAGTCGACGCGCCCTATTCGTAAGCCGGACATAGAAGAACAAAAAACAGAGAGAAAAATATTAACTATGTTAAAGAGTATATCAGTTCATTTTCTTCACTTTATCGAAGATTTTTATAGTAAAACGTACATTTCAAATGAGCTAACAGTGTAGAAATCATCTCTATTGGCTGTATGCATGCACACACATCAGCAACTCCTGTAAGTTTTCTAATTTTTATTCAGAATAAATTTTTTGAAATTATTATTCAATCATCTAAAATACATAGGAACTTCTAAATTAATGAAATTTGATATTTATTCATCCGTTCTGTTTCTTTTTTTTACTTTCAGTTATTATATACTGTTTTTCAGTTGAATTTCAAGAATATCGTTAATGATCTAGATAGTCATAGAGAGAGAAAAAAGAATAATAATGAGTTCTAACAAATACGATGCATAGAATTTGACAATCAAGGAATTGAATACATAATTTATATTCTCGTTTAAAAGAAAGAGTTCTTTTAAATGCATAATATTTTACTTGAAGCAGTCGAATAAATATTTTTCATAGGAAATAATCGATCCTCTAGCTGTTTTATTATTATTATTATTGTCTTAGTTCATTAATATTAAATTTATTATTATACAATGTGATTAAATATTGTTCTGTTTTCACGAGAAAATATTTTTTCTCGTCTCTTAAGCATGAGAAACTCACTAAAGCAACCTTATATTCCATTAAATATTTGAGTTAATACAAGAAAAAGATATATTAGTCTCTAGCCGTCTCCAATTATCTCCCATTAAACATTAAAAATTCAACACGTTCGCTATAATAGAATCATTATAAGAAGAAAATATTTTTTTGCGAAGTCGGCTTTCTCTTAGATTTAATTTTAATGTACGCAGTCTTCCGTTATTCTACAGAACTATCTTAACCAAGTTATTTATTCACGAATCTATGACGCTAGTAGAGGATTAAATGGGATTATGTTGTATTCCGGGAGGCAGAAGAAGAATTTTATTAGTTGAAGTTTTCTAGAAAAATCTTGAGGCTAATTTGTTTTCTTCATCAAAGAACTGATTTATGATAATCATCGTATTTCCAATTTGTTTTTGCCAGTCTTGCATGTTGCTAATGACAGTTATTATGCCCATCTATTAATATGATTATTTCACACCAATAATTTTTTTACGAATGTAGATTAAAAAAAAGAGTAGTAATTAAAAATTGTAAAACACCAATGGATGTTTATTAAAAGGATTTTCACATGAAGTTTTATTTGTAGGTGATGCCTAGTCATGAAATACCTCCATTGAAGCCGCCTGATGTTGATATTGATTTAAATCGATTTACTGGTACTCATCATCATTATGAAACAATTAAACGTTGTAAGTTTTTATCTCATTCAATCGATATCATCGTTTCTCTCCTGCACTTTTGTTTTTCTCGAACAAACTTATTCTCTCGCTTGCTGTTCCTTTTTACTTATCACTTTTTTCACATCAGATCAGCATCAGTATCAAACGTTACATTTTAACAAACGAATGACTCTGCTGCCAAAACATCAAACATCAGCCGGTAGTATAGAAAACGAATTCTGAAGTTATTCCTTTTCCCTCTTCTTCTTCTTCTTCTTCTTGTTATTATTTGCATCTCATTATCCTGTAACTAACTGAGTGCGTGGTTTTTACTTTCTGTATAATGTATACAATAACGTGGGAAACATCGTTTTAAATGCATATTAGATATCCCGCTGATTTCGGTCTCTTTTCTTGTACTTCTTAATAACGATTCCAATCATCGCCATCGTTGACTCTATGTAGAATGTAAAAAGGAAACAATAAAAAGAAAGAGTAAGTAAAAAGATGGATAAAATCGACGTAGTTTTTAATTTACTTTTCAAATATTTTATTATTATTATTATTACTCGTGCATGTAAGACGATGAGTGCAAAAACATAGGATAGGCGTGTATAGAAATCTGTTTTCTCCCCTATGATAAATAATTATTCAGTCGAATAACTTCACCGTCTGCTAACATGTAGTGACTTTTCATCCGTTCTAACAACCGAAAAAAAAACCGAGGTGTAATCTAGGTTACAATAGCTATTCATCAAATTAATTGGCAAAAAAAAATATTTTTCAATTTTATTATTCTCCTTAGCAACAATTGTTTCGAATCATATACCCGGTGGATCAACATTAGATTTTACTATAACTGGAAATAATAAATATCATCCAACAGCATTTACTGAAAAAGTTTTTACAGACGAATGGGCAAAAAAATTATCAAAAAATAATAATAAAACTTCGAATGAACCACATATAACTAGTCAAAAACAAGGTTTGTACCTGACAACAGAAAAACACTTAAAAGTATCAGGCCATTAGGCACTTTTAACGACAAACACAGAAGCAACTCTTATTTCCTTTTTTAAGTAGGCGTTATCAGTACGAGCGCCACCAGAAAAAAATTGTAGGGGGGCTGAACCACCCTCTGGTTACGCCCCTAGTTATCAATGACTCTGCTTTACCTAATCTAATACTCATAATATACGAGTTAAATAGATATTGATAAAACATTTTTGTATCCATTTATAAATGATTTTTTCTGGTATCAATATAAAAGCTATTATCTTTCTATCTTATAGAAATCTTCTTTTATAAATGCGAAATTCAGCATCGATTTCATATAATTATATTCTTGTAATGACTTATTTCAAGATAATTAGATAAAGAACAAAAAATGTTTTTTTCCCATTAAAATGATATAAATAATTTTGTTCTTATTTTTAATGAGACCTTGAACAAGTTTGATGTCAATCGTGGGCAGGACAGAAAGAACACCGTTAGACATTTGTTTCGCTTGTTTTTTTTAACAAAAATAAATTATTTAACATCTATCAACTTGCTTTCTTCTATTTAATTTCCCTATATAGAAACTAATTATAATAATATACTTCAATTTCGCCCATCTATACCTCGTCGTTCATCAGTAAATCGTTTTCCAGCTATGCACAATCTTCTAACAACATCCCAGGTTCATAGCCATCAAGAACAAGAACAAATTGCATCAAAACGTCACTTCGATTCTGAAAATGATAATGATGAAGGTATCGATAGTGCAATAGAATCACGTTCTCTATCGATAAATACATTAGAAGACAATAGCACACCTGAGGTAAAGAAAGCTAAGAATGACTTTAAAGAATATCAAAAGAAATGACCCAATTTTTAGAACGATCACAAACAAACGAAAAAGCCTATTCGATCCGTACATAGTAGTTCAACACGACGTAAAATCGAACGATTATTTAGTAACGGCAGTGATTTAGATTCACCATCGGCACGAACTATAACACCTGAAAATTGCAACGAAAGTGGAGTCTATTCACAATCAGGACGTGAAATTGAAAACGATATTAACTCAAGTACAAGGTACGATCATTCGAAGAAAAACAATTAGAGCGATTTGTGAATTCTTTTCTTCTTCTGTCAGATCGACACAATCAATAGCTAAAGAGCAATTGTTTTCAACTAAACCACGTCTTGCTCGTTCTGGTTCAAAATCAAAACTTGATAGATCTCAATTACCACCTACAGATCCATCGTCATCATCTCGACAAGCCAATGATAATAATTCAAACGGTAGAACTACCCAACGTACAACAAATACAAATGTTGAAATCATCGGTAAAGGTTATATCGATGAGCAAAGTTCTCTGAAACAATTTTCAACTGAAGCTTTTGATGATGAACAACCAACAAACTATAAAACTCGAACGGAAATTAATAAAGGTAAAACAAAAAGATGTCTGAATGGTTTTTGAAAAAAAGTGAGCAATTGTTAAAAGCATCTAAGAGGCTGTTAAGAAAAGAATCTGATGAGATATTGAAGTGTAACATAAAAATCTGCGACAGACAAGTATTATGAGAGAAGAAAAGAATTAAATTTGTTTTCGTATAATATTATAAAACCATGACAATTATATTTCAGGAAGAAATCCTTTTTTTACTCCTGAAATCAATTATGTAAAATAATTGAACAGTAAAACAGTAAATTTTTGCTTTCAAGAAACGTCGAAAATTAAATTAGACACGAGTGAAAAAGTGAGAATTATTTTTTTTTCTTGAATGTATTGAATCGTTTCGACCTGGCACACTCCGACTCTCTTCTTTTGGAGTTTGTTTCAACATATCATTAGTTGCTTTTCAAAATTAATATTTTTCTTCCAACATGACATATCTATGAAATTGAAATTTCATTCATTTCTATATTCAGTTTCTGTTAATACCGGTCCTCTTAATGCAACAACACACACAAACGTTCATCTCGACGGCGGGTGTAATATGGATAGCGAACAAGATATTGGTGTTATTGGTAAAGGTAAATTTCAGCATTATTTTATTTTATCATATTTCAAGATTTTATTACCTTATAGCTGTCAACATCCCCCTGCGTACACGTCCCGACACAGATTTAATCAAAATACATAATCAAAATACAAATACAAATGCAATGAATAACTTAGTAAATAAACCAAATGATAATGTCGATGTAGTTTCCGATGAATACGATAGTGATTCGAAAGAAAATGAACAAGTAAGTTTTTCAATTAGACAAAACTACGTGGAATTGTTTTGAGTAATTTGTAAACCTTATGAGACAACTGGACGAATTAAAACTTGTCCTATTATTTCATATTAAGCACACAAGAAAGTCTCAACAAGACATTTGTGATATCTTGTTTGTGACTCTCTCACACTGAATTATGACTTTCTTGCTGAATTGGTTTTCATCTATGTTTAAGTACTAACTAAACAGCTCTATTCCAGCAACATGTCCTTTTGTTGAAGTATCGAATTTCGAAGTAAACTGCGCCAGCGTGACATTTTTGTGATTAGTGAGTATTTTGTTGAAAATTTGATATTTTGACAAAACCAAAATTTTGGCGATTTTCCAAGTATCATTGACAGCGATTCATGAATAAAATTCCCTGTCATTATTTAACACCTTCGCAAATATCAAGAGCTAGCTCAATCATTCAGTAGAATGACCATTGCTCAATTCTAGACTCTTCATAGGACGAATATTCAATATTTCTTTGCTCATACTTCAATGACAAATCATAGATGGGGTAGTTTCACCGTTCTTTCGATTAATATTAACTGCGCCATGGAATTATAAAAGAAAAAAAGAGTTTTAGCAATGTGGTTCAAAAGGAAACGCAAAAGTACTAATTAGACAAATTTTCAATTGAAGATATATTAAGTTCATGAAGTATGCTACAAAAATACAATGCTGCATTTTGTAAAGCACTCTTCAAACTATAGAAGTGCTCTATATTATTTTAAGGTTCTTTCTGGAAAAATTGATTCTACTTTTTGTTAGCGATATAATCGGTGACCCGTGTAGATGTAAATAGTGCTCATTGAACTGAATAAATAATTAAAACTGAAGATTTCAATTAGAAATCGATGGAATATCTTCAGAATCTCTCTTGCTCAAAACAAAAGCTCAATGCTAACTCATTCAGTACCGCATAGCGTTAGAGAGTCTTTTCTTTTGCCTTTGGTAGTTATACTTAATTACATATGAACGAAAAACGCCAATATTCTGATAGGTCATCATGACAAAAGAAAATTTTAAAGTAAAGAATTGAAATTAAATTGAAAATGCCATGTCTTATTTCATCTGATTTTTATCAATTGAGAAATTGATCGTATCTAATTAAGGTGAAATAATTACTAAGCTTCACGTTCCGTTTGCATTCTGAAATGAAACTAACTTTTCGACTGACAACTGAGAATAGAATCATGTATTGTGATGACTAATGTAAAACAAAACGATAATTTTATGAAAAAAATCAGAATTTCTCGAAAGTTTTAATTGTTTTTTCCACTGCAGTTTATTGACATGGGTCAATCGCTCTCAGCTTCATTTCGTTTACGTGTTCAACAAAAGACTCAGGAAAAAATGGAACAAAAAGAACGTCGTAGACAAGATCGAGAATTTCGCCGTCGTCAATTAGAATTTCAATATCAACAATCAAATACTAATAGTATAAGTAATATTGACAGTTACTATGATAATGATCTTCCAACATCATCAACATCAACAAGTCGATATTCATCACAGCCGGATCTTTCATCAAATGGAAATGATTTACCGCCAACACCTCGACGTCAAATTGATTCAAATATATCTTCAATATTACCTAATGTTCTTTCACAACAACGTTTTCGCCTGTATAAAAATGCGTACGTAAACATTTTCATAAGAACTAAGAAACGAACTTGTTTTTTGTAATCTATTACAGTATGGCTCGATCGCAAACATTTAATAATCGACGTGATTTATCTACAACAGACCAACGTATTGCATTTAATCGACCATTATCTGATGATCGAGTAACTGACCAATTAAGAAATCCTGAAGGTGTTTATAGAGAAGCTATGGAATCTGTTGCTAATGACGATTGGGAACGTAAATGTTCTGGCCTTAGTTTAATTCAACGTCTTATTGCACAATATCCGGATATCATAACACAAAATTTACATCAAGTTGTTTTAGTACTCATTCAAGAAGTAAAATTCCTTATTATATATAAAAACAACCACTATGAGATCAATATTTTTCTATCTCAGGTAAAAAATCTTCGGTCACAAGTAGCAAGAATTGCACTATCAACATTTTCGGATATGTTTAAACATCTAAAACGAAATATGGATATTGAACTTGATATCACAGTTAAAGCCATCATGCAAAAAAGTGCAGAAAGTAACGAGTTTTTCAGGTTTGTAATATTCATCTAAAGCAAAACAAAAAAACAGTATTTTTATATATTTAATTGAATTCGTTTTTTTAGAACTGATGTTGAAAAGTGCCTTCAAATTATGGTTGAAAATGTCACACTGCAAAAAGCATTACAAGCACTCATAGCCGGTGGAGCAAGGTGACTGAATAAAAATCAAGATATTTTTTGTTTTGTTTTGTCAGTTTGATTCAATTTCCTAAGCGGAAATCGAATGAAGATGTTATCGACTTGAAAACTGTTTTTTATTGAGCCTTATAATAAGGATAGCTAAAGAAAACAAAAAAAAATGGATGGGTGTGGCGTAGCCTTTTCGTTTTAGTTGATAGAGACTCGTTAGTAATGTTTTTTGATAGAACGATGTACTTTCTAAATCATGAAACTCGGATGCTTGTAATAAACTTGAGTGCCCATCTACTTATATCACTATTTGGATTTAATGGCAAGTAACTAATTGAGTTTCGAACGATTTCTTATTATCAATAGAGCAATGAATTTGATTTTCCTAATGCAATTAATTCAGGCGAGATCCCATTTGTGATTTGTGAGAAAGAATACGTTCTAAATAGGAAATTATCATGTTAATTTATTTAATTGGCCTTTTTCTTTTTGCTCTCTATTAGCCATCGCAATCCGGCCGTACGAAAAACATCAGCAAAATACATCTACATTGTTTGTGAAAAATTGGGCTCCAATAAAATATTAAGTGGTGCTCGGGATATAACAGAACGCGTTTTACAAGTAGCAGCTACATTTGCATCGGATGGACCACCGGAAATTAGGTATTTATTTTGATAGCGAAGGCGAGAAATCTTCTAGATGATAAATTACTTTTGAATCGAGATTAGATATGGGTCATATACAACCAAATGAGCTATAAATATCCTAGATGAAGTTCACGCCCTTTACTTATTACGGCGTAAATATTGCACTTTTAGGGTGTTTTGTGAATGAATGTCATATTAGACCTGAGATAGTAAGTAAATCTCTACTTGAAAAGTTGTGTGATACAGATGAACAATGATTTGAATAATTTATTTAAAAAAGTTTTTTTTTCTTTAATTTGTTGCTAATTAGAAATGAAAAAACATCTAGATATGCGTATAGAAGCAATGTAATTATAAAAAAGAAGATGCTGTATCGATAATGTTTGAATCATTTATAAAATATTATTTGGCGTAAAGGTTATCTCTATGAGAATTTTTTTTCTGATATTCTTGAAAGATGCCTTGGGATTCAATCAAAAGGAAAATACACTATCTTGAGAGTAATAACCGAAGGACACGATGCTATTCAAAGCTAATCATAGCTCATTTGAGTGCAGGCAATGCAAATAGTCTAGAATCGAAAAACAGTTTATCTGTTGAAGGACTAACGTTGTAAGAAAAGAAGAAAAAGAAAAAGATTATAGAAAACAATATGTTAATTTAATTTAGATGGTATGGTAAAAAAATATATCATATGTTAATGTCTTTTGATGAACTTGACTCATTAATGAAACATTATCTTAATCCAACAGTTTACTCACACATGTGCGAAATTCTCGATACTATTCGTGCTAAAGTAAATTTTATTTAAAAGAAATCAAATAAATTATTCATTTTGCTCTTTGCTAATTAGGGTGGAGTCGGTGAAACACCAAGTGAATCAGCAACGAAAAGTGGCCGCCGCACGTTAACATCAGATAAAATTGCATCGAATGGGTAAATAAAAAAAGATTTTGAAAATGATCCATTGCCTAGTAAATAAACTCACTACACAATTTAGAACATTAACCAATCATTTTTCATCAACACGTAAATTAAACAGTGCTGATCAGACAGAACAAATTCGCGCATTAACAAAACAAATGCGCAGTTCTGATTTTCGTGAACGATTAAATGGCATTGAAGAGTTTCAAAAACTATGTGAACTTGAGACAGAAACAGCTATTCAATCACTCGTACAAATCTTCGATGGATTCAATGAATGTCTAGCTGATATGAACTCTAAAGTTGTTCTTAAATCATTGAACACAATGCATCAGCTTATACCAATCTTAGCCGATGCATTATCGAGTGTAATAAATTCATCATTACCGATTATTGCACAAAGCATTGCATCGAAAAATCGTGATATCTCACAACTTGCGTCGGACATTATCGATACAGCTATTGAATATATTGGTAGTGTAATCCGAAAGAAAAATATTCAATTAAAAATTGCTTTCTTTAATTTCTCTAGATAGTGGATGTCTATTACAGCCGATTTGTACATTAAGTCAAAATAGCAATCTACGTGTTCGACCAGAGATCGTACTTAAATTAGCTAGTGAGTGTGACCTTTTAGCTTTTCTCTTCTAAAGAATTACTTCGTCAAATTAATTCACTGACTTATATGTCAAATGTTGTGTCTCGCAATTATGAAAATTGATATTGGGGCGGTTAACTTTGTAGTGTTTATTAACAACTTTTGTTACTGGAGATAAATAGTTGAAGTTTAAAAAACATTTCCATTCCTGGCCTATTAACCTTTAATACCTGTCTATCATAACTTAATAACTGTACTATTAGGCATGTATTTACAAGTTGCCATTTCCAGATATGTTAGTATCATCGACTAACTCTTGGAACGAGTCATCAATGGCTATTTGCCTTGAATCATTCATCTAGTGATATGTTCATTGCATCGTGAAACACGCCTACTTGTCTCTATGTAAATGTTAGAAACGCTGCGTGTCAGATTGGCCTTATGTCCCGAACGTTTGATAGTTATACTTATAAAGATATAATTGAACTATCGAATCTAATGATAGATAGCTGAACGGCAAGAGTATTTTTCCTTCTTCATCAGCAGTGGCAAAGTTTCGAAAAAATGTCACGTTTCCTACCCAAAGTCACATGGGCAGGTGCCGCCACCAGCAAGATCCTATGGCGGGACTTTAGGTGGAGGGTGAAACACTTTTCACAGGACTTTAGGTAAAGTGGACTTTTTCTGAATTTTTGCGAGCTCTCCTCTTCATAGAACAAGGTCTTTTTTTATTATTTCGGGAAGATACAAATGAAAAAAAGAAAAGCAATATTTTTCTTTTAGCCCTTGTTCCACGTGTTTGTCAACGTAAACCCAAACAAGTTGAAATTCATCTATTACCAACTTATTGGAAATTATTAGCATTATTACGTGGTCAAAGTACAACTGGAATAATATCATCTGGCGGTGGCTCCAGTAGTTTAAATTCTTCAATTCATGTATTAACAACTGCTCTCTATTCTGAATTAGGTACTGTTTTACTTGATAAAGCAAGTTCCAGTTCAATGGTAACACCTAAAAATTTGCAAGTACTTCGTGAACTCTGCACAAATATTGATGCTGTGTGATCTTCTTATTTTTCTTTTTCTTCTTCATTTTTTTTCATATTTTCCTCAGTTGTGATTATATTAATATATATATATATATATATATATATATACCCACGGCTTTTTCACGCATTGTAGTTGATCATTTGTACACACAGCTCAAGCAATCTTTCTTTCTTTTTTTTTTCTATCTCTACAACAGTGACATGTCTTCTCGTATTCAGAATTTCATTTATTCATTATTGGTTTATTCCCCTTGTTCTGTGATTAATAATGACTGTTACTAGTTTTTTTTCTCTTCTATTCCGTTCTGTTTCGTGCACGCTCCTTCTCAATGTTTTGTAATATGTAAGAGAAAAAAGAAGAAACAATGATAGTGTGTGTATTTCAACAGAGGTGAAACACAGGAAATAAAGAATATTATCGTTTATGACAAATACAATCGAAAGACAAGAAGGATACGGTCGAATTGATTGATGACTTTCATAAATATTTAATTTGAATAAAGAAACAGAAGAAACAACATGAAATAATTTATGGCAATGATGATAGATAGAGTCCTACGACTAGATTATATATTCCAACAAATGAGATTAAACAGATAGAAGAATATTGAGTGATGATTTCATGGAGACAATTATTTTTTAATAGAATTGTGTAAATCACTATGGATTTATGGTGAATCTTTTTAAAATTCTTCTTACATATTAAAAATTTAATCAATCTTATCTGATAAACGGAAGAAATTAAAAATACACTAAATACCCTAGATAATTGTGAGTATTTTGATATGAGAATAAGATTTCTGTTAAATGAATCGAATAATTGAATACATGGATTAGAATGTAAATAAACCATAAAATGTTATTGAATAACTATTTTCTTACGAAGAAAAAAATGATAGACATTTATTATTATTATTATTATTATTATCAAATAAAATTTTTCTGTCTATGCTATTTCATCATATAGAGTTGCCAATCAAAAATGGCCTAATGGAATAATTGTTGAATTGATTTTTTAATATTTTCTGACGGGTTTTTTAATACACAATCAATTTTGTTTGTGTTTCATTGACTTGACAGTGAATCTTACTTGAATATATTATGGAAATCAATAAAAAGTCTCGAATTCGTTTCATTTCTCTTGTGGTATAGTATGTAATATTTGGTACTATTAAACATTTATATAGTTATTGCGACGACTATAGCCGAAAGAAAAGAAAATGAAAAAAAAAATCTGTGCGTGTCATTAGCTGTTTCATTAATTTTAATAAATAAAATGACGAAGAAAAATGTGGATTAAATTGTAGGCTCAGTAAAATCCTTTACTGTAGCTCTTGTTTTCTTTTTGATGATGACTATGTTGTAAGTAGTCGTTCGTACATGCCTTATTAACAAGCGATGAAAGAAGAAAGAATCTTAATTTGCAAAGAACAGATCATATATAGAGAAAAAAAAGAGCGACATACATGAGAAAGCATTACGAACACAAAACAAAAGATAATAGAAGTAAAAAGAAATTTGTTGCTTTTCCAACATACTTAAAACTCTGTTTGTTACATTCTAAAATATTGCTTTCGGCAAATGTGACACATTACGATATGCAAAGTGTCTGCTTCAATAATACAAATGATCCCAAATGAATAGATATGCGCACATGCATGAAGAACATTTTCGGAGCATACTTACGCGTAGAATTATCAAATAAAAGACGAAGAATAGATTTAAGAGGATTACTTATCAGCTAAATAAGATGTCAAACTAATCAGAAAAAAGTTTTCAAAAACTTTCACTATATATTTATTTATCTTCAATGTAATCCTTTCGACTAATAGATATAACCAGAGGTTACATAAGACAGCGATGAACGATATTGAAGACTATGAAGATGTTGATTGAAAGTTCAAATTATGCTCGAAGGATTACGCTTGGTACTTGACAAGTATGTTTCTGCATAGGCTGGACAAGAAACGAGTGTCTCCGATCCTTATATATATATATTGATAATAATAGTCTTCATGCCATAATAAATCCTATACAATAAGATGCCATAGTTAGATTGCTGGTTTCAACAATATTGAGAACATCACGTCAAGTGGTGAAACATTCATTGCGATCTTTCTTTCTTTTTCTATTTCTTTATGACAGATGATTACTAAATCTATTATTTTCTTTTCTTTTTCTGCCTCTTTTTCTTACGCGAAAAAAGAAAGAACTATCACATCACCAGTTTGTCGTTCTCTTTTGATGAGAATATAAGAGAGAAATAGAGACAGAGCACGAGAGCGAGAGAAGATGTGTGAGTGGCTGAGAGAGAGAGAGAGAGAGAGAGAGAGACGCAGGGATAAGCGAAGAAAAAAGCAGAAATTAAAAAGCCCGAGAGCGGAAATGTCGAACTTTCCGGTTGTCGAAGCATACTACTCTTGGCTAAAATGTTACACGAATCAATATGTCAGTCTTCAATAGTTTCATCATTCAACAACATAATAACAACAATTTGACTTGACAAATGATGCGTTTCTTATTAATAATTGCTACATTATTATTATCATTACTTGGAAAAGTGCAAACAAACACTTATAATGTTACTTTTCAAATTGCTGTTCTCCTTCCAACTGATCCTCAATTACCGTACGATATGGAGAAAGTCAAACCAGCTATTCAATTAGCGTCTAATGAAGTTATTAGACGAAGTTTGTTAACTAATCAACATCCATTTGATGTTCGTTATGGTAATACGAATTCCTCGTATATAACTGGACCTTTAATAGCCATTGATTTTTACGCTAGACATCAAGCAGATGTATTTTTAGGACCGGTTGATGGTCCTGGCTTAGCTGCTGTAGCAAGGTAATTTCGTTGATATATATGATTTTCTTTTGTTTTATTCTATTTTAATTATGAATAGATATTCACCTCATTGGCGAATTCCTGTAATATCACCGGGCGGAGGTTTTAATTATCATTTTGATAATAAACGTGAATATCAATTGTTAACGCGAATGCTTCATTCATCAAAAACCATCCTTCATTTTATTTCTCGTGCTATTTTACCACATTTCAATTGGACCAGCGTCAGAATTATAGCTGAAAGAAATGTTGTTGAAGCTCAAGTAAGTAAACATATATTTTAATAAAATTTGATCGTTTCTTTTCTTTTTTTTTTAAATGAAATTAAGAGTGAATGTTATATGCTAATGGGTGCTTTATGTCGAGAATTGGGTAATCCAAATAATAAAGGCGAATCAAAAGACACGTTAGTTGATTTGATATTCGTTTTGCTTTTGGTGCTGTTTATCTTTCAACGTAAATATTTTCTGATTCCTTAGATGTTCTCATTCAATATTTGATGTTGATCGAAAAAATGAAACCAAAGAAAAATTACGTAAAACATTAGATGAAGCAAAGATTGAAGCTAGAAGTAGTTTAAAAATTGATTTATTGTAATCTTTGATTTCACGTCCTTTTCTTTTTGTCTCGATTAGTTTTGTTTGTTTGTATGGATTCAAATTTATTTCGAGATTTTCTTCTAATGGCATCTGATCTTAATATGATCAATGGCGAATATGTATTTGTCTATTTAGATATATTTCGATTGATGAGGTATAGCGATTTTTTTATCAAATGACTTTGTTTTTTTTTGTTTTTAATTTTCTTGTAATTAAAATAGAAAAGATATGAATTTAATTAGTTGGTATAAAAATGGTTCGAGCAAAGCCGAAAATGATAAAGCACGTCGTGCTTTTGAAACAGTACTTATACTTGCCGTAAAACGACCCGATACTGAACGTTATCAAGAATTTTCTCATCAAGTTAATGCATTACGAAATCGGACAAATACTAGTGGTACATCAATGACAGAACTTGTATGTTTACTAATTTCTATTAGATGATTTTCATATTTTTATTCATTAATGAACAACAACAAAACAATAGGTCAATCCATATGTTGCTACATTTTATGATGCTGTTCTGCTTTATGCATATGGATTAAATCGTACAATAGAGGCAAATCAAAATTATCGTGATGGATTTTCTGTCGTACGAAAAATGTGGAATGTTAGTTTTGAAGGTTTGAAAAATAACGAAAGCTCTGCGAACAAAAAATTTAAACTGAATTGTTTAGGATCAAATGGTATTGTTCAAATTAGTGAAACAGGTGATCGCGTTAGCGACTATTCTCTATTTGACCTTAATCCTAAAAGTGGTCATTTCGAAGTAATGAAAAAGGTTGATTTTATTTTCGAATGAAAATTTTCGTTATGTCTACGATAGGAAGTAGGAACTTATTTTGGTGTAAATTCCTCGTTCATTCAGCTAAAAGATATCTATTGGATTGATGAAGTAAAAAAGACACCTGTAGACGTTCCTGTAAGATAATATAGATAATCAACATTTGAACTAAACTACAGTTTTATTTTCCATAGCCTTGCGGTTTTGATGGAAGAAAATGTTACGTATATAAAAGTAAGTTTATAATGATAGTAGACTAGAAAAAAAAGAAGATTAATTTATCTATTGAATACAATTTTAAGATCCAGCCCTTCCCTGGATTTATTTTACTGCAATTGTGACATCAGTTGTGTTTATATTAACAATAATCGCATTTTGGTATTTTAAACGCGTTAGCTTTGAAGCTCAACTTAAGGCTATGAACTGGATTATTGAACCCGATGATCTATTTTCCATGGAAGATTTAGGTGTAAAATGTAAATCACTTAAACGAGACCGACATAAAGTAAGAGATGAAGACCAAGATAATATGAATAGTTTTTTTCTTCGTCTTTCAGTAAACTGAAGTTATTTTCATGTTTTATTTAGCGTGGTTCTGTACATCACATTCCATTAGCTGATGAAGAGAATGATACAGAAAATGGGGCAGCTGTCAAAACAGCACGTTTTAAGGTAACAAATTCAATTGAATATCTTTCCAAAAGTAAAGAAATTCCAGATGAAAAATATAGAAATTAACTTTCGATTATTATCAGGCACGACTTTATTGAATATCAGTAATAATTAAATATAAAACCGTTATTTCTCATGTATACTCATTAGCGAGTTTATTAGTAAACAGGAACTTATTTTTCTGTAATTAATAAAACACACACACACACACACACACACACACACACACACACTATGATAAAGTAAAATGTAAAATATTTTAAAATTACTCTTCGTGACACAAAAAACTAATGAATAAAGTCAGCTTCAAAGCCAATAGGGAATGAAGCTTTAAAGAAGTAAATTAATTTTTTTTTCAAAAAAAAACGCATAGATCAAAAGATAACTCAAAAAATCTTTGCAAAAAACATAGTAATACAAATTCAAAAAAAATAATTAGAAATATGACGGTGTCCAAAATCCAACTTAAAATTTATCTGAGAACGAAAAAGTCAATGCTAATACTACAATCACTATTTTTCTACATGTACATTTCTAAGAAAGATACGCACACACTGCATTCGTTTGGTGACAAATAATTTGTTTGTTTCAGGGCTCAATAGTAGAATTGAAATTAATTCAACATAAAACAAGAATTGATATTAATCGATTACTATTAATGGAAGTTAAAACTGTAAGTTTAATTTTTTCTTAAAGATTCGTTCATTCGTTTTCTTTTAATTAAGATAAAAGATATGCAAAGTGAATATCTTGTCCGATTTATTGGTGCATGTCTTGATCCACCTTGTTTAGTTAATGAATTTTGTTCCAAAGGGAGTCTACAGGTTATTTGATGATAAAAGTTTGCATTTCTATTCGATCTATATATCTATAGCAACTTCTGGAAAATTCTCAAATTCGACTCGATGATATGTTTAAATATTCCATTATTCATGATATTGTTAAAGTAAGCTGTTATAAGAAAATTTTAATCTTTTATGAAGATTATTTTTTATTCATAGGGAATTATGTATATTCATAATAGTGATCTTCAAGCTCATGGAAGTTTAAAAAGTACAAATTGCCTTGTCGGTAGTCGTGTAAGTTGATTTCAAATCTCTTGTTTTTAGAAAACGTTAAGTACATCTCATTATTTTAGTTTGTTATTAAAATTTCCGATTACGGCGTTCCATCACTTCGTTGTTCACTTCATCAAAAATATCCAGCAAACTGTGACGCATATTATAAATGTAAATCTTCAGTCGGTTGCCTTTTCTCGAAGAAAATATAATTTGTTTTTCTCTCAAGCATTACTTTGGTCAGCACCTGAAATCATACGTGATCCACATGCACCAATACAAGGTTCACAAAAAGGCGATGTATATAGTTTTTCAATCATACTTCATGAAATTATCTATCGACGTGGCCTGTTCGCAACTAATGAAACCGGAGTAATGCCAAAAGAAATATTTAATTCGATTAAATTAGGAAATGAAAGTCGACCACCATTTCTCGGTGATAATACACTATATGAGATAGGATATCTTATGAAACGTTGTTGGCAAGAAAACCCTGCTGATCGACCAGATTTCACATCTATTTTAAATACAATTAAGAAGCTAAGCAAGTAAGTGGAGAAGAATATTCATTTCTTTTTGTAGTTTTCTGTCTTTTATTGACGTAGAAAATTTGATAATGAAAATCTTGTGGACAATTTATTGCAACGTATGGAACAATATACAAATAATCTTGAGGAGCTTGTTAAAGAACGTACAAATGATTATTTATTAGAAAAGAAAAAAGCTGAAGAATTACTTTATCGTTTACTACCACAGTAAGTCGTTTGGAAAATTTTGTTTTTCTTCAGACAAACAAGAAAATAACATTTTGAAGTCCTAAAAATTTGATTAGGCTGATGAAAATAAAAGATCTCCTATAACCAAATGCTAACAACTGATGAAATTCTATAAATAGAATATTCTTTTGCAGAATCTAACATCGAAATAGACTTGTACTTTCACTAAATTGTAACTAAATTTCAGGTAAAATATTTCCTTGTTTCAAACATGAACGGAATAAAGAAACAACAACTATTTACGCTATTTTATCACAAGACAATAACAAAACCCTAGTAGTACTGTGTTTTGCACAGAGTGGATTGCGTAGGATGAAATATGAATGTAGTTTGAATCCTTATTGAGAAAGAAAACTTTCATTTCTAATCAGTTTTGTAAGTCTTGCGTCATCCTCGAGCGGAAATAGAGGCAAAACTTGTGAGCTCATTTGTAAAAAATCCACGAAATTCCGGTTTTCGAACGTTGCTTTGTTTATTTTTTTCTGTTTTTGAAAAGTAGGTGAAGTGTTTTTCAAATAGAAAATGTTCTGTAGTTCTTTCTATCGCATCAGGTTGACACCTGTTTTGAGCATGATTTACAGACGAGAGTATAAGTATGCTTTGAATAGGTTTATATAATTACTTATTTAATATGGGTTCGCGTCAATTCAATTCTACCGATGTGTCATTCTTTTGTTTAAAACTACAAACAGTATTTTTAGATCGAGATAAGTGTCAGACTTGACAATTATTTTGTACATGCATATCAAAGCGACAGATTGCATGCGAGAAAAATGCACTATCCAGGTGGCTAGAAAATAAAACTTGTTGATTTAAAATAAGATCTAGAGTGAGATATTTTTATTTTATTTAAAACTAGGAGCTTTTTCACATGATTAATATTTAAATCATTATAAAAGAATTGGGGAAATATGTATCGCATGGCGAACGCTGTAAAACGGAAGTCTTTTCTTTCAAAGATTCAAAACGCAAAACGATAATTTTCATGCTTTGTTAGTCAACTCTCGGAATGTTGTATACAAGATTAGCTGATTGAAAATTAGAACAGATGCGGAAACATCGGATTCGTATCCGATTGTTATGTGTACTGCAAAAACTGAGTCGATGTATATAAGTTGTGAATAATTCTGAGAAAAAAAAAGTTCTTTTTGAAAAAATCCCTGTACCCCACCTCAGGGATGGTCTGACCAATAATGACAATTTTTTCGATAACTCAGCCATTTCTTGACGGATCCTTCTCATCTTCGAACTCGACTGGGATATTGACGAGATCATTCTGTGTACAGAATTTCAAGACAATTGGATAAGGCTTTCAAGAGTTATTGTGCTAACGGATGGACACACTGATCGAATCTGAGCCTACTCACTTTTTGAGTACACAAAAAAGCTAAAAATAGATCTGTGATTGATATTATTGCATTCATATTTATCGGAAGAAAGATGAACAAAATTGACGTTTTTTTCTTTTTCTTTATTTCATTAAAGAACTGTAACTGCCGAGTTAATGGCAGGTAAACAAGTAACTGCCGAATCATTTGAAGCTGTAACTATATATTTTTCTGATATTGTTGGTTTTACAAAAATATCAGCTGAAAGTACACCATTACAAGTAAAACGATTTTTGAAATTTATAGAAAATCCTAGAAAATAAATTTCATATTTGAAATAGATTGTTTCGTTATTAAATGATCTCTATACATGTTTTGATTCGATCATTGAAGCATTTGATGTTTATAAAGTTGAAACAATTGGTGATGCTTATATGGTGGTCAGCGGATTACCGACGCGTAACGGTGATTTACACGCACGTGAAATATCACGCATGGCTCTAACGATTCTTGATGCTGTTATTCATTTTCGTATAAGACATAGACCTGATGAACAACTGAAAATTCGGATTGGTCTTCATTCAGGTAGAATTTGACTTTTAAAAATTTGCAAATTTTGCTTCTGCATTTTATTAAGGCCCATGCGTTGCTGGTGTTGTTGGTTTAAAAATGCCAAGGTAAAACAGTTTTTTTTTTCTATCTAAGATTTCCAGTATTTATAAATTCAATTCTTACATAGATATTGTCTATTTGGTGATACCGTTAATGTCGCTTCACGTATGGAATCGAATGGGCAACCATTAAGAATTCATATGTCACCTACGACGAAAGGACTACTAGATAAGTTTCAAACATTTATCATTAAAGCTCGTGGACAAGTTAATCTTAAAGTAATAATTTTTTTGCATAATGAATAAATTGTTTATCTTTTCATTTTAGGGTAAAGGTGACATGTTAACGTATTGGTTGTTAGGCGAACGTGATGGTTTACAAGTACCATTTAGCAATGATTCGGATATTATTGATAATCAAAATAAAACTGAAACGTTGAGTTCAGATCAATGATAATTTCTTTATAATATGTTTGTTTTATTTTTTTGGCTTTTTATCCATATTCTGAAAAATAAAAATTTTACTAGATTTTCATTATTTTTCTTTTATAGATGAAGTAGTCAATGCATAGGAATTCAATATTAAATAGCTTATATTTATATAGAATAAATAGAAGATTAATAATCAGTGACGAAACTCCATCGAGCTTGTCTGAATCGTGCAAATATTACCTTCGGGAAATCACATCGAGTTCAGCGTGACTCGTTTTTCAACGCTGTTACTAATTGTTTTCTATCATATAGAGATCTAATGAATTCTTCTGAATTGCATATTTTAGAATTTCTATTAAAATCATGTAGTGGAATAGATTTCGTTTGCTCAAATATCATTGTGCCTATATGTTTATGCTTTTCAATATCTAAATGATTATTATAACAATTGAAGTTCGAATTTGTAAATATACAGATTGATTGTTTTTATCGAGCTGTCTTTTGTGGAGCTCACGAATATTTTCGAAGAAAATAGTGAGTGTAAGTTTTAAGTTCGAGGTTTTGCGGCTGGGGGGGGGGGGGGGGGGGGGGGGGGGGGGGGGGGGGGGGGGGGGGGGGGGGGGGGGGGGGGGGGGGGGGGGGGGGGGGCGGGGNTTTAAGTTCGAGGTTTTGCGGCTCCCCCCCCCCCACCCCATTACAGACTGCGACAACCGTATTCATTGAATAATTGATGGTGGAGGGAAATAATTTCAAATTAGAAAAAGATTATTATCGAGTATATAGCAATAATTATAAATGAAATCAAGCGGGCTTAAATGAAAAAACAATATTTTATTTTTTAATATATTTTTTTAATGTACAAATAAATAATAGATTCCCGCTATTTTCATCGATCCTCAAGGAAAACAACTATAGTTGACGAGAAGTCTTTCAGTATACAGATGATGCGTCAGATAATAAAGCTAAAGGTATACGTGATTTCCACATTTCAGCTCCGTAGGAGCTGCGCTAACAAGCTTCTTTTACTTATTATTGTGCGGCACTGTTGATGAGAAGAACTTGTACTGGAGTGATTATTTATGATTTCGAATACTACTTGTCAATGGAAAACAAAAACATAAATCAGATGATCTAGCACGAGAAGTTCTAACAGTGGCAAACAAAAGCATATTGAATATACTTCATTTCTGTTTTCATTAGGGACTGAACTTTGTTTTTTTTCAACACGTAGGACACTACCAACTGAACAGTTCCCTTTGGTGTGTTGTCAATCAGTAAACCATGATTTTTAACACAACCTGATTGTCATGTGTTGTTGATTGCGTTTTACTACGATGAAATTGAAGACTATTTTTCATATAGATTTTATGCGATCATGTTGTACTCGGTTTAAAATAGTAGGACACGTAAGACAAACGTTTGATGTGCCGAATCACATCATGATTGCTTTTAGATAGATAGTCTCCTGGTGAATATTTCTTGCTCGTGTGCTTCTTGTTGATTTACAGTATGATCATATTTCAATAAAATAAAATAGAAGTGTCTTCCGTCGGTGAAATAGAAAAAAAAACATCTTATCCAGTTGTCTACTCAATAGTTGATCGAAAAAAGATCTTGTTCCCTTTTCAAAACAAAAGGTACGCATAATAAATAAGTTTTTTTCAATCGAAACTTTTATTAGTCTAGTAGCAAATTTTAAGTAGAGTGATTAATTTGATTCGATTTTTATCTAGATATGGATCTAAGAGTCTAGAAGTGCTTGTTACAACAATAATGAACGATTGAAGAATCAGTGCTATCTGATCCAGAAAGGTGGCCACTATTTCATATCATGTCAACTTCACCTTGGAAAGTTATGATTCAGTCGCATGTAGGAAGGGTGAAAATGATGCGAAAACAATGAACTTTGCCGGGGGAAATGAATTTCATCGATGATCCAGCGTTGAAATGGTAAATCAATGGTGGCATTTACATTTTGAATTCGTCAAAATGTTAGAGTGAGAGGAAAATAATACTCGTCATCGAACACCATAACAAAGAAAAGCTTTTCAGAATATTGATGTAGGTATCATATTTGTATTTAATGTAACCTGACCTTATTTTTTGGAGTCCTTTCGGCCATTAGTATGGCAGCCTTTCGCTCCAATGCCTCTCAGCGCAACTTTCCTACTACAGTCATATCAAAACTGTTTGTGCTTCAGAAAATTCAAGCAAAATAACGTTGCCATCGTTTCTTGTTTGCACCCTTAATAACGAGGTACACAGTTTTAATTAAAGACAAACGAGTTTTCGTGTAGTATAAAGTATGATAATATTTGTCAAATTAAGAATAAAGTTTATCTTTCGTCGACTCACTGTTTCCGTTGGAATTATTTGTAGAATAAAAAAAAACATCAGTCTATTCTCGGTATTAAATAATATTAACATAAAAAACCTTCCCATCTGTAGAGGATAATATTTATTTCTCGTTGTCTAATCTATTCGTTGGAAATATCTATTAAAGTTTTACCTTAAAAACTCCTTCCAGAAAAAATGCTTCGATAAATTTTAGAGCTTCTTGGTATTTTTATGCTCATCAAATTTAATAACATCGCTTCCGATAACGCACTAGGAAGATAAATTAAACGCTTAGGTTTAGTTTATTTTCAGATTAATGGCACGTTTTTTATTCTTTCTACAAGTCAGCAATAGGAACGTTTTCATATCGACAGTAACATGCATTTTGCGTGATTCTGATTTCATATATTCTCCTATAGCAACACTTTCTAAAGCTTTTTTTGTCTTAATGTTAACTGAAGCGTTATTATGCCATTCCCAAGTGGATTAGTGACGAATAAATAAAGCGGCAAGTTCGACAAGGAAACAAGTACAGAATGAAATAGAACAAGTAGGAGACAAGCTAAGCGTGTTAAGTGACCAATTTGATCAATTATACGCCTGAAAACATTTCAGTGCCGTTCGAATATTTACGCAATACGCACAAGTAAGAATTACTCAAAGTTGAAAACCAATACACGACGCATACTTTCCCTTAAAAGCAAATGACCACCTAGGAGAATTATTTCGCACTGAAATTTTGCACGAATGAGTGACTCTAGTAAGAAACACTTTTAGGCAAAGTTTTCTACTTGTAGATATACGATCTTCGAAATTATTTTACATCGAAGTTAATACCTATGAAAATTTTTTTCCAAGCAGTATTTTGAAATTTATTTCAATTCATTTTTTTTCTCAACACGAAGATGAAGTATAACTAATCTTGAACATAACATAAACCAAACTGTAGTAGTTAGACTCTATCTGACTTAGAATTTGAGAAGAGGTGATTAAATGAAAATATTTATTCTGCAGATTTATGCAAAGGACAAATCATATATTGACATAGTGAATTCACCATTTATTCAAGTGTTTGCTTTTTGAAAGCACCCTAACAGACGACAAGTTCTGAAACCATCTGTCTTACTTAAATTATAAAAGAATGCTTACGTCATGTCAATTTAAATAGGATAGTTGTTTCTTCAAAATGAAAAGATTGTAAACATTCATTCTAAAAGTCTATTTAAATATGATCCTTTTCTCGTCAAAAAGTCATGCATGCGCATTAGAACTGATTTCACAGCATTTAGCAAAGGCGGAAACCACTAATGAATCAGTTGTAGCTAAAGTTTTAGACAAAATCGATTTTTTTTTCTTCCGAAACAAGTAGTTAAAAAGAAATCCATCTAAAGTATACTTCGTCCAATGTAAACTGTATTCTTGAGCATCATAAGAGCAGAATGAAAAACACCTTAACTTCATCGAACTAAAATGAGATAAGAAAAACAATTGATGGACATGAGCAAAACACCATGACACGGTCTTGGCAACTTTATCTTTTATTATCGTCATGCGTGTGTCTGAGTAAAGGAAAAGAATTTTAAACACAACTTAGCGAATCAACTAATCGGATTCTTTTTATTCATACAAAAAAGAAGTTTTAAGTAATAATTTATTCTTAATTAAAGAAAGCGTAATGATTTTAAAAAAAAAAGAATGTTTGTGCGTGTACATGTATGTTTGATAATTAACAAGAACCAACAACATTAAATAAGTGCGAAGTAGAGAACATATTATTTATCAAACACAAGAAGCCATTAAATTAATTCATACAAGATATATTAAATACATGAGCAAAAGCAAAAAATTCCACCGGAAAAGAAAATAAAACTTAACAACGGACGGTTGTTATTTAATTTTTTTTGCTTTTATAAAGAATGTTTCGATACACGGTCAAGATATTCATCTGACTTCAAGTTTACAATATTGAACATGCAGAACAACAGGTAGAAGTTGTTACAGTTGAATCCGGCGTTGGTGATGTGGCATTTGCTGTTCTATCTTGATTATTGTCATGTTTATGTTTTCGTTTTTGATCGTTATTTGTTGATTCAGGAAGGTTTTCACGATGGACAAGATGCATCACAGTCGTTTTGCCTGATGATTATATGAATAATATATAAATATTTTCACGCGAAATGTGACTTAGACATGTTACCTTGTTGTAACCGTAGAGCGCCTAATGTAACATTACCATGTAAAAATCTTCCTTGATAGATTAATCTTAAAACTTCATAACGATCTACTTTGGGTTCATTTGCCCATTCTATTAGAAAAACAAAAATCAGTAAGGAATAGGAAACAAGATTCTTTTCTGCATTTTAAAAACCTGCGGGCCAATTTTCAAAAATATATTTAGCTACATCTAACGCTGTAGTTGTTGATCGGAATTGAAATTCAGCTGTTTGGCCGCTGACAAGGATTAGTTTGAGATTGATCTAAAATAATACGAAGAAAAAAATAGATTATTTTTTATTGAAAATAACTTTCTTTACTGACAGTATCAGACGTTAAAGATTTCGTGCCCATTGAAGGTCATAATGTTTGATGAAACATGTACTTTAACGATTTACAAATAATCTAAATATGGAAATTGATATTATTTTGTCGCTACAATCACAAGTTATTTTATTTATTTATATTTAAAAAAGAAAATAACCATTTGACTTTATTCTTAACTTGAAAATATTTATTTACTCGGAGAGAAAAAATAAACTATTTTTTTTGCACAACGTTTCTAAATTTATCATTGGTAGGAAAATTGAACTAATCAAACAATGGCGATAGTTTTCTTTCGACTGGTCTGTCGTGTTTTTATTTTAAACTGTTTAAATATGAAATTAACACAAAAAACACTTTTTCAGTGTTTTGAAAAATCTCGTCCATCAGCACCAATAATTAATTCTTTACCAAGTAAAATAATACAGAAGTAAACAAATTAAAAAAAACAACAACAATTATCATTTAGACATCCAGCCATCTCAATCTCAAATAAAAAGTTCTAGTGAACAACGTGAATCGAATGTTCATCGATCCGATTTTGTTTTACCTATTCATATACGTCAATTAGATAATACATTATCTAATGACAGCATACCTTATCTAAATGAAAGGAAATTCAATGATGAAAACCTGTTGCATTCGAGCCAAGAATTTTATCGAATATGTCCAACAATTGTTAAGAATGAAAATCCGCTACCGAAACTGGAGGTATTTATTATATTATTTAATCACATGATGATAAACATAGATATTAAATAGAGGTCTTGGGAAGAATAATATTTTTAACTTTGACCAATAAATTACAGGAACATAGCAAATAACAGTTTTGGTAATGTGTTTGCTCGGTAGATTACAGTACTCTGAGAACATTATATGATCTAAAGTTACTTCAAATACTGAAAATACATTTGACGACATGTTGCATGCAGCTGTCCTTTGTTTTATTTGTAATAATTATTTATGGGAATTCATCTGCCGGGGTATTAAAATTGCCATGAGGACTACATAATGAGAAAACGGGGTAAAATACAGTGTTCCTATTCGACTTACTAGGTACCGCCAAGTGTGTCTATTAAAATAGAAATAACTTCTTCAAATTTAACATTAGTCTTCATGAAAGTTTTTAGCTCTGATATCGATTCAGTTGAATGAGCAAATTTAGTGTTCGCAGCTATCTTATGTCTAACAATTTATCTAACGTCCTGTAACTTCAAGAATAAGGCTTCCATCAATAAAACATTGTCCAGCTGTCAAAAATGATAGAATAGTATTAACTTAGGATGATAGCGAGGATTTAGGCTAATATTGTTAAAATATGTATATTATAGCTTTCACTCGCTAATGCAATAGATAGGAATTTTTCCATCCATATGCAATTTACTCTCATATTGACAAGAGTACAGTGGAAATTCGGGAATTGGCGTTGTTTCCGCCACCCGTTTATTCAGCGTGGCGTCATAAAAATAGATTTGAATAGCATGAAATTGATGGAAGTCTATTAGAAACGTAAACACCAATGAAAAACTGACTGGAGTTAATAAGATTATGTTAAATATCTTCTTATTCCAACATACATCGCTTTTTTTTTTCTTCACAACATGACTAAGATGCAAAAGACTAAATCTATTGTGTTTTTCTTTTTAGTTTATTAAAATATCCTCGACTGAACGCCAAATGGAATTATTTGCTGAATATACCCATGATGAACCCTTAATTGATTGGAAATCCATGTTTGAGATTCTACAAGATTATCGTAAAAAAGCTATAGAACAAAGTAAGTGAAAAATAGTTAGAATCTTTTGATTTTTCATTTTCATAACAAAAATATTCTTCTATAGATCAATATGAACAATTATTATGGACCGAAATATATCGTCCAAAAAATACAAAAACCTATCTAGGAAATCATACACGACAAATGAAACGTCTAAATGAATGGTTTTCATATTGGAGAAAAAAATTACAAAGTGACCAACCTAAAAAGCAAAATTCACGAAAAAAACGCAAACGCATCGCTGATGACGATTATTCCGACGAAGATTTTTCTAATGATTCAAGTACGTGTTTGAAAAAAAAACGAAAAATCTATTCGATGGTTAACGTGTATTTCATATTTCAATCACATATTTCATTGGTTGAATAAATACCATATTAACCAAAATAAAGAATCAAAAATGAATTTTTTTTCATTTTTTGCTCGACAAGGTCTAGATCATTGAAAGTTTACAATGTTTATCTGGGTATAACGAGCATACATGTTTTTGTTGTTATTGATAAAATATGAAATATCTTCAAGTGAAATATAAATTTACAATTTCCTATTTAGATATGCTATTCGATGGTGGTTGCCATCCGAAACCAGAACATCCACAATTGATTTTTATTCATGGCTCCGGAACAACATCGCTTGTGCATGCCCTTGCTGATGAATATAATTTTATAGTAATTATAGAACTGGGCGACTTTGAAACTTTTCTTTCATTAGATGAGTAACTGTCAAAGCATAAAGGATGTGAATTTCATTAAATAAGTTTATACTATTGATTTTCACTTTTTTAAAATAATAATGCAAGACATCGAGACCTGAGCTAGAGAAGTTGGTAAACATAGCAAAATAGAACTGTTGAAATCAAAACTAAAAATTATAATCATACCTTTCATATTTTTCGACCGTAGATCAAAGAAATTTTATTTCTATGTGTTAGAACTAAATCCCAAAGTAGTATGCTAAATATAGGGAGCAAAACAAAATTTTGGGCACGCACATCGTCATTGTTTATAAAATTCTTTTCATACCATGCCAAGGATTTCTGATGTGTACGTGTCATGATATTTTGTTATTGTCGGATGTAATCATTGTTCAATAGGCATTGAAATTTTGAGTGCGAAGACAGATCTAATATCAGTTTCAAATGCAATTCTTTGTCTCAGAATGCTGTTTCGCCGTTTATTCTCAATTATAGAATTTTGGTTTAACTAGTTTTTTTTACATTGTAGGTAACTGAAACGAATGGGTCTCAAACACGAGCACGCGCACCTCTACTTAAACAACTTGAACAAGTAACAAATCACCATCAACTATCCTTTAAACGTTGTCCATCAGATACGATTATGTTGCAAGGTTAGAAATTTTTTATACGAAAAATTATTCTAACTTTTATTTTCATTCTTTCATTAGAAGATGAATCGAAATCGATGAAAGAATTATTATCTCCATTACCCGTAAAGAAGAAAGCTAAAAATGAACGTAATTCAATAACGTCTTATTTTAATCAAGGAAAAAATAATGATGAACAAAAAGAAAATAAGTCTCAATATCAATCAAAAGCAACAATTTCTGATAGAAAAGACTCGAAAAAGTTAGCCAATGAAACTAATACTACAAAGCGACGAAGTAAAACCAAACCAGAAGAAAAACCAATTATACAACCAGATAATCAATTTCTCTCATCTGTTCAAGTTGAAAAAACATCTCTTATTCTTTTCGATGAGGTATACTTGTACAATAACATAGCGGGCAACAACAGTAATATTTTGTAAACTTTAATTTCTTCTAGATTGAAACATTAACAACTGATGATAATTTTTGGTCATGTTTGAAAAAATTACTTGAAACAGCTAAAAAACCTATTATTTTAACATCAAATAGTAGAACGAATCCAGAAGACGCAATTGTTAATCTATCAAAAATTGGATATTACGAACTTGTTCATCTTGAACCGAACGAAGAAGTAAACAAGTTTATTTAAAGAATCTTCTCTCAGACTAGTAGAATTCTCCGCTTGAATTACATATCTACATGGAAAATACAGCCTATCATGTTATGACAAATGATTTCATATCCTTGAGAGTACTAACTTTGTCTTCGTCACGGAATGGGATCCAGATGTAGGATAGGAGCAATATATAGTAGTGAAGCTTTATTGTAAAAACACAAGTGTATTGTTGACTTTTCTAAATGTACTCCGACTCACTTTCAGGGATATTTTTCACAGTCAGCTCGATTCTTCAGTAGATTGATTGATTTACCTAAGTGGAGAGTGTTGTTTTTTTTATTTCTTGAGGCTTGAAGTAGAACTTCATCTCTATGCCTACAATATATTTATTATTCTTCATAAGTGGTGACTTCTTCAAGAAGCACAATTTATTTATTTACTCCTACGCTGACTTCACCGAAGAGAACAAGATCAAAATAAATTTTCTAATGTCCTGAATTCTCGCTAAAATTATTGATTTTAATACATCTGATGGTAAAATCATCATAAAACAACTAATTTTATGATACTGTGTCTCGCTTTTCTTGATATCCTACTCAAATACAAGACATGTAGTCAAAACCAAATTTGCATAATCTTGGAATACGACCTTGAGCTGTTTCTAATTTTAGCTTAATCTAAAACATCATAGGAATCAAGAGTTGCAAAGTTTACATTCGCTCTTGCACAACACAATCTGCAGATTTTCTTTTTTTTTGTAAATTATAATCGACTACAAAGGCGATGTGTGATGAAACAACATTTTTAATAGAGATTCTGACGTCACTTTGACCACAATACTAAATTTTTAAAATAAATGCTAAGTACAAGGATTATGCTAGTCAAGAATTTTCAAAGTTGATATTTTGCCAATAAAATATCAGGTCTTTTGAGATTTAAAACTTCTAAACAGCGGACGTAAACTATCCGAGTGCCTCTGAAAAGTTAAAGATAGCATTTTTATCTTATTTTGCGCTAAGTAGTTAACATTTCAATTGGGGTGTCAATTTACAGTTTATTTAATTTAAATTTAACTTCGCGAAAAGCTAATTTAATTTTAAATTAAATTTTATCAAGTTAAACTTAAAAAAGATTTAAATTTTTGGACTGAAAAGTCATTTAAATTAAAAAATTTTTAATTTAATAAATTGTTTGGATGGATATACATCATTGCTATGAGGAAAATAAGCGACTTTAATAGTAGTAAATACTAAATGAGAGGAGAATCTAGAATTTTTGGTTAATATTTGTTCATAATAGTTAAAATTTATCTACAGATTGTGCAGGATCCACCATCTTTCTTCTTCAAAATACCGGGATACTCATAAAAACATATTCAATAGCACAATTCGTAGAAGAATGACTAGCTTTAACTTTAGAAAACAAGAAACCTACTTAAATTTGACTTTAAATAGTAGCAATCAAGCCAAAAGCTATGTTTATCGACTAGTTTTCAAAATTTAACTAATTTGAATTTCAAACAATTTAATTTAAATCTAGTTAAATTCAAGTGATACAAAATTTAAAATTTAATTAAGTTTAAATTTAACTTTTCATTCGAAAGCAATTTAATTTATGTTAAATTTAAATTTTTAAAAATTTATTTCCTGATTGGATAAATTTTTTTAAATAAAAATATGACACCCCTACATTTCAAATACAAATATTGATTGCAATTTAAAAGATTTTTGTTGTAAAAAAAATGTGAAACACATTTCTGAATCAATATCGACTCATCTGCCTGTACTAAATATTTACAAAACTCGTTATTTTACGATAATTGAAGTAAATCGAACTTTGTTTGACCTCTATTCTTTCATAGGAACTTGTTTGCTGTTTTCTTCGATTGATACTTTTGATTGAGATGTTCGAAGTACCTGTGCTGGATGATCTTAAGAAACTTTTTCATTTTTGCTCATGTAATTTACGGCAAACATTATTAACACTGGAATTTATTGCACAAACATCAACAGTGAAAAATATTGAAATATCCGCTTCAGAAGAGAATAATTCAACAATATCAAAACCTAAATGGCAATCATCGCGTATATTCGATGCTATGTATTATTCACATCTTGGTGAACAATGGAATGAATCTCCAATGAAAATACTTTGTGATGATTTAACAGTAAAATATACATCCAAATATAAACAATCTCATTGGCTGTTACTTAGTAATAGTAAAACTGATGAAAAACGGTAGATTTCGATTTTATATAATTATTTGAGAAATTGTAATTGTTGTATATTTTTTAGCATTGAATTGTATGATACATTCAAATTGTTTATGCAAGAAGAAGAATTCGATAATATTATTGATCAGCCATCTTTTTATCTCGATTATCGACCTTATATTCGACAAATTTGTCAAAATGAACAGAATAACAAGAGTGATTTAAGTTCAAAGCGACGGTATGATTTAACATATACAATTCAATTGATTATCATTTTTGTTTTGTTTATTCCTTTAGCATTCGACATAGTCTCAGTTTTCGTGGTTGCTCATTACAATGGCCCGACTTTGAAATTTTATCGGCCGGTATCGATTAAGTCTTTGAATATTTTCATTAATCAAAAGGCCAATTAGTCTTATAATTCAGTCAGATATTATATATATATATATTTTTTTTGTTTTTGTGATATCTTGTATTTTCAAATAATAAAAAATGTCAGATGAATTGTTTCGTTATATTTTTAATGCACTTACTATGCCCTGACACACTTGATGTTCTTATTTTGAAATTTTGATTCCATAAGAAAAATCCCTTAGCGATTTTTCTTTAAAATATATTTATCCTTCTACAAAATTTCCTTTAGCATTCTTGACAATAACTTTGACAACGCTAAGAACATGAACATTGCTCAAAGCAGTGAGACACAATTATAGTACCTAAGATATATGCAAAAGCTTGGACTAGAAATAGTTTCTTCACTTCAGGAACTTCCCTAGTGGGCAGATGCCATTGCTGCATCGGGAAGATCTATCCGTGATGCATGTGAGTTTTAGTTTATTAAGCTAAATTTTTAATACGATGCGAAGCGTAGCATCTATGTAGCCCGTCGCGTGTTTTCTTTTGCTTTCTTGACGTACGCATCTTTTTCATCATTTTGTGGCCCAATGATCTCGGGTACCAAAAAACATAGGAAATTTGTTGAAACGTGAGATCAAAGTATCAAGTTCGAACTTTTTGTCCCTGTTTTCTATTCTTTAATCTGATATTATATCCACTCATAAATAACGTTCCAAAACGACAAAAATGAAAGAAATTTGTTTCGAGATGATTGAAATGACGTCATCAACATATGTTAACCACTATAGTCTATTCATTTACAGCTGGTCTAATATAATGAATCATGGAGATAATTAATGGATCAATCGAAGTCGGTCTTTAAGAATGTATCGCTAAGAAAGAATAGAGTTTTTAGAGTGATGAATTCCATTATGGCTACATAAACATTATTCAAAATTTCCCTGAATAGTAAATTTTTTTGTAGAAAATCGAGATTTTTGCTTCGCATCACATTTCGAATACGAGTGAAACTCAAATACCATCTAGTTACACTGAGGTTTCATCAAGAAAGATAAACTTTGTATATTCAGTTGTATAGCCAACATGTGAGCTTGTGGCGTATGTGTATGATGCAATAAGTAAATGTCAATATTAAATCATATGACAATGTGTTAATGTTAGTGTTGCATCACACTAATTCTAAAGTATGATTAAGTTGCGCCTCCTAACCTAGTTGGCTTAGGACAGCTACCCGGATAGCAGGAGGTATGGGTTTGATTCCCATGAAGGTCACCTTTTTCATCGTTACTGTCACATAACAGCAGTGACACTGCTTGTTGTAACAGGATTTTAATGCTTACTCCACACCAGAATGCTTTTATTCTCTCTCGCCTACTCTTTATATACTTAGAGTAGAACAATAGAGGAAAAAAATAAATATTAAAGCGACACAAAGAGAAAGAGCAAACGTTGAACATTGATCCAAGTAGAAGCACGCGCTAGACTAAATAGTGATATATGATTATATCAGGAGAACAGATAAACTCAACACGATGAGAGTCAGTAGACGGTTACATAATGACTAGTATATACATATCGAAGAGAGAAGAGTAAAACATGATATAACACCCGATGACAGGATACGGTTGGAATAACATGCACGAACAATCAACTCCATAAGAAAGTGATACTATATCACGATACACAATAAACTCAACCGAGGTTGTTACACTTGTTTCTTTCGTTTTATACATATTAGCGCCTAACACAATGTGTCTGCTTGTATGCATGGTGTGCTAGTTGATTAGATCACTTCTGTGCCACACTTCGATGAGACATCTAATAAGCTTGAAAGGACGGAGTGAAGATTAGCACGGCGACTATACTAGAATGACACTCAAAATTGTCGTGATGCGTTCCAATTAGATTATTCCTCTGGCAAGTTGAACCTAAAAATGTGCGCAATTTTACTTAAAAGAAAAATATAACCGGAAAAAATTGTCGATCATGCGTTGGGGGAAGTATTAGCAGGCAATGGCGTGTTTTCGGCATAGACTCAGTGCATTATTAATCAATTGGCAATTGCATCATAAATAAACTTCCTTTGATCCATTTTAATCGAATGGATTGGTGTAACATGTAATCAGGCGGGCATTCATTATAGACGGTGAATGACGAAAGAAGAAAATAACTAGGAATACATATTTATGAACAGCAGCACTAGTAAAATTTGATCAAATGTAGAATCAATTGATACAGAAAAAGAATTTCCTGTGAAAATGAATGGCATTCTTAGGAGATTAAAATATTTTATAAATTGAAAAGATAACATGCAAGAAATATTCAGACTGTTCTCAGAACTCCGATGAGTAATGTTAATGTAAATATCATTGAAAGCGATGATATTAATTTTTAAGTACGCCTTTCATGTTTATAATAATATGCAAGAGAAAAGAATTCCATATTACTAATAATCAAAACATGAAAAAGAACTTATCACCATATTCACAATCTATTTTATTTGATACAATAACATTCTATTTAAATCAAATTACATGACGCGTAATTAATAGTCTGTATTTCTTTACAATTAATGATCACATACAGTGCGTTACCGTACCAGCTATGAAGTTTTTAAGACCCATTCTTAAAAGGGCTAAAATTTAACAGCCCAAAATATTGAGAAATAACCTTGTGCTAAAAATTCATCTATTGTTGCTAATTAAAGATTTGATTTGACCCTTTGAGAGGTATCGAATATTGATGGGTGGTTTGTTTTGCCTTCTAATCGGTACAATCTATCGTGTCGGTTAAGGTATCTATGCACTTAACACGCTTAGTTGTCAAGTTATAAAAAAAATGTATATAGTTTTTTAATATTTGTATAAATTCGAGAAATAACTCTACAACGGTAAGCATTCATTGATATAAATAATGTATTTCTTTTCTTTTGAGAGATCCGAATGTTGTGGCAACTTATTCCCGTTCGATAGCTAACAACGGTGTACAGCCATAGACAGTAGGAGTATGATGTTGTACATGGTAGAAACTTAACTACATACAGTCATCTTATCTCAGTCGTTAATAAACTATATACAATATTTTACAAGTACGGTCGTAAATCATCAGAATAGTTTACGACAAAGAAAAGGTCATTCCTATTCAGCGGTACACAAGTATCGCCATCAGGCATTACAATAGAGTTAAAAGCAAAACAAAAGATTATTCATTCGAAAAATACAAGCGGGGGGGGGGGCTGATTTATTGTACCAGAAATCATGAGAAATCACTAGAAATCATTAAAAGGTGGTCGGATGAAAATGAAACCCAAAAATCGATTTTGACTATTAGAAAAACATGAGAAGCCATTAGAAATCGCTAAAAGCCATTTCATATTACAAAAATTCTCCAAATATACAGTAAAAAAAGAACAAATTGATTTCTAGTGATTTCTCTGATTTTCTAATTTTCTATGAGGATCCCCAAACTTGGTGACTATCCTTAACTTTCATCGATTTCTCATCGACTTTATTAATTTCTAAACATTTTCAACGACTTTCGGCAATGTGACTTTTACATATAAAACTGATTTCCTGCGATGGAAATCACTAGAAATCAGGCGAAATCAAGAAATCAGTTTTCCCCCTTGGACAAATAACATTTCTCTGATGAATTTTTTCGACATCTTTATGTCAGGCTCGATTATTTCCCGTCAACTGACATATTGTTAGATGCTAAAATGAGTTAATGTAGTTATGTTTCTAGATCATTGTTTGTCGTTAAATACATAATTTACTTAAGTGCGAGCAAACTTTCAACTGTGTATGTTCCTGTGTAATATGAACAGTTGGGAGGGAAAAACGTAGCCCACTGGTTCATTTTTTCTTATTGATATTTGATATACAAAAATAAATAAGTTGCATATCTCAAATACGTAATTATAACTCATTAATTTCACGTATGAATGATGAGATCGATTTTTATGTTATGTAAAATAATAATAATAATTGACAGAAAATGAGTGTGTCCGTCATGAAGCTATTTAAAAATTAAGCACTCTAAGTATTCCGATGGATTGTCTTCAAACGTGTACGAAATTTATGATCTTAAGCTTTCCAGCGAAAATTGATCATGAAGCCAATGAAAAATATTTTCTAGTGCTAGAGCGCGACCTTTTCTTTTTAGCTTAGGGAAACACCAATAAGTTCTTTTTTTTTACATAGAAAACAAAAAGGCTGCATCAGAAATGATCGATTGTTATATAAGAAAATTCATTGAGTGCTTAAATAATTGCGAGAAGATGACATGCTGTATGTCAACATGATTCTTTCAGTCTATTTAACCCAGTTAAAATTATCAGTAGGCAAAGAAAGGAAATTGACTTTTATTTATTCTCAAAATATCACCAAATCAAAAAAAGCAAGTGTAAATGTCTATTCAATGTGTATTGATGTAAATAAAATTGCATACCTGAAAGAAAAAAATGAGATAAATGAACTATTATTGCTCGATATATCATTCTAATGTTCATTCTGAGAAAATGGCAATCTTCGAAAAGTCCCCATTGAGATCCACATCGAACACAAATGGTTCTTTATAACTATCATTCATGAAGCAACCATTATCTTGACAGGAATTGTATAATCGATGCAAAATTCTATAAATTAATCTAACGTTTTTGAGATCAATACACAGGCGTTCTTTTTTGCTTTTTGTTCAAAAAATAAACATATTGCATGACAATAAAGTCTATCGTAATCTTGAGCCCGATAGAGTTTGTTTATATTTAACATATATGAAAATAAAAACGTTTTGCCATTCAATATTGATATAAATCCTTTGCTGTTTCTTATTCAAATGTTCAAATACTCAGAGAAACATTGAGTGTACAAAATTCAGTTCATCATGAATTTAGTGGTATTGTGTTAGAGTTAGAATGATCTTGCTTTAAAAGAAACCTTTTATTTATTCGCACGATCCAGATTATCATTAGTGAATGAATTCTTTTTATTTTCTGCACATTATATTGTGTCTTTTAGCATGATAGTGAGTATATTTGTGTTTTACTCCACATATGATGTCTCTAAACAGAGTGAAGAACCTAATCGTCAATTACAACCTGTGTATGATTTCTTTTTTTTTATTTCTTTTTATAGAAAAACGAACGACTTATCGAAGATCGCTCAGCCTACGAACGTACCCTACTTGAAAAGATTGAATAAAAATGAGTTTTTTTGTACTTTTTATTTTCTCTTGAATTCATCGAGTGTATCTCTTGAACTCTATCCGTAGCTTGTCAATAACGTAAAAGAGAAGTCAATATTAAAAGTTAACATCTAGCAATATTTGATGACTATGTGGGTGAGTAAATGAGTATATGTCGATGTTACATTAAAAATCTAGTGTTGATGAAAACAAATTTTGGAAATGTTGCTTGTTTTTTACGATGTATTAAATGACATAAATGCAGGTTGATTGTTATTTACAAAACCCATGGAGTACTAAGAATCAAGATTACGAAAAAAGGATTCCCACTCTCTATCTTTGTTATTCGTCAAGTACAGAAATATTCTAATTAATAATATTTGTGCACAATATAATAAAGAATAAGAAATCGTAGAGAATGAAAAAAGCCACATCAACAATATTATCGAAGAAATAAAGAGGAAACGTGGGCGAACAGATCATTGACAATACTCAGTAAAACAGTTTATTTATATTGCATTCAACTAATGAAAATGTAAATGTGCCTTCGTTTTTTGAAAATTAGTCACTTTCTCGCTATAACCTCTATTATTCCACAGTTTAACACGTCGAATAAAATATCTTCTATAAGTCGACTCACCGTGTTGTATGAGTGTCGAAAAACATGACATGAATATTATCTACGATAATAACAAAAATATAGTCATAATCAATCTATATGTTATGTTCTTTTTCAAGTTTTGTTATATGACTGAAAATTCATTTGCATATCTATATATCTATTTATAAGTATACAAGCGTTTGAGGCTCATCTAAATTAATATTAATAAATTCTTTTTAATAGCATTGCGTAGGCCCTATGTTAAACAGTAATGTTTGCATTCAATATTATTGTTTCAGCAATGAGCTATATAATCATTTTATTTTAAAATTCCATGATTGTTCACTATGCGTTCCCACCGTTTCTTTCTACTATAACAATTACTTCTCGTTCGTCTTCTTTTACAGGCGTAGTTTGAAAAGTCTTTTTTTTCTTATTTGTTTCTATTCCTCTCTCTCTCTCTCTCTCTCTCTCTCGCCTCTCTGATTCTCGCTTGAGTATTTGGTATATAAGTAGAACTGAAGTTAGCTTTGCATATTATCATTTACTCATGACTTGAAATAAGGAGTCTAATTATGATGTAATTATTTTTGTTTTAGATACTGTTGTTTTCTTTTCTTTGACTCTTAAGCAAAAATGATTGCGTTACTAATTCCAATTCGCCGTATTTTCATATTTCTTATACTTGTTCAGTCAGTTGCTCTTTATAAAATTTACTCATTAGATAACAACGTAAGTTAATTGAAAATTTTTAATAGATTTCTTCTTTTTCTTAAATGATTAATTCTAAACTTAAAAAAAAACATTCTTTAGCCATCGGCCCTACAAAGTGATTCATTATCATCTTCTTCTTCTTTCAATAAAGAAAATAATCAAGTATTACCATTTAAAAGTATGGAAATTCATGATGGCGATAATGATGACGGCGCAGTTTTCGATACAAATAATTATGAAAACAATGATAATGTAGCACCATGGTTATCGTATTTATCGGAGACGAGACAAAATGAGAAACCTTCATGGAAACGTTCGATATTTTCATTTAAATCATCAAATTCTGATGTGCAACATCGCAATAATCGACCACATTGGAATCCACTCGTAGCTGCTTATAAACGGTGTGGTGAACTCTCGATGCACGAAGAACGAGAATCTTGTTTCAAGGATGCAGTTCAAAGGCTTTTTGTTTTTAAGCTACGAAAATAATAAAACGATCTGATACTAACACAGTTAAAAATATTAAATTAAAAAAGAAAAGAAAAGAAAAAGAAATTATAAGCATTTCTGAAAAGTAATAATAAATCGTTCTCTTTTTTTATGTCGCGCAAGCGTATGTGTGCGTGTGTATCCCGTATGAAAAAAGAAGCACAATTAATCAATCAACATTTAATTCTTAATTCTATACGATCGCTTAATTTTGTATCGGGCTTTCTTATTGTTGTAATGTTTCGTCAATAATAATAAAACAGACAAGAAGGACATTATGATGCTGCTGATAAACTGATTAAATCTTTTTTTATTATTTCCGTTCTCGAAGTCCAACAAGAAATCTACGGAATTTATTTAGAAGAAATCAGTCAACTGAAGAGTTTCTTATATAATTTTAAGGAGAGACGGTGCATAAGTTGACACATACATGCTCATACTCAAGTTTTTTGCCAACTCATTTTTGATTAACTTTTTCTTTTCTTATTTTAACACTTCATTTTATTAAGATCAATTAGAATCGAAAGAATGCCTCCGAAATCAGTTGATATACAAGAAACGCATGTAGATTGCTCAAATTTATTTTACATCTTCAATTCACCTGAGTACAAAAAATATGTTCATTGTAAAACAAATGAAAAAAAAAACTGAAGGCCATAAAAAAAATGAAAATAAGAATGTTCAACCAATCATTTGCTTTCGTTCACGTTCAAGAACACGCAAAATATTTTCCAAAAACATATAATCGGATTTTTGTAAATGAAATTTCCTTAATATATTCTGTACTAGTTCAGAATTATGATCAATTTGTAGTGAATGTATGAATTCATTGGATAACATTGAATTTGTCATTATGTGTGTCGGTAATTGAGTAGCTGTATTAGTTGTTGCCATACTACGTTGCTCATCTGTATCACTACTAGCAATACTTGCTGTTGACAGCGTACTAGTAAATGAATGTACATTTTCTTGACTATATAACTAAATAGAAAATTCATATTTAGAAGTATGTAAAAAGAACGCTTCTAGATAAAATTGGTTTACGTTTTTTTATGCTTTGGGTAAACTACATAATTCATAGTTAGTGAATGTATTAGGGGATAAAGTAAAAAGATGGAATAAGCTCTTAATTGATTCGAACTGATTCAACCTGTTGTACGAGAGAAAAAGTCAAGGAAATAATCATTTTTTTCTTCTATTTATGACTTTGAGGAACCTTGTCATAATAGGAATCGAATAATGTCAATAAGAGTTTTGAAAAATTAAAATGAACAGAATAGATAAGATTCCATTTTTTAAAGAGCATTCATTAATATTCATCAAAATATTAATCGGATGATTGCACATTTTTCTCATAAATAAATTACTTAGACTAAGATGATTATGTATTTCTATGGATGCCATATAAAATTTATTTTTGACATAGAATAGATGAATCTAGTGTTTTACTTTTTATGATTAGCTCTCGAGACGAGATCAATCTAAAAATTTACTTTCTTTTCAAAATATACGTACTGATCTGTTATTTGCTTTCATATATTTAAGAATAGCTAAAGCAAGAAAATAGATTTCTTGTAAGCTATCTTCCATATTCAACAAAGCAAAATCAGCTGGTAATAGTTGTCGAGCTAAATGCGCATTTTCGATTAATGGCTGAATTAGTGTTGTGCGTTCTTGTCGTTGCGCTATTTCATTATGTTTACTTGAATATAAATTTACAGACATATCATCTATATTAATCAATATTGTTATGGATGTATCGATTTCGTCGCCATTAAGAAAAACACCTCCATTTTCAGATACATCATATGTATGTTGAGATACAATTGCATGGCGAATATCCTTTATATTTGTGGTTTCAATAGCTTGCAAAATAAAATCCGGTGAATAAGAGGATGTAACGGATGATATTAATGATAGAGCTAGATCTAGATGATAATCATTATTTGATTGTACCGGTTCAGGACCAAGATGGCACGGCTCAAATAATGATAATGACATAAGAGTTTTGTTTGGTGTTGATGGCATGATTGACTTTGTTGGTGATTGTACTGCTACAGACACTTTTTTTTGTAGTTTTTCAGGTGCTCTAAATCAAATATATATTTATGAAAATCTTCCTATTGATTAGTGAAATATCGTTCATTTAATAAATTATTGTTATATCGAGTAACCGTCATCGCTAACATCTGTTTTCTTTTAATCATGGAATTAAGATTGCAATTGGAGAAAAAGAATGACAAGAACGAATACAGACATTAATATGCGCTGAGCGCACATATTCGAACTTAGCTGTCTCAACAATCATTCTTCATTAATTATTAAAAAGAAATAGAAGAAAACGACCTCAACCATAAATAAAGTAAATATATATTTGATGAAATAAATAATCTAGAAATGGAAGGTTCTAAAATTTTGCTCAAACTTCAAGTCATTTTCCTAATTCCCCATGTGTCCCTGGTAAGAAAAATACCTAGACAATGTTTCTGCAAGTACTATTAATCTTACTGAGTGTTTTCACGGCGTTCATCGAGTATCATCTGTTCAATATGTAGAATTAATGTATCCAACAATTCTGATATATAATGTTCATCAACACTTTGACCTTCAGTATCATCAGATGTATATGGTAAATGATACAAGTCTTCTGTGCCCGAATATGTTTTTATATGACTATCATTATTAGCTGATGTATTATCATTGGATAATATATCAATATCGTCTTCAATATTTTGTTCATCATCATCGTCATCGTTCCAATTAACGCTATGGATTGGTGAGTATGGTTCAATATCTTGTATTTGTATTGAGGTAGCAATTAATTCATCAATATATCGACGAATTTTTTTATATGTACGATTTGATTCGTCGCTTGCATCTGATAGATTTGTATTTGGGATTTTATAAGTTAAATAACTTGGACGTATGAAAAAACTTAATAAATATAATAAACGATTGAGCAACGATGCATCACTACCAACAAGAACTGTTCTGCAGATATATAATGGATTGCCATAAGCACTGAAAAGATCTCTAGATAATACAAGAAACAGATTAGTCAAACGAAAAAATGCATTATTATCAACTAACACCAACTGTCCCCATAGAGGACTATATTGCAGAAAACTTTGTAATGAATTCACCTATAAATATAAAATATGTAAATAGCATATGCATGTGTTTTAATTTTTTTCTCTTACATAATCTGCTTTAGCTTTAAATAAAACTTTTTGCTTAGATTTACCGAGTGACGGTGAAACCGTAGATAACCAAGATAATTGATAGCTTAGTAAAGCAGACAAAGCACAATTGAGAAAACTAATAAAAAAAAAACGATATATTTAGTTTATCTGGTCACATTTTCCTTGATTTAATGTGTAGTTCGTTCTACCACTAGTGCCAATACACCTTTTCTTTCGTTCCTGAATAGTATATACGGACAATTTTAAGAGATTAAAACGTTTAGTCGGCCGAAATAGTGTCAAAACAAGAATATATTTGAATTCACACTCTCCAAGTACGTATGTCGAATTCGACACGCTCTATTTGTCAGAGAAATATCTAGAGTGCGCTAGTCTCCACATACCATAATTGTAAAAAAAATTTCTTTCTGTTTTCGAGGTGAATATCCAATCGGGATAAGGAAAAATTTTATAAAGATTGACAAAATATGGTACAATCCAACGTAAATATTTTGGACACTCGACAGGTAAGAAAATTTTCTTTCTAATTGCCTACTATATCTAACAGATATTATATCTAATTAACTTACTCGCCATATTTGGGTGTTGTAAATAAATCAATAATTGAGCATAATTGTTGAGCTAATGCACGTCGTTTACTCATACTTATATGTTCTTGTGTTAGGATATACCATGCAGGATGTACAAGACGAGGGCGTGTGTATAATACATAAAGTTCGTCTTTAAAACTGAATAATTTCTAAAAGAAAAATCATAAAATTTTCATTCCGTATTCATAAAAATTTTTGTCATACGTCGAGCATAGTTGCAGCGATGGTATTTCGTTCATTGATATTCGCTTCTGCTGCAGCCATTATTTTATGAAAATGATTTTCAATTAACGGTGCATGTGTACAAAAAAATTCTTCGAAATGCCTTTTAAAAAATAATTAGCATAAGAGATCTCAATAAAAAAATATAATTTTACTGATATTTTGACATTTCATTTGGTTGAAATGTAACAATAAATGCTACACCAATACATCGACGAGAACGACGACCCGGCTAGAATAATTTCAATTCAGACAGCTAGTCATAAATTTATTTCTTTTTTACTTGTTTTGGAGGTTTTTTCATTGAGCGATTTGCACATTTTAACCATCGACGATAGAGTCGACCAAATCTTTGATTTGTTAAATCTTCACCAAGAGGATCAATACTTGATATTGTGGACGAGGCAACACTAACATTTGAACTGACTAAATAATTAAAACAAGAATTAATATAATCTCAATTATAATTATTAAAAAATACATGATCGATTTGATGGTGACGATGAAAATGGATTGAAAGGATTAATAGATATTGTATCTGGTTCCGATGTTATAGATGTATCCACAATTGCATCAGCTCTAAACGTTAAAAACAAAAACATAAACAATTTCAATAAAAATCAATTCAATTTCAATAATAACCGTTCAGGTAATTGAACAACAAATACGCGACTCATCACTAACTGTAATGGTGATCTACAATGATAGATTCAATATAAAAATTCTCCAAAAACAAATAAAACAAAAAAGAAACGTACTTGCTCGTATGAATTTTCATGCCAGTGCCTTTAAATAATAACGGCATAGTTCCAAATATATAATCAGCATAGTTACGTATATCATTAGTAGCTTTCATTAACTAAATCATGAAGGAAAGTAAGTATTCATTTTCCGTTCTTTTTTTAGTACGTACCTCATAAATTTTTCCTCTATGAGTAAAGCGTGTAACAGCAAGACGAGAACGACTACTACTATTACTTGGACCCATTGGTGGTTTACTTGTTCGATTCTATAAATAGATTTTTGCTTTAACAAGAATAAATGGAAAAAAAGAAGATATAAATCATACAGATCCTGGAACTTGTGATAGTGATGTTCGAGTATTGACTGCCGTCGCTGGTTTATTAGTAATATTATCATTGTCCGAAGATGAAATAAGACGTAGAGTTTTTGAATCAAATATAAGCTCTAATCCAACATCATCACTATCGGAAAATACAAGAAGACGAATATGATCGCGATTTAAATCTGGTGGTATCCATGGTCTGTTGAAAAATAAAAGCTGAAATCATTTTTGATGAATAATAAACATTATTTTACATACGGTAGTTCAAGAGGAACTAAAGGAAGAGTAGATGTTGAGGACGTCGACGTCGACGATGATGATGATGACGACGCATTAGCAGATGAAGCATTTTTTTTCGATGATGATTGCAAAGTTTTTCCAAAGACACGATTTAAAAATGCAGCCATACAATTGTGAAGATTGATAATGGAAGAAACAAAAAGGAAAAACGACTATACAATGTGGCAATTCAATTCCTGTACGAAATGTTACTAGCCATATTATCATGATTTTACGTCTCACGTTATTCCATTGTACAATAGGTTTTTTCCAATAAACAACAACCTTCTATCAAACAATTGATAGATACCGACATCTAGTGACCGGCGTGATTTGAATATGTAGTTGGAACCTTATATTCAAGCTTGAGTATTTGTATGGATAAATATTCTTGTTTTTTTTATGGAATTAAAAAAATAGAAACAATTTCCGTTTTCTCATAGTAATATATTTCTCTATCACAGCTGTTAAAATCGATTTATCTATGACATTTATAAAAAAAAAAAAGAAAAGAAAAGTAAATTATCAATGCCTAACAAGGACATTAACAGAATCAATACAAGAAGAAGAAAAAAATGATGAAGATGTATCTAGGAGAATTCGTAGGCTTGTGGTTTATGCGCGCCAGCACAGGCATGTAATGATGCAGTTATGGATTCTTCAGATAAATCATCTTCGGAATTGGCATAAACTTGTATATGATAACCATTAAAGAATCTTTCAAATTCATGTTTATGAGTAGAAACACGAGCACGACGTATTGGAGTCTAATTATTAAATAGGAAAATTTGCATAGAAAACTATAAGAATACTTACTACACCTGTTCCAACATATGTAATGAAAACGAATTTAGCTCGTTTACTTCCATGATCATCAACAGCACGAACACGTGCAACACCATAGTAAACTTGATTTTCATTTAATTGTGTTTTCATTTCTATCAAACCACCTGTACCTTTTCCACTTAGTACAATATCGCCATTATCACCATAACTCAATAGAATCCTGAATTGAAATAAAAGAAGAAACAACTAGATCAGTTAATCTCAATGATAAGAATTATTCATACCAATTATCGTCTGATGCATCATTTCTAACCTGTTGCCAAGCTTCTTGAATCTCTACACTACTTAAATCAACTGAACGTTTTGGTCCGGCCATAGTTAAGTATCCGAATAAAAATTATTTCTCTATGTGGTAATTTTTACTTGCACAGCTGAATCACACAACTATAACGAAGAAAAAAAAGCACTGAATATAATAATCTGTTGCGCATCGCATTACATCTATGTTAGATAACCTTTTTTTTCGCTCTGGCCACAAACATCATTTTGATAGAGAAAAGAAAAGAGAAAAAAATGAAAACGACATGGACTACTTAACGTACTCCGAAAGATATTGTTGTTGTTGATGATGAAGCATATCATATCATATCATATCATATCATATCTTTTTATACTAAAAAAATTAATTTTGACATAAAAATTTCGTAGATTTTACTTTCTAAGTAAAAACAAAAGACGTTTATTGACTTAAGAATAACTGTTGCAAAAACAAAACAAAACAATCCAAGAAAATAAAAATGAAATTATGTATTATTGAATGCCAACAAAGATTCGACTAGGCATCAAAATCATTGTTTTCTATATATTCGATCTAAAACTACAAAATTTGAATAGACACTTCATTTTTTTTTGAAATGTATAATTGACAACTCATATTTTCAATCTTTTTAATACATGTAAAATCATCGGACCAATGATTTCCACTACCTTGATCACATAGACGTAATATATACGTTTAAATACAAAGTTGCCAGTTAGTTATATTTACATTACAATGTTTCAATAAACTATTTGGCACTTCTAATATTAGTTAGCTTGTCAAATCGTAGCACATAATGACATTTAGGATACGGATTTCGATATATTGATGATTAATTTTGCACTCAAATATTTCATTTATATGAATATTTATATCGAGCGATGTAAATAAAAGACACGAAGAAAATTGAATATGGCTTAAAATTCAATTTGATCTCGATGGAACACGTTCATCAACTTTATAAAGACGTATCCTATATTTAATGTGTAAAACAAAAACAGATTTAAATCAATTTTGTAGAACGTTTACTTATCGTATTCCTTCGCAGAAAAATTTTAAAGTAAAATACAAGAGTAAAATTTCGATTATAATCTAAGCCTATATTTCATTTCTATCAATATCATTTTGTAGCTTCATGACTAGATTAAATCCGTTTAATAAATATATATTCGAAACGAGAAAGAGAGAAAGAAAACTAACCATAAAAGTTTCACTATACGTTACACTATTAAATCACGGGATCTATTAATTCAAAAATTTAAATAATTCAATTTTGGTTTTGTAGTTCTTCGTTTTATTATGTGCACGTATATAAATATATATGCATAGAAAGACAGCATGACTGGTAGAACAAAACATAATCAATACAATGGATTCGATCGAGCTTGAATTACGGAATCAACCCACTAGTGAAATTCGTAGTTTACATAATAGACAATATTTTCAACAGCCATCGATTATCAAAACAGATAGAAATGAGAAAAGATCAGTACATAAGAGAGTTCAATTTAATATTCGTACGCCCACTGGGAAACCAATAAGAGACTATAACATTTCAATAATTGATGGATCGCAAAATTCATCTTTCGAAGATCATGATTATGCTGCATCGTCAACACAGTATTTGACGACTGAGTAAGATATTCTTTGCATAGAGATTTATTTTGCACAGAAAATACTGTGCTTATAGATTAATAGAAACCAATAATAAACAAACCTGTAATAGACCATCAAAAGTTATTGCATTTGCCGTTGTTATACTCATCATAGTAACTATTGCTATTGCTATTGGTGTAACAGTTGGTGTTAAAAAAGCTCAACAAAATATGTCGAACACAGCAACAACAATAAGCTTTCAAACATCATGTAAACATATTTCTCTATTCTGTGATTCAAATGTTTCGATGATGATAATTTTTAAAATTTAGTATCAACAATAGCCGCACAGAGTAGTATCAGTATAGGGAATCCAGGTGGACCACCTTGTTCATCGTATACAACAATCAACGATCCGTCTCGCAATATCTATCAATCGTCACTATTTGGTAATTGCGACGTAGGACCATTGTTCAATATCAGTAATGGTGGTTCGTGGATACGATTTGTTGGTACTGGCGGTACTATAATTCCCATGACACCACCTCATGCAACCCGTTGTGGTGGTTATTTAGCAGGCTGGTTCAATGGTACATTACCAACGACAATGGGCACTGTAGTTAATGCAACGGTATGCTTTGATGTTAATATATCTGTTTGCACTTTCACGGTTGAAGTGTCAGTGATTAGCTGTGGTGGTTTCTATGTTTATTTTTTACCGCCTGCACCTATTTGTAATGGACGTTATTGTACAACATGACAACATTTCTTGAAAAGGACGCAACAGATTGCTAGATATAACTTTTAATGTTAAATAACTGCACATTATCTATGTGCAACTATGACCTCGTTTTATTGTTCTACTAACAAAGACTTCAGTTTTCTTTTGTAAGATCAAGAAAAGGAAATTTATATGTTGAACAAATACGATTAGCAATCGAAAGAAGTGCTTGATCTTGTAGAAATGGACCAATCAATTGAAGACCAATAGGAAATCCTTTACTTGATACTTGTACTGGAAAACTAAGTGCTGGTAGGCCTATAAAAAAAATATATAGAAATTTCACATGTAATTTTACGAGGATATACCAGCTAGATTAGCACCAACAGTAAATATATCATCATCAGTAAATATAGTATCAGATTGTTCATATTCAGCATGTGTTATTGGATCATCGGATACAACTGGTGCTAATAAACAGTCGACTTTATCTTCTTCAAATACTTTTGTGTAATCATTCGTCACGCCACGTCGTACTCGTTGACTTTGAACAAAATATTTTTCATAATTCCTATTACATACAGATAATACAGGATTTAAATTTAAGAAATGAATGAAACATACTCTTCTAGTAAATAATAATTTCCAGCTAAAATTCGTCCACGAACTCGTTCACTTAAACTTTCGTCACGTGTTTTTCTAAGAATATCTTCATATGTATCTTTGCTTTCATCAATATTGTTTGTATGATGACCTAGAATATTCATTCGTAGTTTATTGGATGAAGAAAAGAAGAACGGAAGCTAAATACCATATTTGATGCCATCGTAGCGAGACATATTTGAAGCAATTTCACATGAACTTAAAATTGTATACGCTGCATTCGAATAAGATGCATATGGTAGTTGTACTCGTTTAAATGTAAATTCACCAGTTGCAGTCAACTGCACAACTAAATCTTGTAAACACGAACGATATTCACTTGATAATTTATTGATATCATACTCCTATTTCAATTGTAATGATTAGATAATCAATAAACAAACAGAAAGCCTAATTCTTACATCAGGCAAACCAATCGTAATTTTTTTCTTGTCTTTTAATAATTCAGTTGATGATTGAAACCGTTCAAATGGTTTTGATAGTAGAGTTGCATCTTCACCATCTGGACCAGCGATAGCATCTAATTTTTATGAGAAGAATTTTTAGAAAAACAGAAACAACATAGAATAAACTTACTTATCGTCAAAATGAGATCATCAATATTCCGAGTAAAAATACCCGGTGAATCAAAAGAATTGACTAACGCAATCATACCATATCGTGATAGTAAACCATACGATGGTTTAAATCCATAACAACCACATCTTGCAGCTGGATTTCTTACTGAACCACCGGTATCTGACCCAAGAGCTCTAGTATAATAATAATAATAATAATATCATCCACAAGTTATTCAATAGAATGAATTAATTACATGGATACAAAATTTGCTGCTACGGCAGCTGCACTTCCACCTGAACTTCCTCCCGCAACATGTAATAATTTTTTCAAATTTTCTTCATCGATGTTTGTTGCCTTTTTTACACTCCAAGGATTGCCTACAGGTCCAAAGACACCCCAACTTGCCACACTGAAGAATAGCTAGAATTGAATGGAGGATATTCTCACTTTTTTTTTGACAAACTAAAAGCGTACCCCATGGAAAATTCATCCATATTTGTTTTGCCAACAATAATACAACCACTATCAATCAATCGTTGTACAATAGTACTCGTGTAGGGTGCACGAAAATTAGCAAGCATTTTCGAAGCACATGTTGTGTAAATATCTTGCAAACAATAGTTATCTTTTATTAAAATTGGACGACCATACAATGGTGAATTATCTATAAAGAGAAAATAAATTATTGATTCACTGGACATGCAAGATAATCTTTACTTTTCTGTTCATTCGAAAGTTGTTGTTCAGTTTCAAGAGCTTTGTCGAAACAATCATTTGTCAGAGTATTGAGAACTTTATAACGTTGAAGTGCATTGATAGCCGTACGAACAGCCGAAGATGTTTTATTTGAAAGCATAAGCCGAGATAGACAGAAAGTATCAAGGCAAAAAAAACGAAATCTCAGAAAAAAGCCTTTGTAAAATAATTGGTTTATACATTAACCAGCAAGTCACTCTGGTGCAAGCTTTATGATGCTAGTCAGGTGTCGCTCTTCGACAAGATTGTATTCGTTCTTTATCTTGCATAAATAACAATCAGTTTTGAATAACTGAAGTGTATCAAATACATATTTCTTTTCTTTTCTATTCGTGCGTTTTACTTTATAACTTCAAACAATGATTACTATTTATACAGTAGATTCATTTACACGTGAATTATTTAAAGGTAATCCAGCTGGTGTTTGTACTTCATTTCAAGATGTATCTTCATCGACAAATCTTGATATATTCTTTCAAAAAATTGCTACAGAAATGAATATATCGGAAACTGCGTTTATAACAAAAGCAAACAATTCACCATCGAATTCGCGTTATTTTCTTCAATGGTTTACACCAACCAATGAAGTTGATTTATGTGGTCATGCAACTTTAGCTACGGGTCATATACTTTTTGAGAAAATATTACAAAACTCTTCTGTTGATGAATTAGTGTTCGAAACAAAACGAGTTGGAGAATTAAAAGTTAAAAAATGTGATAATCAAGGTCGTTTACAACTTGATTTTCCTATGGGTGATCCACAACCCATTGAAATTGATAATAAAATATTACAAGAAATTAAATCAAAATTAAATATAACACAAAATATACATGATATTCAATTATGTAAACTAACTAGAAAGCTTTTAATTCAACTATCTTCTTCAATTGATGATACTATAAAACCACAACAAAGTTTAACTGAAATTAAATTTCCTGAAACTATTAGTGCATTTATACGTGGAATTATTCTTACAAGTAAATCAACGACAACAACGTATGATTTTATTTCTCGTTATTTTGCTCCATGGAATGGTATTCTTGAAGATCCAGTGACTGGTAGTGCTCATACAGTTCTTGCTGTCTATTGGTCTCGATTATTAAACAAAACACTTTTGTATGGTTATCAGAAAAGTACTCGAGGTGGTGATGTTGAATGTGAATTCGATGAAAAAAATCAACGTGTATTTTTACGTGGTTATGCTGTTACTGTAATGCAAGGCCATTTTCAAGTCCAACCAGATACATTGCATTTCTAAAAATATCACAACCAAAATAATTAATTTGATTGATTAACATTCATATAATTCGTATCAGCATTTTTTGTTTGATTTGTTCAAGTAAATTGATTTTCATGTAGTGAAAAATAAAAATATTGACATATTTAATTACCCACTTAAAATGCATAATTATGAGACATATTTGGTGAGAATGAGAAATCAAAAGACAAATGTATCATTCTCAAATTTCTTGGGTGTGTGTATGGCTGTGTTTCTAAGTATACCCTCACCCACACCCTCATTTTGCATCTTGCCAAAAACGGTCGTATACGGTCGGATACTGAAATATCCGAACACCTTACGCGCGCAAACGTTATAAAGCGGTAGTATACGTTGCCGTATGCGCCCGTTTACGATCGTATCAGGCCGTTGTAATGTTTCGTCATGGACATATTCATTTATGGTAGCTCTAATTAGTTTTCTATTTTATCCTGAAATGAATAAACTATATGATGGTAGCTCAAATTAGATCGGAAATTTGCAATGAAAAATCATTTCTTTATTATCTTTTTAAACTGATATAAATATGATAAACAGTTCGATTGTAATGAATTATTTAGTTTAGATAAACATTTTAACGTGTATACCCAGGTTGATCAAAACGGACTCGTTTACGGTCTGTTTATCGACGGTAAACGATGTCAAAACGGTATATTTACGGCAGTAAATAGGCCGTATTTACCCGTAATACCTGGCGCAGTAATACGGCACCGTAAACTGGACTGCATTTTCATGGTTTACGGCTGTTTGTGCTCCGTACTCTCACGATAATACGGTCCGTATTACTGCGCCAGATATTACGGCAAACTTTCGCCCGTAAAATAGTCATAAAGTAACCGTCAACGGCCGTATACGGACCGTACTGTTCGACCTGGGTACGTTCATTTTCGTCTTTTATCCCCAGGTGAATGAATCTGATAGTGAATCCTATGGGATCTGACAAGCCGACAAAATTCGATCAGATTCCGGGTCTAGGATCTACTAAAGAATCCGACGGAAAAATTTTTTCTTAATCACCAATGAATAGACATATGGTGCCAACAGAACACATGGGTCGAATGCTTATGTTGGACTCCGTTAAATTCCGACACTGGAACCTATCGGATTCATTCTCCTGGGTCGTGAACAAAACATACCATTTATTAAAGTTTATACGAACGATTTCAGTAAAGGTTCTATAGTAGTTACAATACGTTATGCATTTTACTTTCATCATTGCGTACCCTATGTTTTATTATCTGATCTAAAAGATGTTGATGAACTTGTTGCAGAATTATTCTTATTGGACAAAAAGAAACTTACAACATGCGTAAGGAGTTTTTATTGATTTTTCAACCTTAATAAACTTATTTGTTTATGCGTGATCTAGATTGTCAAGATTATCCTGATCGAATCTATCTACGTGTGGTAGATAATGTACCGATTGAAGAAACTGTTTATATCTTAAATATTTTTGATGATAAGCTTTGTGATACTTTCTAAGAAATTGCATATATAAGTTTTTTTCTATTATGCCTATAGATAGATCTAAGAGAAAAAGACTTGTAGAGCGGATCCGACAGAATCAATTTAGTGATGATGATTATAGCAATATTATCTTTAATTTGGTCAATCTTGGCAACATTTTATCCACACGTGATCAAGAAAAAAAAATTTAAACGGCAAAAGAAAAGAAAACATAAACTGATATTTTTTTTTTATAAATAAATTAACATGTAAAATAGATCTATACTACTGAAATATGCTATTCATTATAAAGAATCAGGTGATTTTATTTGTTCATATTATTGGACTTCTGTTTTACCTATTAAAGAACTTCCATTAAATGATTCAAACATACATATTCTAGTATTTGGTTCATCATTAGTTACTGTTTATCATTCAATTATTCAAGATAACACGGACAAGAGTCTCAATTTTTCGACTTCTTCTGAATGAATTTGTGAACTTTTTTGATTTTGGGTATTTTTTACTGTTTAAACATTCAGCTTTTGTTACTCATAAGAGTCACTGCACAAAAGAGACAGCCGATTTTCAATGTAACTGCTCAATCGATATTCTCAGATTTCGATGAAAGTCATTCCATTTTGTAGCGCTAATGTTTTTAGGAACATAGCTCAATTTCATATCTAAAGAATTAGTTTTGGCTGAGATATGTCTATCCGACTAAAAGCACCCAAAACGACATTTTTCAATTTTTGTATTCTTTTCAATCAGTGATTTATAATATTTTCACGATATCTCTTGATAGGTACGTGATAGAATTCTGAAATTTTTACCAGATATACATTTTGAGATGGGAAATCTAATCATTCTATTCAACAATGTCCATGTTGTCATCAAGTATGACTACAATTTTTACTACAGTTATGGCCTACTCATATACTACACTCAAAAATAGTCTAACTTCGTGATAGAATTTTCTCAAACTTTCCCCCCAAAGAGTACTAACTTGGTACTACCTGAGTATGCAATCAAAGTTTGGGATCTTGAAGTTTGACAGGACAAGTCTTGCCACAAAATACCACTATCTTTTCTGTGATATCAGAGACAGTTCATGTATAAGCGACAACCGAGTTTGTTCGATCGATGTCATCAGATTTTGCTCAATTAAAAATATGTTGTAGAGGGAAGAGTTTTAAGAATTTATACGCATGCCGCTTAAAAAAATGTATTGTTCCGTTATTGCAATATTGAAATATTTCTGAGGGCACCATCGTCAAACCAGCAATTTTTTTGTGATTCTTTTTGTGACATCTATGAAGCACTGTCTTAATGTTTATACACTTATTCTCAATCGCGACCATATTCAATTCGCAAGAAAAAATGAATGTCTCATAGGGTGCTTAAATCAATAATTAAGCTATATATAATGGATACCTTCAAATTATTTATCTTTTCTAAACGGTTTTCTGACAGAAAATAGATATCCTCTGATTTGGTTTGATCAATGAAAAACATTTTTAGGACTTTATGAATAACAGTGAATTATAAGCAAAATTATTGGCTTTAATCAGTACAACTTGATATAGAAAATAAGAATTAACCCATGGAAAAAGTATTGATTACTTCTATCTGAATTAACACTTACTTCGGCATAAAGCCAGCTACAATATGGGAAAGAAAGGCAAAAAAATGAATTAGCTAATTAACAACAAATGATTAAATAAGATAAGCGAGTAAATTGAACCGTGATAAAGAAAAAAAATTTGATCAAACATGTGAAAAAAGAATTCATCCATCGATCTCATTTTATTCTAATCGGAAAAAAACTTCATTGACTTTTAGTGCTTTCGTAAAAAAGCATTAAAATGGCATCTGTAAAAATCTCTTTATTGTAAAACTAAAAGAATCAAAAAGAATAGGCGAATAATCAAAGCATTGCGGTACGGTTACAGAGTGAACAGAAAAAGAAATTTACGTAGAATGAAGCGTGAAAGTAACATCAAATTTCCATTATGCTTTTTATGAATATCATTAAAAACAAGTTCAAAAACGAATACGCCTGTTTTAATACTTCATTGTCGTTTTCTACGATACCTTTCTGGTGTCGTTATCAACCGAAATACGTGTTGTTGTTGGTTGTGTTTTCGAAGTTCTTCTGAATGCGTCAAAGTGCACCGTTGTTCACACTTTTCACAATAAGTTAGCGAGGGACAATGAATACAATCGAAACGAATACCTTCAACATCTTTATGACAACCATTACATCTGAAAACGAATTTCATTAATGGATAGTCTATATGGATTAGGTTCTTCTCGAAGTATTTACCTAATGCCTTCATGAACTACTTTATGCTTATTCTCTATACGGGGTAAATCATTTTTATTTTGTTCTGGACCTGCACTAATAATGGGTACATAACGTTGAGCGTTATCCCAATTAAAAGTTTGGCCACATCCTGATTGTTGATCGCCACCATGAAAATTTTGTCCACATATCATACTACTGCATCCTCCCATGTGTTGTACGACACGTTTACAATGTGGACAAAGACGACAATTCTGTGCTTTGAATTCTTCATCAGCTTTCAAATCATTGTAACGACGACGTAATTCTTCATTTCGTCGATTATTCGCCACTTTTTGTCTTTCATAATCATCCAATTGAGCACGATAACTAGCATCCTGTTGTGCTCGAACTCTCCAATAGTTGCCACGTTCTTTAAGATGAACAACAAGAAAAACCTCAAGTTAAATTGAACTGTATTTATTTACCTGTAGTACACCAAACAAACCATTGTTGTGTTGTTTGCGTTACTTCCTGACAAGTCGTTCGATAATGATATTGTTGATTACAAATCGAACAGAACTCATTGGCACACGCATGACATACAACTCGAAATTGTGCATTTGGATGTCGGGCTTCTACAACCCATTTACATTCTCGATTCGGACATTTGATAATTCCACGGGCATTGTTAATAAAATTACTAAATGTCTTCTCTATTTGATGTTCATGAAATTTCTTTTTCTGCTCGCGAGCCACTCGCAATTGATTAATTTCGCCATGTTCTAATTGATAATCACATAAAGCACATTTGAGGATTTCACCACTATTCATCTTCACTGTACATGATTCTTCAAAGCAGCCATAGCACAATTTATGACTGTCCTTACAACCAAAAACGAAAATATCTTGGTATGGATATGATTCCAAGCAAACACCACAGTTAAAAGTAGGTACTTTGTATGGGAATGTACTGCCTAGAGTCGAAAACAAAACCGACATTTCAAATGAAAATCAACAACAATGAATTTTTCGCTCAAACAAAGTTACAGACGATTACGATTTGTTTTCATTCAATTTTTAAGAAATTCCAACGAATTTCAGGAAGAAAACACTGAAATCATAAAGAAAATGACGAACTGCTTTTTCTTGTAGAAAGCATGGCTGAATATTCTAAATTATCACAAGTCGTACCGAAATTAGCTAAGTCATCAACAATTTTATGGAGATCAAGTGCTTGTCGATTTCGATTTTTTCGTTCGATGTAATGACGAACTTGTGCTGGTGTAAAAGGGTATTTCAGTTTTGATACAATAAAATCTATAAAGGCTTGTTGTCGTTGTTGTTCGGATATATTACGGCAATATCGTGAATGTTCGTCCAATTGACGAGATCGATATAGACAGCAACAGTATTCACATGGAACCATGTCGTCTGGTCTGCAATAAGTCACATGCCCTTCAAATTTGCGCAAAGTTTCAAACTTGATATAAAAGAGACATTGTGGACATTGAGGACATTCTTCTGTAGTAACAAGTTCCAGCAAATGAGCAATCATATCCGGTTCCAGCGGTAAACATGAAACATCGTATTTCGGCAATTGCTGATCGCATATATTAACACAGCAACAAGGAGCAGTCTTTAGTTTAATATGTTCTGCCATTAAATTATGAATACAATTAACACAAAACTTGTGATGAGATTGACACGGCATAATATGGCTCAAGGTTGAATCCGGAGATAATGGTGATGCGCTTTAATAAAGAATCAAAATGATTGATAATGATTGTTGGAAAAAAAGTAAACAATGCTTAATACTGGATTTTGTACCGATGAAGAAAAATTAAAATGCCGTTTGACTGATAAATTCATTATAACTAAGAGTCTGACTCGGCAAGAATGAATAGATTGAGGCTTGCCAAAGAAACTGAATTCACAAGATACTCAAATAAGACTCGTAAAAACTGCCGAACAATTCACATGGTATGAGGGAATATAAACAGATGACTCACCACGAGAAGCATATATGACGATTGTAATGCGTGGTCGATTGTTGTGAACTTGATTGATTATGATGCGTATTCATGTGACCACCGTATTCGCTTGCCGAAATATTCTTTGAGCCTCGAGTACATGGTTTGGTTTTCTGCAAAGATGATATAGAGCAAGTAGTGCTTTTTTGACCATCACTCGAATCCTTAGTGCCATCAATGATCGTCTCACTGTTGAGTTCTCTACATAGATTATAGAAATATGATTAATGAATTCTATAAAACTCAGTTAAAATCAAAATAGTGATAACAGAAACGTTTCCACAATTCTATTGATGAAAACCTCACCTAATTTATGTTTAAAAAAATTCAAATATTATTTTTAGCAATTATTTTTTTCCGAGCAGTATGGCAGGTTATAAAACAAACAAAAGTACCATTTTCAGATCAAACAGAACTCGAATACTTACGTAGCGGGAAAACTATAATGTATTTGCACAATTTTTCATTATGTTACAGATGATAAGAACAGTAAGAACTCAAAGTAAAGTGAAAGTTTCCCTAGATTTTTTTGACCCTGAAAAAGATGGTTTTGCATTGCAAAATTAAATTATCGATCCAAAAATTGCTCAACTAAACTACTGCAAGACTTTTCTATACGTAAAAAATTCAACACGTGTCTCACATTAAGATGAAAATAACTTACGAAGATGACATTCTTTGTGTGGATTATGAAGTGAAGCTCTGTTTGTCTGCAAGAAATAAATAAAGATATGAACAACGAATTGCTGAGAACAGCCCTATGATATGAATACAATTGGTAAATACCCTGGTAAAAGTTACGTTTTGTGTATGGTAGGAAAAAAGTAATGCTTATTTACCCAGAAGTCGAACAGAAGTTAACACGTAGACTTTTTCTACGTTTTCACAATCAAACGATGTTAACAAGAAAAAGAAAGGCGAAGAACGGAAGAAGGACGATTTTATGAATTTCTGACTCATGATGATGCAAGACATGCATGCATGCTGCTTTCTTTCTAAATAAATAAAAGTCTGCAAGTCGCGCGACTATCAATTGAAGTGATGAACAGACATCAAGAAATTACTCAGTCTATCATACTCACGCCACCTTATGTAAATTTGAGGGTGTGGATCTTCTCATTAGCACACAGACTGATATATCCATACCCGTACCCACCAGAAAGCGATTTTATATACCGTGTATGGTTAGAGTTTTCTATCGTCTTGTATATTGATATAATGAATAGCAATTATTTCGAAATATATTCTTTGAACATTTGTATGATCCGCAATTGTCATATATTGACGAGATGTAATTTGTATTGCGTCAGGTTAAATTGAGCGCGACTTTTTGTTGTTATGTGTTACGCAAATCAAAAGAATGAGTAGCATTATTAAGAAACGATTTTTGTCCATAGAACATCAAGAAGAATTAGTTTCTTTCTTAACGATCCCAGCTTCCATATACGACGGATGTATTTGAACTACTTTCATAAATCAAAAACGTACTTGTAATGATAATAGTCTCTTTGTAGAAACAATTAAATATTCTAAAAATACGGCTGGAATATGCTTAATCTTCAAATCTCAAAACTAATCTGTAAATTGTTCACTAAAGTAGGCAATCTTGGCCGTAGCATCACATCATTCAGTATATTTTGAACATTGAGTTATCAGCATAGAATTTTGCACTGTTGAAAATGCGCCGTCGTCAAGGATCGTGGGTTTGTAAACAAAAGGCGTGTAAAATTTCAAACATATTTTATTTCTGCTAACTATATAGTAAGAAAGATATTTTAGTCGGAATGTGCAATAGACTATTAGTTCTTGTCATTATCAATAGGATAACTCCTATTAATGAAAAGGCTTTCAATCGAAGATAAATATTTGTTCTTTGAAATGACATCACTCCTTCGATGTCCAACTCAATAAAAGCTTTCTTTATTTCAATAGAAAGTAAACTTTATCAGAAAAGTTTTCAAATGATTTTTTGACTCTTACTAACAGTCTCGACTTAAAATATCACTTTAGTACTCCTTTTCTTTTCAGAAATTCTGAGAATCTCACTACGTTTTTGTAATCAAATGAGATACTGTATACAATAAATTTTTGATTAATAATTTCTCTCTCCATTTCTAATTGGTAATTGATAATAAGACTAATCATAGTTATATTTATTTATTATGAAGAAAACATTTCGAAGATCTGCTGTCTTCTTTTCAATTCAATATCTTGTGAAATAAATAATAATGTAAATTTTTTCTATCTACAAATCTGCCTAAATCTATATTTTTATTTTTATGTTCTAATAGTAGGCCGAAGATTTAAAAATATATGTTTAAATCGTCCGGTATTACGGTCTTTTACATAAATGTAGACCTCTTTGTAAGGTCACTAAATAAAAAGGCAGAGAAAAAATATTAACTAGAAATCTACAATAACCTTCCTCAAGGTCTGAAATTATGTAAAAGAGCAGTGAACGACGTTAAAGATTACAATACTGCATATTCTAGATTTCAATCAATCATGGCACAAACGACCATTTCTGTGGCAGAAATGAACACTACCATGGTACATATTATGGACGAATTTACTGAAGGGACAGTTGGAGTAGTTACTTCTAATGGCGTAGCAAGTGAGGGGAGGGGGCAGGCGAGTTCCGATAAAGAACTTTAATCCTACGATCACTAAATCTCTCAGCTCCATGATCCAATCCAGTAACTAGGTGAAATTTCATTTTTTCCCCTGTCAAAGATATTTAAGCTACCATGACGAGCATTATCAAGAGTGCATTCTACTGGTTAGGAGCCTGAGAGCTCTCTACCCCCGGTTAAAACCAGAATCATGGCTCGGGCGTTGCTTCGCATCTGTCTTTTGGGTTAACTTTAGATGCGTTTTTTAGTCATGCTCTTGGAAATTTTTCATTTTTCTCTCATCGGTACTCCACGCTCGCTTGAGCTTCTCCGGTTATCTCTTCGGAAATTTCAGGATCTGTGCCATAAACAGCCGACTTCGTCCGCTGTTCATATATTTGTATGTGTGTTCTGCCAGTCTAGAGCCAAGTGAATCGATTTTCGATTCATGTTACTTTTCTATAGTGAAGAAATAGTTAACATTATACAGTAGTAAACACAAGCAGCATATTCAATTATAATATAGTAGTATAACATGTAAATAATCATTTAATGCATCTGAATCCGCTTGTAGAGTAAGTTCTAATTAAACAGGCAATATTTGCTGTTAACTAAATATTAAGATTGCAGAGTTACTATTTGATGAATTTATTTTTCAGAAACAGAATCACACGTTGCAAACGCTTTAAATATTTATGAGATTAAACTTGTATATTCTAGAAAAGCGTTTCTATTTTTCTTGTCGAATCAGTCTTTCGTGGAAGTCAAGTTAAAAAATAGAAATTATTTTTTTTCTTCGTCAATAAGACTAAGAATATTCGTACTGAAGCAAGTTTTTCATTGTGTTACTAAGAAGATTTAATTATATGTTAGTTAGAGTTTCTAGCAATATTAATATTTAAATTTTAAAGATACTCATATATAAGAAAAAGCACATTCAAAATTGCAATTTGATTTGATTTCTGTTCTGTTCCTCATCCTATAGCTTTTCATAGAACCTCATCTAATTAATTTTTTATTTGTTGTTGGATTAATCAAAAAGTCTGTTATATTCTAGTTTCTCTAAACTTACTGATTGCTAGAGCATAATTTCATGCGTCTGAAAAAAGTAGAAGCCCACAAATCTTTCTTTGCCGTCTTTATTCATATCGTTTATTGGTGTTCCGCATTTACACATATGCATACATAGCTCCATAAAATTTTCAGCCTTATATTGATTTGTTGTCTTTCTTTTCTTTCATTGCTCGCTATCAGTAACCAGTTAACTTTAGCTCACGCGTCATATGCAAATCTTCGTCCTTTTCATATGTCGCGTCAATAACACATTGCTTGTTTGGCTTGTTACCTATTCGATGGCGTGGTTCGACGTCGAGTGCATCGTCTTTCGCTATTTGCATTTCGAGCAAGGCCGTTCGTTGTTCATCATTTCGAGCAAATGGTTCTAAGCCACGATTAAGCTTTTCAATAGCTCGTGTCACGAGTCTTTTGTCGATCACATTGGCAGCATATACATAGTCAATTATTGTTCGAAAGAACCAAAGCATTTCTTCATGCATATTGAGGTTCGCTAATGGTGGTAGTTGATCAAGTTCCTGTTTTAGATTAGCAAGTAATTGAGTATTGTTAGGATCATCATTAACATTCACAAGAGCTCGTTCTATGAGTGCTGAGCCGGCTTGAATATTGAATGTATTTAGAGTGCGAGTGATTGCTTGAAGAAGGCCTGTCAGATGTAATTGGTTCGTCATGTGCAGCTGATATTAAAGTGTGTTCGTCGCTTATTTTCTTTCTGCGTATATATCATGACGTTCTTTCGCAATATACATCTTAATAGTGCAATAACTTTATAAGAATGACGTCGTAATAAAGCAAATTGCTTATGAAAGAGACTCGTTACTGGTAGCGACGGCGCCAATGGGGAGGCTACAAGGGCTGAGCGTCCCCAGAACTTTTTTAAGGTTTTAAAAAATTGATAATCTTTTCTGCGCGTGATGTCGCAACATATCTCTTCATGCACCACCACAGAGATATTCGTTCAATTTTCTATCGGTTATTCAAAGAATCCAACACAATATTATCCTCTTTTCTTGAGGCTGAAACACAATCTCTAAACTAAAAATGAATCCTGGCAAACGTCGGACTATAGAATCCTTCTTTCTTTCTTCCGCCAAAAAAGCACGTAATAATGAAGAACACACAGAATCAAATGTGATTATTTCATCGTCATTATCAATATCAACTTAATCTGAAAATCCGGTTTTTGTTCTCTTTCTGTCTCTTCATGTTGTGGTGACCAAATTACGTGTGATCTTGTTTCTGATACTTCATCATCTTCTCTCGCAACCTCGGTTTCTTTGAATGAAAGTTTTGAAGCGAAATCTGGTCTAAATGATATCAGTACGTCATGTATTGATCCTCCTGTTCAACCAAAATTAGTAACCTATCCGTTGAATCATCAAAAACGTTCATTTCAATCTAGCTGGTACATTGATAGACAGTGGTTGGAGTATTATATTCAAAAAGATGCATGCTATTGTTATTACTGTCGTCATTTTTCTGTTAATAAACTTTGCTAGTGATTCTTTTTCCAATTCTGGATTTAATAATTGGAAAAAAAGCATTGTAAAAAGGTAGTGGTTTGATAAAACACGCATTATCCCAATCACATATAATTGCAACAAAAAATTATTTGTCATATAAACAACGAGAAGAAACGGATTCAAGTGTTATTAAGAAATTAGATTCTGGTCGTGCTATTCAAATACGTAAAAATCGTGATCATCTTGTAAAGATTTATTCAACATTACATATTTTGGCACGTCAAATGATTAGTTTTAGTGGTCACGAGGAGAATGACCAGTACGTAAACTCAATTTATTTTTAGAAGCTTCAGAGACATCTTTCTAAAGAATGGAATCCGTTTTTTTCCGCTTCAGAAGTTCAAATCGGGGTAATTTTCTAGAAATTCTTCATTGGGCAGCGAAAACTGATTCTTTAGTTCAATCAATCTTTCAAGATTCTTCGAGTAACGCTAATTATCTGAGTCATGATATTCAGAATGAATTACTTCATATAATGAGTGATGAATGTCGAGATATCAGTTGCAATCAACAATTGTCAATAGTTATTCGATTTGTTCGTGATCTAAATGGCCGTACAATAGATAGTTCGAATGTTGTGAAGGAATATTTTCTTGGTTTTGTTGAGTTCGAAGAATTTGATGCTGGAACATTAGCAAATAAGATTGTTGATTTTTTAAATAGTTTGAATATTTCTTTACAATCATGTATTTGTTTATGCTTTGATGGGTAGGAATCAGCTGTTTTTCTTTTTCTACTAAATGCGCGAGATGTTAACACCTATTTTATTTATCATATTTTTAGAGCATCCGTAATGCCAGGATGTCAAGCAGGAGTTCATGTTTTATTAAGAAAGCATATGCCGAAGGGCATATATATTCATTGTTCAGCCCATCGTCTCAATCTAGTCGTCAGTGATACTTGTAAAATTGTTTGTTAAATATCAGATTATTTCTCGATTGTTGCAAATATTTATTCATTTTTCACTGAATCTGGTGTAGCCAATACATATTTTAAACAAGCACAAAAAGAACTAGGTTTAGGTGATTACTCTACTAACGTTCTCTAAATGCAACCTGTTTTTATTTTATTTTCATTTGTAGTTCAATCTTCTACACTTAAATTGTGGGCTTGAACACGTTGAGATTCACGCTGGAGCGCTATTGATTCTATTATTAATAATTTTCCTGTAATCATCAAAGCACTTGATGATATTAGTGAAGAAGATGGTGGTTCAAGGTCGACCAACGCTGGTGGATTATTAATCTATGTGAAAAAATCAATGTTTATTATTACTTCGTTTATTCTTCATCGATTTTTTGGTTTGATTAAGGTCTTGAGTGATCATTTAAAAAGTATCATCTTTCTTGTCCTTCTGAAATTGCAAAGCATATTATCTTTCTTCCTTAATATCCTTCATTGGATCATGTACGTGGTGAACATTTAATAATATCGATTATTCAACAAACACAAGATCTTCGAAATGAACAATCATTTCAACAAGTTTATAATAAAACAAAAGAATTTTGTGATGCAAATGAAATTGATTTCATACAACAGTACAAATCACATCGTGTAACAACAATTCCAGTTAGATTTGAAGCATTTGTCATCAGTTCAACACTTGGACAATGTGAAGTTATATCATCATCAACAGATTTCATGAATCAAATCTATTTTCCTTTGATTGATTGTATGTTAGTAGAGCTCAATGATAGATTTTCATCAAAACGTTTATCATTGATGAAAAGTATTTCTACAGTCTATCCTGAAAGTAAAAATTTTCTGAATATCTTGAGGGTGTGGGTGTGGATTTTCTCTCTTAATTCACGCTCACCATAAAACCCATACATACGCCGACACTAACACCCACACCCACATTCTTCATGAAACAGATAAAAGTGGAATTTTCGTATTCGTCATTCAGTTGATTATGAGAAGAAAACAGATGTTTATCGACAGAAATTAATGCTTATATTGAACTAGATTCTAATGCACTGTGCATTTTATTTCATAAAGTTATTCATTTAGTAAATGATCTTCATTCGAAAAAGCATTTTTATTCTGGCAATTAGATAAAATGATGTGGAAACGAAAAAAAGTTCTGTTAGCTTATTTATATTTCATTGCTAAACCTCACAATATAATCCATTTATAATCTTTGATTCTTATCTCTCTTACACACATTTTACAAGGCAGGGGCATCACTGAGGACTATTATATCATCAATGGATATACCAACAACAGGAATTTTAAAGTTTTCGGAGAAATTTATCCGACCGATATTCGATAAACATGCACGTTCAACTACAATTATTGATGCAGTTGATTTGATTCAGCTTTTAGAAGCAAATAGGGTAGGTGTGGGTGTGCGTGTTGTTCTTTCTTGTATATATCCACACCCACACTCAGAAAATATTATTGCTTCTCTTATTCATCAACCAGTTTTTGGTACACGGAATCAGTTGTCTCTGTGGAAGGAATAGTTAACTAGCATCCAAAAATTCTCCGCCTGAAAACAAGATCATTATCAAATCGTATAACAATCATCGATAATGAACACACCACAGAGAAAAGAAGATTTTTGACTGCAATTTTTTAGAAATAAAACGTGTTTCCCATATGGGCTATTTCAAGACACTAACATAGTATGATGCGTAGTTGACATTAATGAGTGCTTCGATGTTCAAGAATTACATCTTCTTGCTCAAATAGATGTTCTATATCATTTTCAACTTGAATAGATAAAATTTCAAAACTATTTAATCATATAAGCTCATCTATTTCTACAATCAACATGGCGTATAATATTGTATCGAATTTTTCTTGGGCTTTTTGGATTTAAACAGGAAACCAAATACAGGTCTTTGTAGAGTAGACTTCGGTCTACAAAAGAACGACTATGGCTCTCCTCCTCTCTTCTAAATGCATTCTTTTTTTAACAATACGGATGAACTTTTTTGATTGAACATTGATGATTGAACAATGGCAGAATCTGCCGAAAAATGTTAATCGATATTAATCGATTTCTATAGTAAAAATATGTTGCTGTGATTCTTATTGAAGAATCTTTAAAAAAAACTTTTAATAGAACTTGACCTTACACTATAATGATAGTATCACCATATAGTCACTTTCCGACTCTCTTTCAAATAACATAACTTTTCTCAACTCTGCACGAAGTTAAAAATTTTGGACCAGTCAATAGGAAGTGAAATTAAATGAATAACATTCACTCTCATATTTTTTCGTTTGCTCTGTTGTCTATTATTTGAAGAGTATAAGATTGAGAAAAAAAAGTCGTAGTTAGTATATGAGAACGCAAAAGAGCAAAAAGGATACGTTTCTCCACTTCTAGATGTCTTATCGAGTAGGCACACAGAAAGAAATACTACGTTCTCTTGTGCACGTTCGTTTGGCGATTAACGCAGACCAAAGACGTGTTACATGATGCAATAACGACCGTTTCGAATAAAAAATGCGCCTATATGTTGTCGTTTTCCGTGTTGCCTGTTATATGAAGAAATATACGAATAAGTAAGAGAAATTGTAGGCTGTCAAAAGTAGACGTGAGTGCAAAAGTGCAAAAGGAAGATATTTTATTGTTCCAGTGTTTAATCGAATAGAAGTACAGAAGAAACATATGGCTTTCTCTAATCCATCATCAACAAAGTCTACCATTGAGAACATAGTGAACGATGAGAAATTTGCACAAATTTATATATTTGATGAAAACGCAGTGCAATTACTAGACAATGAACGCACGATCATGACCGTCAAACCTGGATTACCTGGATGTGCACTTGGCATTCACTCATATTCATCTGGCATCCATTGTGTCCGAATAAGAGTAGATAATGGGTATCCAGTTTTGGGTATTCGCTCACGAAATATACCACCTATACCGGATGAATACTGTTGGGGCTCCTATTCTGTTAGTCCTTCGACGTACGGTTGGCAAAAAGATTATGGCCGTCTTCTTAATGGAAGAATTGACCGTTATGAGCTGAAACAAATTTTGAACAACATGAAAAGGGACAGTCATGTATATACAATCACATTGAATTGTGATGAACACCAATTGAGCATAATCAATGAAGACACCAAAGAACAAGATGAAATAGAAGTTGATGTTGGTCATGCTCCTTTTCCTTGGTGTCTCTATGTCGATCTCCCTCGGTGCCCAACTCGGATATCGCTAATATAAACGCCTCAGTATAGGGTCACAGTATTGTTTTTCTACGTATTGTCACTATGTGAAATATGCTGAATGGACATTTTTGTATCTGTTTTTCGTCGATCAGTCTTATGATTATTTAATTCTTCTTTTATCCCTTGATAAAAACAAGAAGTGCTTATCACACAGAGTTTATATAAAAAGGTTCCAACGAATTATACTGTAAAAAAAAGTGTCACACTCAGCTGTCTACACCCTTACATTAGACGTACATTCGTTTTATCAAAAAAAAAACGACAGGAACTAGATATTGCCATGTAACAGCTATTCATTAATCGACCTATACTTATTGTTGGTCACCAATAGACGAATATTTATTGGAGAGCGACTACAATGTATCATAGTAAGGCTACACATTATTCAAAAGTGCATTTATTTGTGAACTTTCTCTTTCCTTATTTTTATCCGTGACATAGTGTAGCATTGATTACAGAGGCACCCTCTCGCTGACATAGCACTACAGAATAAACTTAATTTTTTCACATAGATAAAATCTTCATAAATATCTCGTTGCCATACATCAAAAAAATTGTTTTTGTGAAACACGATCTGAAAGGAGTGTTGAAGTATATAGGGTAGCAATTTGGACCCCCCCCCCCCCC